CGTGCAAAACTTTCTTGAAGTGAGCTGAGTTTTAAGAGCTTTGAGAAAAGAGATGAGGGGGAATTTCAGTCAAGCAGCCTGGGAGAAAAACCAGAAAGAGAAGTGTGACTTGCAGTGTGGTGTGACTTGTGATTGAACAGTATAATGAGATGAAACGGTGTCAGGCAGAGCATCCTCAACATGGGTGGACGAATCAATGAGTGGGAAGAGTAAGGATGGTAACGGACTACTGGTAAACGAGTGACTGGAGTGAATCGGTGAGCGCCAAATCGCCATTCACCAAGTGCTTTACATTGTTTCTATCAGGTGAAGTGACGTAGGAACTGGGTACTCAACCCAGATGTGAAAGCAGGATTCCAACTTCAGCCAAAGTTATGCTTTGTATAACAGCAGGAATTGCTCAGAATTAGAGGCTTTGGCTCGGAGAATAAATCAAGATTCTTCGATGCCTCCTTCCCCAGAATGGTAACACAGTTCTTCTATGAGAGCTCAGATGAGACTGTTGTGCCAAGCAGAGAAATGGTGTGACAATGGCTAGGACTATTATTGCTCTAACGGGAGAGTTAGACGGTGATGCGGGCGCCCCGCCGTTTCTGCGGTTGTATGTGTGAAATGCGATGTGTGCAAGCGGCCGCATGCATCGCGATGCGGTCGGCGCACGCTACCTCCAGAGCGCGGGCATACTGCTGCAGGCGCGCGCGGGCAGACCGCTCGACGATGCCCATCCCCACGGCCACAACGCCCAGCCCCGGGAGCAACCGCGACAGCGCCTGCAGGCGGCGATGGAATCGGTCCAACGCCCGCACCTGCAACACGGGACGAGTCAGCAGTTATATGTGGCAGGCAGGGGTGGCTTTGGTGTGGACATGGCCACCTCTCTCCGAGAACCGCAGTGCTCCTTACACACGCAGGCGAACGCTCGTCAGGGAAGCGGTACGCACCAGCAGTGAATTGTCTCCCAGGCTTTTTTCCTCCTTGACGCGTGCCTCCACCAGCTCAAAGTATCGCTCCATAAGCTCGTTCACAAACACTTGCAGCTTTTCAAGGGCTTGTGCCGAGTCCCCATCGCTACACTGACTGATGAACAGTTGCTGGAAGGAGGCGATTGACAGGCACATGTTGCTAATGAAGCCATTGCAGCCCCGGTCAATAAACTCCAGGATGTCGGTGGGTGGAGATTGGACATTGCCACTTTCCTCAAGGCTGCCTCCAAAGTTTCCCGCATCGAGCTGCATCCTCCCTGTGTCTCCGGGCACGGACTGCAATGTCTCCAGGTCGCAGCAGAGCCGCGCACGAGCATGGGACAGAAACTCATCCCACAGGTGCGCTGGCGGCTCCCCGAGCTGCAGCAGCAGGTCCACACACTCCGCCAGCTCCTTGGCGCTCGCCTCCCTGTCCCTGCAACCCACGTGGGGCATCCACAGAGACCGAGTTGCGTGGCGGCCGCATTAAAAGCAAATATCACCGCAGTAATAAACATGCAAGGGGCTTTTCCAAACAATATTTTGATCCAAAGGCCCATGGCCCTTTTGATACCTGTGTTCCAAAAGTCGGTGTGGGCAATCCCAATTGAGTAATAATTTGAGTGAGTTTCGTGCATCGCCTGTATCGCTAGTAGAGTGGCAGTGCAATATCTGCTGCACGAACCGGAAGCGCTCATGCAGAGTATGCGCGAGCGCGGCCATGATGCTGGAGCAGTCGTCTTGGATGCCACGAAAGGAAGGCATGTGCTGGTACTGATGGAGCACCGCCCGCGCTTTGCTGTAGTAGCGTACTGCCTGACCCCACGCCGCCAGCTCGATGCATTTGTGCAGGCGTGCGGGAAGCTCAAACAGGAACTGCAGCTTGCGTAGCAGCACATGCACACCTGCGGAGGCAGGTTGCAAGTCTATTTTGTTGAACCATGTGAGAACTCCAGAGGCCAGGACAGTCTATTTGCAAGAGTGACCTGGGTTACCAATATGACAAAAGCAAAGCAAATAATCATAACAAAACCAAAAACAACTGCATCACATGAAGAACTAAAAATATTGGAAAAATAATTCCCTGCAGTGCAATTCGGCTCTGGAAAATAACCTGCATATTGAACACAGCACAAATTACAACACTAAGCTACAGAAACACTGAAATTAACCAAATGTATGTTGAACTTCTTTCGCACCGTACATTTCCAACTGTGCTAATCGGAGGTGCGGGTGACTAGCGCAAATATTGATAACAACACGAGGCACGTGTTTAGACACCTGCACACAGTGGCATGACAAACGTCACGTTTACCCAAATGCATTGCATGTAACGAATCACCAGCATGCACGCAGGAAAGCGAAGGCACGTAAAGCTGCTGTACTGAGGTCGAAGTTTACTTCTTCTATCACGGCAATTATAATCGATCTTCCTGGATGGACCACACAGCTCCCGTAGCTCTCGCACAGTTGCTACCAGGGTTGGTTCCAGGGCAGCTCTTGGAGCTGAGCAATTTAACGGCGCGTGCGAGGAGCAAAACCCAGGCCCACCTGGCTGCCGCCTACACCTGATTTGGGACTTGCGAGAACGTCGCATCGTGCAGCTGTGTGAAGACTTGGGGTGACAGAATACACGCAACGCACTGTCTGAAAGCGCTTGGTGGACGAGCCCGCACCTGACAGCTTGGTGATGTGCTGCCGACGGTCCTGCAGGGTGTCGCTTATTTTACCACTAAACTCCGTGATGGCAGCCATGTTGGAGGTGAGGCACTCCATCTCATCCTCCATCTTCTTAAAGTCGTTCTTCATTTTGCGAATTGTGTCTGCAAGGAGATGCGCGCACATTTTTTGTTTTCGAAAGCGGAGTTCATCACTACTGGGGGAGCCTTTGCCAAGACTCCCTTGACAAAACTCACATTCTCAATGACTTTTTTTTCCATTTTCCATAATAGGAGGGAATCCTGATATAACCACCATGGAGATGAAGCGATGATGAAATTAGATCATTTACATAAGCAATATGGAATCGCAAGACTGACACAGGGAGACCTTCCTCCAGGAGCGGATTCACCATGGCTGACGATAAAAAGCAACTGAGTAATGACTGAGTTTAATTTCTCCCTTGATAACATGTTTCGGTTTTTTTCGTCTGATAGGCACATGTACAGCGTCAAATCATCTGAGTTGCGATACCTGCCAGCACTTGTACTGTATATGCACGTGTACTTACACATGCTTGCACTCGTTAATCTCGGAGATAATTTCTTTTCACATACACGATGTATTCCATGTGAAATAAATTTTGCTAAATTTCTAATCAAGTGTCCATTCCAAATCCCATTTTAGTAAACGGCATGTGGAAGGAGAGTTCATAGAACTGCTTTTAAAAACAAATGTAAGTGACCTTTGATACGTACACGAGGGGGACGCTCTGTTCCACACACCGTGCTGCAGACGACGTGGGGGTCGTGGTGAACTCGTTACAATGCAGCGTCACACAATCAACTCCTCGCACCGTGATACGTGTGCATGCAGCACCGTGTTTAAATTTGTTTTGAGTTACGAGTTCCAGGAATTGATGGATTGAGGTCAATGCACACTGCAGGGTGATAGCAATAGCTCTGGTAAATGCTGCCCGCGTCTAACTAACCGAGTTCGTCGCACCTGTGGCAGAGATGAACTTGTTGTAGTTTTCGTAGACGAGCGTCTGCATGTCGCTGTCCAGGGCTCGGATTTGCCGCACCATGTCGGCCTCTCGGCCCATCAGCTCGGGGAGGCTGCACTCTTTCCGCAGCTGCACAGACGCCCTGGTGATTAGGACTGCACACAGATCGACTCCACGCCAACATTAAATACAAAATCTGGTGATGCCGCGTTTGCAGTGATGCACAAGCACAAACATATCACGAAACATTCGTTAATAAGACTGCCTTAAAAATAATGTATATAATGTGACGTTTCGGGCCATGTTGAACAGAGGCTAGCGGGGTATCTCCTCTGGCCTTGAAAGGTTGCCGATGTTTCCCTTTTCAAGATGAATGCGAGGTTTGTTCCTCCACCCCACGAGCTTCAAGACTGTCAATGCGAAATCATAGGTCTCTCCCTGGGAGTTTATAATGGTAGTCAAGAGACACTACACCAGTAACCGCTGGGACCCTGGGTTCCAGTCGAAGCAACTGCTCCCATCTGTTCTCATCTCCCGTCTATCTGCCCCGTGTGCCTCACGTCTGCTATGGCGAGCTATCCCCCGTGTGTCTCCCACCTGCCCCAGATAGATCTCGGGGTCGAAGTCAGCGCCGTCGATGTCGCAGGGCCCGCGGCTCTCGGGGTTTTGTGTGCCCGCGACGCCAGGGGCCTCTGGGCCGCCCAGGCCGTAGTAGCGCTGCAGCATCCCGTGAGCGCGCCGCCTCGCCGCACCGTGCTCGCCCGCGGCGTCGGCAGTTGACGTGGCCATGATGACAGAGACGAAAGGGACGAGGAGGAGGTGGTGGAGGAGGACGTGTTGTGGAGGTTGGTGGTGGAGGTGTTGGTGGAGGTTGGTGGTGGAGGTGTTGGAGGAGGAGGTGGTGGAGGTGGTGGTGGAGGAGGTGTTGTTGGTGGTGGCGGCGACGTCCACCCGGCTCGAGCCCCACCCGGAAGCCGAGGCGAGGACGCCTCGAAACGCCCAATACGCGGACCAATGAGCGCGGAGACTCCGACACGCGACCCCTGACCCAAGGTGACGTTGGATCCTCGCCCGTGATTGGTCAGCGCGTTTACATTAGCCTACGCCGATTGAATTTTTTTCCGCTTGTGTTGTGGCCGAAACGTCGTGAGAATATTATTGTGTTATTTTATTTTATCAATTTATTATTTTATTCTCATTCTACGTGACTTTACCGAAAGAACCAAAGAAGATACGCCGATTGGTTAACCTCGTTCATGTGAGCGTAACGAGGCTCGGGATTGGGTCGCGACTTGGAGCTGTGAGCCGCACGTGGAGCGGAGAAAAGGAGGAGGCGAGGAGGGAGAGGAGGAGGCCAGGAGGGAGAGGAGGAGGCGAGGAGGGAGAGGAGGAGGCGAGGAGGGAGAGGAGGAGGCCAGGAGGGAGAGGAGGAGGCGAGGAGGGAGAGGAGGAGAGGAGGCGAGGAGGAAATGCGCGGAGCACGCGGTTCGGGGGTGGAGCGCAGCCTCGCGCACCGCGTACGCGCCGTGAGACTCCCACTACTTAATAGCACAACACTTCTACACGACCCAAGTACTGTAACTACATTAGACAGTACTGTACACTGCTACAATGTATTATGCTCACTACTGCACGATGTACAGTTTGTTGAACTTCTTTCGCACCGTACGTAGCCAACCGTGCTGAACGGAGGTGCGGAGGAAGGACAAGCTAAATAAAAAGCATTTCTAAATAAATGAGTAATCCACCATTAACTCACCCACCTACAAACTGGCCCGATTTCTGTCTGAGACCCTGCTTCCTTTTACGGGCAAGACCACCTCAGCTGTACTTAACTCAGCTCACTTGGTTTCTCTAATCAAGGACATCTCACTGTCTCCAGATGATTTACTTGTCAGTTTCGATGTCGTCTCCCTGTTCACCTAGGTGTACCTGATACCATTGCAATCATTAAAGACTTGGTCCAACAGGAACTGAATCCAGATGTACCAACTTTGGTAAGGCACTGCCTTACCAACACTCACTTCACCTGGAATGATACATTCTACAAACAAAATGAGTTCTAGATTTGAAGCTTTCGTGACTGCAAGGATTCATACTCTTTGTTTTTTTCAGTAAAGTCACGTAGGGAAAATAATATAATAAAACAACTAAATTAAATCACGACGTTTCGGAGGCAACACAAGCTTCCGTCTTCAGGTGGAACAGTCACAGCAAGATAGCAGCTATCTTGCTGTGACAAGCTTCCGTCTTCAGGTGGAACAGTCACAGCAAGATAGCAGCTATCTTGCTGTGACAAGCTTCCGTCTTCAGGTGGAACAGTCACAGCAAGATAGCAGCTATCTTGCTGTGACTGTTCCACCTACGTGACTTTACCGAAAAAAACAAAGAAAACAAAATGAGGGTACCCCAATGGGGTTTCCCATATCGCCAGTAGTAGCGAATGTTTTCATAGATAAATTTGAGACGGGTGCCATCTAGATATCCACCCTACGTCCTTCCTTGTGGAAGAGATATGTAGATGACACGTTTGTCATCTGGCCACATGGCCTGCCAGTACTGAACCAATTTCTCAACCACATACATTTTATACACCCATCTATCAAATTCATCATGGAAGTGGAAAAGGATGGAAAGCTACCATTCCTGGATGTTTTGATTGAGGAGAGACCTGATGGTTCGTTGGGACACTGTCTACAGGAAAGCCACCCACAGGGATGCCTATCTAAAGTCTGAATCCCACCACCATCCAGCCCAGAAGAATTTCCTCAAAACACTACACCATAGGGCCCGAGCTGGAGCACGTTCACCAAGCCCTCAGGATGGACAGATATTTTGACCGTACAATCCGCAAAGCTGTCTCCCCAGCTATGGGGAGACAACCATCTGAGGATCCAACCAATACCATCACTTTGCCATACATAGGGGTTACCAAAAATATTTCCAAAATCATAAACACAAGATCCAGGTTCGTTTCAAGACAGTACACAAAATCCGTGATTTGATCCCATCTGTAAAGGATGTGATTCCTGATATGCAATACCCGGATGTCTACAAACTTGAGTTGTGGCTGCGGCAGCAGTTACATTGGGGAAACGACACGTCTCGGACCACGTTCGCGAACACAAGGCAGATCTGAAACACGGTAGGACCAATACCTCTGCCGTTCATTGTTTTAACGCAGTGGGCTCACACGAAATTGACTTTTCCAAGACGAAGGTACTCTGCAAACCCACCGGCTATTATCAGAGATTTGTTCATGAAGCCATCCAGATAGATAAATACAGACAACTTCAACCGAGAAGATGGGTACAAATAATTGGAAGGACGTTATTAACCAGGTAAAATCTTAACTGACTGTTTGCATCCTACCTGCCCATGTCAGCTGTTATTTCCGACTCTGTGTGTCTCTTTCTCTCTCTCTGTGTGCATCTCTCTCCGATCTCTACTCCAGTGACCCGGGTGCTGCCGTGGGGTCGACTGTCTGCCCCCCCCCCTTCTCCCCCCCTACTGCCGAGGCCTACTATATAACCTCGTGCCATGGCAGATCTCTCGCCTACTTCAGCAGTTTTTTCTTGCTATGGTTGTCCCACCTAATGACGATTTCTTGTGTTGCGATCGAAACGTCGCGATCTATTATTTTTCTACCTACGTGACTTTACCGAAAGAACCAAAGAGTATGAGTTATACTACTCACTACTATACTATACACTACTACACACGATTCACGATATGCTCCACACTAATACACTATATACAGTACTACACACTACTACGCTATATAATACACACTACTGCACACGATTAACAGCATAAATATGTCTTAAACAATTCTGGAGTATCAAACAAACATCCTTTCGGAAACACATCAAGGTGCACCTAGCCTGGCACAATCACCGTGGTAACATCACCGCCACCTCGTTGCGAACGGCGGTTGTTGTCGGTCTCCCCCAGTACCTCACTCAGACGAGTCACCACGTGAGCCCGGAGGTGATCGCCACAGATCTGCAGACGCAGTACCGGTGAGTCACGGCCCCTGTGGTGGCTATGAGCGTGGGCCCCTCTGTGACGGCCATCCACATTTGATCGTGAATTTGAGTCATGATTCCTGCCACGGGTGTGTTTGTCTTATAGATTAATGTAGACATTCACCCAATGCAGACTCGATGCCTTGAAAGGGTATCTATTTGGTGTATGAACATCTTAACAGCTGTTTTATTGCCAGAAAGGGTAAAACTGGTTCCCGGAGCTTCTCGACTGACTCCGCCCTTCACCTTTACCCCAGATACGCCCCCTTATAATAAGGCATTATGTAATGCAGCCATAACCGTAATTACCCTTACAGGCCAGGAGGTGTCACCCTGTCATTACACTTGCATTGGCTTTGTACTGTTCGCCTTTTGGCGTTCTCTGGTCTAATACTGGTAAAAACAAGGCTATAAAGAAGGCTGTCTCTGGTGTAGGCCAATCAGTTTCAAAGACAATGCGTATATAATTATTTATCAGAGCATGTTTGCGTGTTTTTCCACAAGTATGTGTGGTTAATGCAGACTTGAGGCTTTGAAAAAGGTATCTATGTATTTGGTGTTTGAACATCTTAACACCTGTTTTATTGCTTGAAAGGTTAAAACCTATTATTTTTAATAATTTCAGTAATCATGTTATAATATAAGCTAACTTTACAACTGGATCTGGAATGCAGTGGTAGCAAAAGTAGTTTGAGTGTTTTTGGAAAAGGTGTTTCTTAAGTTGTTAAATCTTACCTTGTGCAAATGATGTCATCTCGGTGCTCTAGGAACGACTATGGGAGACGGAAACGGACAGCATTTCGCATACAGGTGGAAAATGGTGGGTGCTGGGATCTTAGGTCTGTGTTCTTAGTTGTACCTTGGCTCTGACTCAAGTGTCATGCTTCACTTGAACCAACGCTGAGACTGATTTCCTCTCATCAAGGTGGTTGTGAGCTGCTCAACGCCAATGTTATTATCCTGTCCATGATGTCAATACATCACACACGATGGTGCTCGATTCAATGATGATGGAAGAATATTAATGATGGGAATAATCATGTGGATAGTGTTGATGTGGTTGGTTGTATTAATGTTTGTATAAATGATAATAATGAGGTTACTTATTAAGATGGTGGCACTGGGCTAGATCTACATTATTTGACCCTGGTGTGCATTGAAGAGAGACATTTAGTCTCAAGGGGCTGTTAATTGGTTAAATAAAGGTGATGTTTCTGGATCCATAGAGCTAATCTGCACACTCCTGCAATTTTCCTTGGATATTTGTGTGGTAAGTCTTATGAGAGAAGGTGTATCTATTCCACTATTCCCTGTGAGAGGGTTGTCAATGTAGTATGTGTGCGTGGGTGCTGTGTGGCACTAGTGTTACGAGCCATCGGCAGGGAGGACAAAGAAGAGGCGGATGGACTGAGTCCCCTGGAGCAGAGGCACATGGCGAAGCGGTTCAAGGAGAGCGGTGCGGGGTACGTGCTGCTGGGCGAGCAGTTCCCTGGTCCTCCCACACCACCTCGCATGTACCCCACACGACCTCGCATGCACCCTCACGACCTTGCACGCGTTTCCCATGACCTCACACGTGGCACGCGCCCCCAGTCTCGCTTTCCTAAATGCAGTACACATGTGCTGAAACTTCGCAATTTGAATGTACATTTAAAAATATTTTACCTGGATAATCCCTTGCAATGGAATACTTGTTTGCAATTTTGTCACATGTGTAGTGACTGTGATTGTCACTGTGTGGTGCCAGGCTTACGAAGCTACGGCAGATAATGTGTTGACATTATGTGTAGGCCGCTTACTGGGCATACTACCAGCCCTAGCGGGGCTTGGGTGAGCGCTGGTCAGCGCGGAGTCACCGCGTACAGTGTGCGGTGCGAGCTCCGGGTGAGGGAGCGAGAGGGAGTGTCAGCCAGCCAGGGTTACTTTGGGGCATGATATGCTGGTTGACCTGCCGACACGTGACCAGATGATATTTGAGGGGGGCCACCGGTGGACGGGGGCCACTGGGCGGTCACGTGATCTAAAAAAGCTCTCGGGGAGCCTATGGGAAAGAGCTCGAGAGATCTAGAAGGTGGTCGGGGCGAGAGGCAGAGCCAGCCCCAGCCCAAGCCCAGGCCGATATAACGGGGGCCCCATGAGGGGCTCGGGGTTCTTCGTGTTGCTGGTGATGAAGATCCACGTCAGGTAAAAGGAGCCTCTAGCCACACGGTCCGGGACCCAGCTTGTGGTCCGGGCCGGGATAGCGAACCGTGTCTAGTTCTGCCGTAGCGTGGCTAGATGAGCATTCAACACCCAAGTGTAGGTTGTGTTATGTTATGTTGATTTATTGAATAAATAGTGTTGCTCCCAAGATAACGTCTGCGACTCATTTGGACTCACTACACATGCATAAGTGTTGGTCACATCACCACCGGGCTTGTGCCAAGCTATGCGAACCTTGAGGCTTTTACGTGACATGTCGAATGCTCACTGGCAGGTCAGAGGACAAATTCTGATGTTTTGGGTTAACTGAATGAAATGACTGGCAGATGTGCCACCTGTACACCCCACTTTGCCAACATGGTTTGTTTTGGCCACCTGGTGTGCTGCTTGATTTTGTGAGCGTCGCTTATATTTTATTAGAATACCTTCGGTGCATTTATTGTGCTTCCCATGCTTTGTCACAGGTGTGAATCGAGCAGCAGCAGCAGTAGCAGCAGCAGCTGGGATGGTGCTGACAGCGTACATGAGTTTCCCTACCCGGTACTTGGCATTGCCACACCCTGCACTCACTGTAGTTGTTGGGGCTAAAACGACGGGGCCAAAAACTGAAACCTGCCAGCAGAATCTTTTAAGCTTCGTGCATTTGTTGTGCCGCATTTTGTGCTGAGTTACGGTGGAGGGATTATATGTTCGGGTGAATTTTTACATAATCACATGAAATAATACTTCTCTTTGTATAATATTGCTTTCTCATTTTTACAGAAGGTGAACCTGATGAATCGATCTCTGATGGATTTGTACAGACAAGGGGGGAGTAGGCCCACAGGCAGCGTGGAGGGGGCAGTGGCTAGGGGAGATGCGATGGCCGTGGAGGAAAGGCCGAGCACATCGACGCGGCCCCCACTCATGCAGGCAGTTGAGGAGCAGCCTCCTTCGTCGACTGGCTCGGTGGCGGCGCAATGCCAGCAGCCCAAGGCGAGGTTTGTGATCCCGGTGGCTGGAGAGCAAACGGCATCGTCGTCGAGCGAGCACGGCCACAACCGGAAGGATGCGAGGCCTGAAGAAAGGAACACTCGTGCAACAAAGAACGAGAGGGCTGTCGCTGCTGTACCTGCTCCTGGCTTGGCCCCGGGCAGCGCGAGCACTCCCAAGCATGGCGGAACCGGGCAGAGGAGCTTGTGGAGGGACCCCGTTCAGGTGCACCGATGCCTTCTCAATCGCACTGCCATGATAATACGTTTCACCCTCACGTATGTCACATCTGTGAATGAGGAGAGAACCTATTACAACAGCAAGATTAATGCAAGCTGGAAACGCATAGATTAAACAACACGCAAAGGTGTGCAGAATTGCAAGTTCCAAAGCTCGCTCTTGGCCTTATCTAGACCACCCGCTCAAAATGACTGTGACCATTTTGGTCAGACCACCAAACTCAAAAGCGTTGAGCAAACGTGGCGCATGTGATCCATGCAGCATGGCGTGCACATTGCCTGCAGTGTGGCACGCATTGTGCAATTGTGGGCAACCCCTCTTTATTCTTATCTCTGTGGCACCCCTACTTTCCACATTTGTGGTAAAGTTTTCCTATAATTCACATGGTGGACAGATTGTACAATGTTTGATAATAATTTAGATAACATGAGAGTCAGATGCGTGTGCATATGAAAAAACGCATGCAGGATAATCTTGCAACAATAATGTGAACCAAAGTTCCTCGTAATGTGATGATTTAAAATGTAAGTGCCGTTCAAATATGTCACTGCAGTGTTATAATGGTATTGACTATTGAGCAATATTTATGCTTTACAGGGACAGGCAATGGCAAATAATAACAAGAAGTTAAAATCGAATTCAAAGAAGAATTTAAAACCTAAATCAACGCAAGATGGAGATGTGGATGAAGAAATAAAGCAAACATTACTGGAGAAATCGGGTAAAATATAACTTCAGTGCTCACTTAGAGCAGACAATTTCATTGTCCATCGCTTATGATGCATTCTGGGATATTGTTGGCCACTTGCGTGGTGTCTTCTAACCGTGCGTTTCTGTGCCCCAGGGTTCGCCAGACTGCAAACCTCGACCTTAAAGTTTGCAGATGTTGGGGGAAATGAGAGCATGCTGCTGGTGAGCATTTTCTGCGAGGAGATAGTAATTTTACGTTCATTGTGTTTAGAGATGTTCCATAGCCCACGTGTATGTGTAGCTCTATAGCAGGAGTCGCCAACCAAAAACAGGAAGAGCCATTTTTTTTCAAGAGCTGCAATGTATGTGAATAATGTCATGAAGCCATCCTTAAAGAGTCACATGCGGCTCCAGAGCCGAAGGTTTCTAACCCCTGGTCTATAATTTTACGTGTCCATGGGGCAGCCAAATTTTGCCCTCAAGGAATTGGCAATGCATTTCAGTGGTGATTATGACTGTGTATTGGACTGAATCACCATTCTGGCCAGGTGGGATTACCATAGAAAATCATTCTATTTCATGCATCTTCAATGGCAGTATTTGCTTTTGAATCTCATTCAAATGAATGGGTATTTTAAAATTGGAATCACCCATAGAAAATCATGATTCCTCCTGAAATGCCCCAGGGTGGAATCCTAAGTTTGCACAGCCATTGAAGCTTTCGTGTCTGCAGGAATTACTCTTTGGTTCTTTCAGTAAAGTCGTGACAGCCCATGTCTGTGCCCATTTGCTGTATTGCCATGGCATTGTCTTACAGGATGGGAATCTCGCACGCAATGCTATCTGCATGATCCATCACCGCTCATTGTGATGTGTTTTTAGTATCATGACACATGCCTCTCTGCCTGTTCACAGGAGTTGTGTAAACAGCTGATGCACATGCGGCATGGTGAAGTATGGACGCACCTGGGTGTGAGCCCCCCTCGTGGGATCCTGCTGCATGGCCCCCCAGGCTGTGGGAAGACGCTGCTGGCTCAGGCAATCGCTGGGGTGGGTGTGCACGGTGCCATGTGACGCACTGGGGGGAGTGGGTGGTATATGGGGGTGTGTGTGATGTATGGAGTTAGGGGGGTGGTGTATGGGGGAAATTGTGCTAATCGGAGGACTGAAATGATAGCAAATTGTGCTAATCGGAGGACCAGTCATCTCGGTCAGCTCATGTCACCTGGGCCTGTCCTGTGACCTCCTGCTAGCAAGCCTTTGACACTTCACATGGCCTCGAAGTGCACTTAGCCTGGCCCAATGTGCCGTGGTGACATCACCGCCACTTTGTGGCGAATGGCAGCTGTTGTTGTTGAACTACTTTTTGTGTTTAGTTTGTCCTTGTACGTATGTTGAACTTCTTTCACTCCTTCCCCCGCACCTCCGATTAGCACTTTGCTACGTACAGTGTGAAAGAAGTTCAACATATATACATGCGTATGGGTGTGTCTGGAGTGTGTATGGATGTGTTTTATGTACGTAGCGTATGGATGCATTTAATGTGGTTCTTCTCTTGGCTCTCTGTAGGAGCTGGACGTGCCGCTGATTCAGGTAGCGGGACCTGAGGTTGTGTCAGGAGTCTCGGGGGAGTCGGAGCAAAAACTCAGGGAACTTTTTCAGGTGGCTTCGGTGAGTAGCGAGCGGGGTTTACACTACTGGGGTGAAGTGGTCGCAGAATGTAACGTTGGTTACAGGACGGGTGTTGTGAGTGTATGGATATGTGTCATAGCCAATACGATAGAATCCAGATTTATTTTTGGGTTAAGCCATGAAGTAGCTTTTATGTATTTCACCCCTAAATACTCTTCCGGGTGAACTACCTGAAGAAGTTAAAAGCAGTTTGAACGTAACGTTGTCGTACGTTAATGTTGAATTCACTCATGATCGTTCTTTAGCTACCGGTGAACAGGAGCTTTATTTGTCAGAGTTTTATTAATAAATTTGATTGTATAAATCATATCTTTGTAAATGTGACGATCTTGTCGGGTGGTGTAGGGTTGATGACAAGAATGTTGACATAACTACCACATGGTCTAACCAAAAAACAAACATAGATCAATTAAACTAATTGGCCAAGCACTCCAATGCTGAATATTACCTGCACTTTACTCAACAGAGATTATTCAGGTGGGTCCTGCAATAATTTGGCAGGACCCCCCCTAAAAATAATCTTGAACTCGATTAGGCTTTCCTAGGTGCAGCTCCACATGCGTTATTGTGCTAATTAGCTAATCTTAGTCATTATGTGATAGGAGAGTGCACCATGCGTGCTGTTCCTTGACGAGATCGATGCCATCACTCCCAAGAGGGAAATGGCGTCCAAGGACATGGAGCGGCGCCTGGTGGCCCAGCTGCTCACCTGCATGGACGGTGACCCTGGGCGGGGGGAGGGTGCTGTGGGGAGGGATTATACTGGCGGTTGCATGGGGTATATGGGACAGGGAATGGTGAAGCGTGTGTATTGAGCGCGAGCTAAAATGAATAATAATAAACGTGCTTTGTTGCCAGGCAATACGACAGAACCTTATTAACCTTCTTCTTTGGTTCTTTCGGTAAAGTCACGTAGAATGAGAATAAAATAATAAATTGATAAAATAAAATAACACAATAATATTCTCACGACGTTTCGGCCACAACACAAGCGGCCTTCATCAGGTGAAGGGAGCGAGACTGTCTGGTAGGACAGCGCTGGAGTGAGAGAGCCACGTTCAGATCACGGCTTTTAAGCTGTGTGAGAGGAACAAAGAGCCTTGACGAAGGAATTAGCATAAAATTTAGCATTGAAAAGGCTGAATGATTAGCTTGTGACTGGTCACAGAAATAGCTATGTTAAAAGTTAAAGCATACACATCCGCAGAGGCACCCATTGTTAAAAGGAATTAGCATAGAATTTAGCATTGAAAAAGCTAAATTAAGGCATTCGCTTGTAACTGCTACAGAAATAGTTACGTTGAAGTCAGAGCATACACATTCACCGAGGCACTTAGTACAAATCAAAACAGGAGAATTTAGCATTGAAATAACTAGGCGAATTTAGCATTGAAATAACTGGGTGATTTGCTAGTGACTGGTCACAGAAATGACTACAAATCTGAGCTATTCACAGTACTATATAGTGAACCAATAAAAACTAAAATATAAATTACCTTCATGTTATCAATAAACTCTATATTCTCCAATCAGCTAAGCTACCAACCATAAGTCGTTATATATCACAATGCTATATGGCGAAAAAATGGGTGGATTCTTACCCTCAAATTTCCGTACCACGGATAGCTACGGGCCCCGTTCAGACGGACGAGTTCGTCCATGGTCGGAACAGAGGAGGGGGAGAGAGACAGCTGCGAAGCCCTAGTATACTCCATGTTGTAAACCATACCATTAACCGTGGTGTGAGAGGTATTAAGAGGCAATGCTGGCGAAAGAGCTGCGGTCTGAAGGTCATCGTAAAATTACAATTAATTAAGAACAGAAATGATTTAACACATCTTTCCAGTGGTTACTGAGCCTGAATCCATCTTCTCGGTTGAAATTGTCTCTGTGCTTGTATATGTGAATGGCCTCATGAACGAATCTCTCATGGTAGCCAGTTGGTTTGCAAAGAACCTCCGTCTTGGAGAAGTCAATGTCATGTGAGCCCACTGAATTGTAACAGTGATCTGCCACGGCAGAGGAGTTCGTCTTACCGTGTTTCAAGTCTGCTTTATGTTCGCGGATGCGATCCGAGATATGTCTTTTGGTTTCTCCAATGTAGCTACTACCACAGAGGCACTTTAGTTTGTAAACGCCCGGGTACTGTATGTCTGGAAGAGCATCTTTTACAGATGGAACTAAATCACGGATTTTGTGTACTGTGTTGAATCGGACCTGGATCTTGTGTTTATTCAGGATTTTGGAGATCTTTTTAGTGACCCCTGCAATGTAGGGTAAGGTGATGGTTTTGAGTGGCTCCACAAGAGGATCCTTCTTCATGACTGGAGTGATGGCTTTGCGGATTGTGTAGTCGGAGTAGCCATTAGCCCTGAGAGCCTGGTGTACGTGTTTGAGTTCACTGGTAATATGTTCCTGGTCGGAAATGCATTGGGCTCTATGGTATAGAGTCTTGATGAGGCAGTTCTTCTGGGATGGATGGTGGTGGGAATCCGGTTTCAAGTAAGCATCTGTATGGGTAGCTTTCCTGTAGACAGAGTGGCTCATTGAACCATCATGTCTCCTTTTAATTAAGACATCCAGAAAGGGTAGTTTGCCATCTTTTTCGACCTCCATGGTATATCTCGGATCGCATCCGCGAACATAAAGCAGACTTGAAACACGGTAAGACGAACTCCTCTGCCGTGGCAGATCACTGTTACAATTCAGTGGGCTCACATGACATTGACTTCTCCAAGACGGAGGTTCTTTGCAAACCAACTGGCTACCATGAGAGATTCGTTCATGAGGCCATTCACATATACAAGCACAGAGACAATTTCAACCGAGAAGATGGATTCAGGCTCAGTAACCACTGGAAAGATGTGTTAAATCATTTCTGTTCTTAATTAATTGTAATTTTACGATGACCTTCAGACCGCAGCTCTTTCGCCAGCATTGCCTCTTAATACCTCTCACACCACGGTTAATGGTATGGTTTACAACATGGAGTATACTAGGGCTTCGCAGCTGTCTCTCTCCCCCTCCTCTGTTCCGACCATGGACGAACTCGTCCGTCTGAACGGGGCCCGTAGCTATCCGTGGTACGGAAATTTGAGGGTAAGAATCCACCCATTTTTTCGCCATATAGCATTGTGATATATAACGACTTATGGTTGGTAGCTTAGCTGATTGGAGAATATAGAGTTTATTGATAACATGAAGGTAATTTATATTTTAGTTTTTATTGGTTCACTATATAGTACTGTGAATAGCTCAGATTTGTAGTCATTTCTGTGACCAGTCACTAGCAAATCACCCAGTTATTTCAATGCTAAATTCGCCTAGTTATTTCAATGCTAAATTCTCCTGTTTTGATTTGTACTAAGTGCCTCGGTGAATGTGTATGCTCTGACTTCAACGTAACTATTTCTGTAGCAGTTACAAGCGAATGCCTTAATTTAGCTTTTTCAATGCTAAATTCTATGCTAATTCCTTTTAACAATGGGTGCCTCTGCGGATGTGTATGCTTTAACTTTTAACATAGCTATTTCTGTGACCAGTCACAAGCTAATCATTCAGCCTTTTCAATGCTAAATTTTATGCTAATTCCTTCGTCAAGGCTCTTTGTTCCTCTCACACAGCTTAAAAGCCGTGATCTGAACGTGGCTCTCTCACTCCAGCGCTGTCCTACCAGACAGTCTCGCTCCCTTCACCTGATGAAGGCCGCTTGTGTTGTGGCCGAAACGTCGTGAGAATATTATTGTGTTATTTTATTTTATCAATTTATTATTTTATTCTCATTCTACGTGACTTTACCGAAAGAACCAAAGAAGATGAATCATTGCAGTCACGAAAGCTTTAAATCGAAACTTATTAACCTTATTCAATTATTTATGTAACTGGATATTCCTAGGCTGAGTAACGGAATATTTCTCAGCCAAATGACTCAACGGCATTTTTATTTAAGAAGTTGAAGTTCAATCTACCGTCCATGGGACGTGACTTTGTGGCGGTGCCGGTGGTTGTTATGCACAGGGCTGCATGGCGGTGGCGCCGTGCTGTGCATCGGTGCCACTAACCGGCCGGATGCGCTCGACCCTGCGCTGCGCCGCGCCGGCCGCTTTGACCGTGAGATCTGCCTCGGCATCCCCGACGAGAATGCGCGAGAACGGTAATGGCCACTCTGTATTACACGCGCAGGGCGTGTGTTACACGCGCAGTACGTGTGTGTGTTACACGCTCAGTGCGTGCGTGTGTGTTACACGCGCAGTGCGTGTGTGTGTTACACGCGCAGTGCGTGCGTGTGTGTTACACGCGCAGTGTGTGCGTGCGTGTTACACGCGCAGTGCGTGCGTGTGCGTGCGTGTTACACGCGCAGTGCGTGCGTGTTACATGCGCAGTGAGTGCGTGTGTGTTACCTGCGCAGTGCGTGCGTGTGCGTGTGTGTTACATGCGCAGTGCGTGCGTGTGTGTTACACGCGCAGTGCGTGTGCGTTACACGCGAAGTGCGTGCGTGTGCGTGCGTGTGCGTGCGTTACACGCAGTGCGTGCGTGTGCGTGTTACACGCGCAGTGCGTGCGTTTGCGTTACACGCGCAGTGCGTGTGCGTTACACGCGCAGTGCATGCGTGTGCGTGCGTGTTACACGCGCAGTGCGTGCGTGTGCGTGTGTGTTAAACGCGTAGTGCGTGTGTGTGTGTTACACTCGCAGTGCGTGCGTGTGTGTTACACGCGCAGTGCGTGTGTTACATGCGCAGTGCGTGCGTGTGCGTGCGTGTTACACGCGCAGTGCGTGCGTGTGCGTGCGTGTTACACGCACAGTGCATGCGTGTGCGTGCGTGTTACACGCGCAGTGCGGACGTGTGTGTGTGTGTTACACGCGCAGTGCGTGCGTGTGTGTTACATGCGCAGTGCGTGCGTGTGTGTTACACGCGCAGTGCATGTGCGTTACACGCGCAGTGCATGTGCGTTACATGCGCAGTGCGTGCGTGTGCATGCGTGTTACACGCGCAGTGCGTGCGTGTGCGTGCGTGTTACATGCGCAGTGCGTGCGTGTGCGTGCGTGTTACCAGCGCAGTGTGTGCGTGTGCGTGCGTGTTACCACCGCAGTGTGTGCGTGTGCGTGCGTGTTACACGCGCAGTGCGTGCGTGTGTGTTACACGCCCAGTGCGTGCGTGTGCGTGTGTGTTACACGCCCAGTGTGTGCGTGTGCGTGTGTGTTACACGCGCAGTGCGTGCGTGTGTGTTACACGCGCAGTGCGTGCGTGTGCATGCGTGTTACACGCGCAGTACGTGTGTGTGTTACACGCTCAGTGCGTGCGTGTGTGTTACACGCGCAGTGCGTGTGTGTGTTACACGCGCAGTGCGTGCGTGTGTGTTACACGCGCAGTGTGTGCGTGCGTGTTACACGCGCAGTGCGTGCGTGTGCGTGCGTGTTACACGCGCAGTGCGTGCGTGTTACATGCGCAGTGAGTGCGTGTGTGTTACCTGCGCAGTGCGTGCGTGTGCGTGTGTGTTACATGCGCAGTGCGTGCGTGTGTGTTACACGCGCAGTGCGTGTGCGTTACACGCGAAGTGCGTGCGTGTGTGTGCGTTACACGCAGTGCGTGCGTGTGCGTGTTACACGCGCAGTGCGTGCGTTTGCGTTACACGCGCAGTGCGTGTGCGTTACACGCGCAGTGCATGCGTGTGCGTGTTACACGCGCAGTGCGTGCGTGTGCGTGTGTGTTACACGCGCAGTGCGTGTGTGTGTGTTACACTCGCAGTGCGTGCGTGTGTGTTACACGCGCAGTGCGTGTGTTACACGCGCAGTGCGTGCGTGTGCGTGCGTGTTACACGCGCAGTGCGTGCGTGTGCGTGCGTGTTACACGCACAGTGCATGCGTGTGCGTGCGTGTTACACGCGCAGTGCGGACGTGTGCGTGTGTGTTACACGCGCAGTGCGTGCGTGTGTGTTACATGTGCAGTGCGTGCGTGTGTGTTACACGCGCAGTGTATGTGCGTTACACGCGCAGTGCATGTGCGTTACATGCGCAGTGCGTGCGTGTGCATGCGTGTTACACGCGCAGTGCGTGCGTGTGCGTGCGTGTTACATGCGCAGTGCGTGCGTGTGCGTGCGTGTTACCAGCGCAGTGTGTGCGTGTGCGTGCGTGTTACCACCGCAGTGTGTGCGTGTGCGTGCGTGTTACACGCGCAGTGCGTGCGTGTGTGTTGCACGCCCAGTGTGTGCGTGTGCGTGTGTGTTACACGCGCAGTGCGTGCGTGTGTGTTACACGCGCAGTGCGTGCGTGTGCATGCGTGTTACACGCGCAGTGCGTGCGTGTGCGTGTGTGTTACACGCGCAGTGGGTGCGTGTGCGTGCGTATTACATGCGCAGTGCGTGCGTGTGTGTTACACGCCCAGTGCGTGCGTGTGCGTGTGTGTTACACGCCCAGTGCGTGCATGTGCGTTACACGCGCAGTGCGTGCGTGTGTGTTACACGCGCAGTGCGTGCGTGTGCATGCGTGTTACACGCGCAGTGCGTGCGTGTGCGTGCGTGTTACACGCGCAGTGGGTGCGTGTGCGTGTGTGTTACACGCGCAGTGCATGTGCGTTACACGCGCAGTGCGTGTGCGTTACACGCGCAGTGCGTGTGCGTTACACGCGCAGTGCGTGCGTGTGCGTTACACGCGCAGTGCGTGCGTGTGCATGTGCGTTACACGCGCAGTGCGTGCGTGTGCGTTACACGTGCAGTGCGTGCGCGTTACACGTGCAGTGCGTGCGTGTGCGTTACATGCGCAGTGCGTGCGTGTGCATGTGCGTTACACGCGCAGTGCGTGCGTGTGCGTTACACGTGCAGTGCGTGCGTGTGCGTGAGTGTTACACGCGCAGTGCGTGCGTGTGCGTGCGTGTGTGCGTGTTGCACGCGTGGTCCATGCGTGCGTGTGGGTGTGTTTTACGCGTGGTGCGTGCGTGCTGCGCGGTGCGTGCGTGCTGCGCGCGCGGTGCGTGCGTGCTGTGCACGCGGTGCATGCGTGTGTGCGTGCTGCACGTGCGATGCATGCGTGTGTGCGTGCTGCACGTGCGGTGCGTGTGTGTGTGCGTGCTGCATGCGCAGTGCGTGTGCGTGTTACACTGTTTCTCTAAGGGGGTAGTGAGTTGGAAACAATGAGATAGATGTGAGCACAAGTGGTTTATGCTTGGTAAATGGACGTGACGGTGGTCAGTAGGAGTTTGTCCGGTATCTCTCTTATTCACATCAAATGGTTTACTTCTCTTTACAGCAGTTTAGTTATTGAATATGGCAGCAATATGGTCAGGAGCTAATTGCCAATATCAAGGTCTGCTAACTATGAGAGGGCTTCATGGGAGAGTTCGTGTAGTTTTGCTATTTCTCCTTTAGCCATGCAACCCATAGTTCGGTTTGTATTTAATTTTACATTTATGAAGGAGATATGTGCATCAGCCTGTTGATGTTCTGATCCGGTTGATGGTCACGCGCGTGTCTTTGAGGAATATTAAAGCCAGGAGGTGTAATCATGTTTAGGCATTGATGTATAGATCCCAAATGCTCCCATTCCACGTGTGCTTGCTTTCCACGTGTGCTTGCTCGGTTTGTTGCATTACAGAAGAATGTTTCAATTGTGTGTCGTTCTATTGGTTCGCGTTTTAGGCTGTAACGTTCCTACCCTTTGCGTTACACCGTGCTGTGTTGCAGCATCCTGCTCGTGCTGTGCCGGGGCTTGCGGCTCAAAGAGGAGTTCAATTTTAAGCGCCTGGCCCGGCTGACCCCGGGGTATGTAGGCGCCGACCTTATGTCACTGTGCCGCGAGGCCGCCGCTTCTGCGGTCAATCGGGCCTTGCATGCTATCGACGGTAACTTGGGAGGATCAATAGATAATGGTGGAGAAGACATGGCTCCCACACAAAACCCTGCCGTTGAGCCTGACCCAGCCAAAGCACAAGGCCTGGAAACCTTACGAAACCAGCTGCCCTTCGCGAAGAGAAGGGCAATAAGTGACGAGGTGAGGTGGTTGGTGGTGCAATTTTATCGTCAATATTTAGTACAATAAGATGCGTGACATCATGACCTCACAGGAACAACCTATCAGATTTACACTCTATATATTAACCAATGTGAATATATTTCTTTATTTTCTCTGAACCAATATTTAATGGTTTATGGATTGTTTATTACAATTACCCATGAATACGCTAGCCTGTATTATGATAGGATTCTTGATTTGAAGCTTTCATGACTGCAGGAATCCATACTGTTTGGTTGTTTCGGTAAAGTCACGTAGGTAGAAATAAAATAAAATAAAACGAATCTCGATGTTTCGATCGCAACACAAGCAATCTTCATCAGGTGGAATAACCACAGCAAGAAAATGCTGAAGTAGGCAAGAGAGCTGCTGTGGCAAGAGGTTATATAGGTAAGAAAGGGGGGAGGCAACAGGGGAGAGAGAGGGGGGTGTGTGGGGTAGGGGAAGGGGGGCTGCGTGAGCGCTAGGGGGAGAGAGGACGTGAGGCTGGGGGGGGGGGAAGTGGGCGGGGTTAGAAGTGGGAAGCTGAGTGTGGGACACAGGGGGGAAAAATACAAATGTAGTAAATGGCAGGTACGATGGAAACAACCACAACCAGTTAAGCTATTACCTGGTTAATAACATCCTTCCAATGATTGTTAAATTTATATCCATCTTCTAGAGGGCTGAATTTTGCTGTCACCCCAAAACACATCCCAGTGGATGATATAATTGCCCAGGTAGATATAGCCCTCAAAGGCTTGGGACACATCCCAGCAGACGTGGCAAGATCTGAAATTGCCACCATCCTTAAAAATGCTAAGAAACCCATTAGTAACATCAGGAAAGACGAGCGCTCTGAACTCACCAAAATGAAAAAAGAGAGGACATAGACATCCTCTCAGCCGACAAGGGCAATGCTACTGTCATCATGGAAAAAAACACATACAACAAAATCCAGGACCTTCTTAATAATGGCAGTTACACCAAAATTAACAAAGATCATACTTAAAGCTTTCGTGACTGCAAGGATTCATCTTTGGTTCTTTCGGTAAAGTCACGTAGAATGAGAATAATATAATATTTTTTTTATTTTATTCTCATTCTACATGACTTTACCGAATATTTTATTATTTTATTCTCATTCTATGTGACTTTACCGAAAGAACCAAAGAAGAAAGATCCTACTAACAGCCTGACAACAAAAAACAACAATATCATTACCAGTTCCACTTCTCGAATCGAACCATTCAAACGGCTCTCCCTAAAACCTTCTGCTGCTAGACCACCCAGATTCTATGGTCTTCCAAAAATCCATAAAGAAGGTACTCTACATCGGCTCATTGTTTCCACTATCAACTCGCCTACCTACAAACTAGCCCGATTTCTGTCTGAGACCTTGCTTCCATTCACGGGCAAGACTACCTCAAGCAGTACTTAACTCAGCTCACTTGGTCTCTCTAATCAAGGGCATCTCACTGTCTCCAGATGATTTGCTTGTCAGCTTTGAAGGTTCCTGTACCTGACACCTTAGAAATAATTGAAGACTTGGTCCAACATGGACTGAATCCTGATGTACCAACTTTGGTTAGGCACTGCCTTAACAACACTTACTTCACCTGGAATGGTACTTTCTACAAACAAAATGAAGGTACCCCCATGGGTTCCCCCTTATCACCAGTGATAGCGAATGTTTTCATGGAGAAATTTGAAACGGATGCCATCCAGACATCCACCCTACGTCCTTCCTTGTGGAAGAGATACGTAGATGACACTTTCGTCATTTGGCCACATGACCTGCCAGCATTTAACCAATTTCTCAACCACATCAATTCTATACGCCCATCCATCAAATTCACCATGGAAGTGGAGAATGATGGTAAGCTACCATTCCTGGATGTTTTTTTGAGAAGAGGCCTGATGGCTCGTTGGGACACTGTCTACAGGAAAGCCACCCACACAGATTACTATCTAAAACCTGATTCCCACCACCATCCGGCCCAGAAGAATTCCCTCATCAAAACACTACACCATAGGCTCCACTGCATCTCCGACCAACACCACTTAGCCAGTGAACTGGAACACGTACACCAAGCCCTCAAGATGAATGGGTACTCGGACCGCATTATTCGCAAAGCTGTTTCTCCAACCATGGAGAAACAATCTCCTGAGAAACCTATGAAAACCATCACTTTACCATACATAGCAGGTGTTACCAAAAATATTTCCAAAATCTTAAACAAACATAAGATCCAGGTCCGATTCAATACAGTACACAAAATCCATGATCTAATCCCATCTGTGAAGGATGTCATTCCTGACATGCAATACCCTGGAGTCTACAAATTGAGTTTTACCTGCGGTAGCAGTTACATTGGGGAAACGAAACGACTTGTCTCGGATCGTGTCTGCGAACACAAGGCAGATCTGAAACACAGCAGAACTAATACCTCTGCAGTAGCTGACCATTGTTATAACGCTGTGGGCTCGTATCATATTGGTTTTTTCCGAGACTAAGGTACTCTGCAAACCTTCGCGCAACTATCAAAGGTTTGTTCATGAAGCCATCCAGATATATAAACATAGACATAACTTCAACCGAGAAGATGGATACAAATTGAACAATCATTGGAAGGATGTTATTAACCAGGTAATGCCTTCACTGGTTGTGGTTGTTTCCATCGTACCTGCCGGTTTACTTGTACATTTTTATTTTTTCCCCCCGTGTCCCACACTCAGCTTCCCACTTCCAGCCCTGCCCACTTCCCCCCAGCCTCACGTCCTCTCTCCCCCTAGCGCTCATACAGCCCTCCTCTCTCTTCCCCGTTGCCCTCCCCCCTTTCTTACCTATATAACCTCTTGCCACGGCAGCTATCTCGCCTATTTCAGCATTTTCTTGCTGTGGTTATTCCACCTGATGAAGATTGCTTGTGTTGCGATCGAAACTTCGTGATTTATTTCATTTCTACCTACGTGACTTTACCGAAAGAACCAAAGAGTATGACAGCATTATTATGTTTACTGAAGCTTAAAATAAGTGTTTGTAATTTTCTAAATGTTTATTAATCATGTGTTTTTAAGCCGCACTTAATTCATGGCTATCGGCTCGATTTAAGTAATTTTACTCTGTTATGAATCATGACATTGGCTGTGAAAACCTTGTGTATTATTATTGCTGACAGCAGCAGTGCCCTGGTGTTTCTCGCTGCGTGACTGCCATCTACAGGCGAGCGAGTTGGAGCGTGCCCTGCGCTGGCTGCGCGACCCCAGCCCCTTGCCCCCGGAGGTCCTGCACTCCCTCTTCCTTGAGACGTGCGACTTCGAGGTGGCGCTCTCCTGCGTGCAGCCATCGGCCAAGCGCGAGGGCTTCGCCACCGTGCCCGACGTGACGTGGGACGACATTGGGGCGCTGGAGGCAATTCGAGAAGAACTAAGCTTGGCCATTCTGGTACTATTACAAACCCGATATCTCAGACTCGGACTTTATTCAGCCAGTGAGGCCCCATTGAGCTAAGCAGCTTTTTTTACAAAGACCGTTGTTAATGGTGGAAGTCACAGCACATTGCAGGCAGAAAATGTGCAAACTAAGAGAGCAAAAACAAAAATTATTTACATTAAACCAATGGCAAATCTTTCTGCAAACAGGATAAACATATCGTGCTTAAATACAAAAACGGTGTAAAAATACCCTGCCACAGATGTATATACAGCCTTAGACATAATAGAGCTCAGCTACAATGGATATCTTACTGTACGTCTTCTAAGTAATGTATCAGCATTTGTTTGTTTACCCATGTGTAGGCGCCCATGTGTGTGGCTGAATGGGCTATAATCTATTGCAGAAGTGCTCTTTGATGTTGTTTACTTTCCATCATCTTCCACCACTGATACGTCACAATGTCGAAACCGTCACAATGTCGAAACCGTAGCCCAACTCAAATAATCCGCTGATCCTCTGGCACAAACATGGTCATGCACTTTGCTGTCCTGTGGAGAATGACATTCCCACTTCTACCTGCTGCTTCCCTTACTCCCATTACACCATAGAGTATATTCCTTGATGCAGGCCCGATCAGGTTCATTGTACCTAGTTTCAAATTATCTCGCAGGTTCCATATTCTTTGGTTCCTTGCAGTCACGAAAACTTCAAATCTAGAATCTCACAGGTTGTGATGTTCTACCATTTCAGCTCAGTGAGTGTAATGTGCTGACTTCTTGAATGATGTAGTGTCCTATCCTGCTTCCTCTCTCGAATTTTCCTCTTGGGTCTACTTTTTTTCCATTTCAGTTGACGTGCTGCGAACCAACCCTGATGCCTCAGCTGTCCAGGGAAGGCCTGCTCCCCACTTATGAAAGCCACCACAGTACCTGAGTGGACTGTGCAAATCTTGTTCATTGGGGTGGCATATGAGCCGGGTAGTGGCAAGTGAGGGGAGACGAATGGGGCATCTCACCACCAACACAATGTTGCATCTCTGCCTGTGCCAGCCATGTGGCTGTGGTGCACATGTCATGTGTTTCTATGGTCGAGTGGAAGGCAATGTACAGGGGGTGTTCCTGCGCATTTCCAGGCACCGATCAGGCACCCGGAGATGTTCCAAGTGCTTGGCTTGACGAGCCCAGCGGGAATCCTACTCGCCGGACCCCCTGGTTGTGGCAAGACAATGCTCGCAAAGGTAACGCCAGATGAAACCAAAATTCATAGTCAGGATCAACCAGGGTCTTGGCAGCCGCTCAGGGGTCATGGTAAAAAATATGGGGAACAAGAGAGGTCAACTGTCCTTTGGGCCTCACTATCAAGTAAATGATCTCCGTGTCGCACACATGTGAGGTTGTGCTCCTCCATCGATGATTCTGAGCAAGTAGGACGATTGCTATTGACTTGCCACAGAGTGGCATTTATGGTATCAGCCCTAGAGGGAAATGAGCTGAGTTTCCCTCAAGCCCCGATTCTAACCCAGCCTCAGGAGAGTGAGATGGAGGCTCTCATTCAGTACAATCAGCTGATCAGTGCATTGAGCACAAGCAGCGCATACTGCTCTTGGCACACAGCCTCCGTCACATAAACACTCTGAGCTGAATGTTTATTGGGTTAGGCCACAATTATCTGACCAAATGTGACAATTTTTTTGGTGACTGCATTGGTAGTGGTGCACAAACACAAATAACAAAGTCCACAGAATCATCGATAACACTGTCCTAAGAGGAAATATATATAGTAGTCCCTCGGTCAACATTTATCATCCATTACACGAAAACTATTGTTAACCAAAATAACTGTTACTCGAATTCACTTCTAAGTTTTAAATTTTTTAAAAATCACCAAGCCTGCAAGAGAGCTGTTTCCACTGCCAAAACAGAAAACATAATGTAAACAAAGCCAATCGAGGTCTAAACGCTCATAAATGGGCATTGCTGATTGGCTGAGGCATGCTGAGCCCACTTACGAGTGATCGGATAGGCAGAAATTGGCACCCGCGTGCATAAATTAAACACTGGTAATCAACATTTTTACGTTAGTCGAAACCATGGGGTCCTATGGGAGGCGATATTTCGGCATGAAGAAGGGGCATTGTCTGAAACGTCAGCCATTCGATACTTTTCCTTTTGTGACACGATTAACAAAAGTAAGATTTTGACCAAATCTGTGTCATGTGCGGCACCCGACGATCCTCACAGGCAGCACTGCACACGTTCCTCTGCAATGTGTGTTGTGCGCATGTGTTTCAGGCCATTGCAAATGAATCGGGGCTCAACTTTATATCCGTTAAAGGTCCAGAATTGCTCAACATGGTGAGTGAGAAGTGTCCTATGTGTGTACAAATGCATATGCGAGGACATACTTAGCGACTTGATGCAAACCTACGTATTAAGCTGACTTTATGCAAATTTGTCGTCGCTTTGGCGAAGGTTTAATGCACGTGTCACAATTATTGAAATTTTCCACAGTTGTGCATTGGTTTCGATGCAGATTCTAACCTGTGGGCATGCGCATGTAAGCATCTGGGTGTGACTTGTGTGTAGTATTGTGAGGCAAGAAGCATTGTGAAGCAAAAAGCAGAAAGAGACGTGTGTTGTCCTGAGTGGTGAGTGAGTGTTGTTGTGACCTGCAGTGTTGTGGTTAAACATAGTGTGGATGAGACGAAACAATCAGTGTCTGGTGGAGGATCCAATGAGTGAAGTGCACGGGAGAACAGTAACCATAGTAGTAGTGATAGAAGAGTGATAAGGGGATGATTGACTGCCAGTGAGTGTGAGTATTGAATGGGTGAGTGCTAGATTATCATTCACCCTTACTGCTCTGTTGAATCATTTTGAGCATGTGCTGTAATCATCAAGATTGTTCCTTACCGCACCAGCTTGTGCATTGTGGCCTTGCTAATGAGCGTGTGCTGCGGGTGTTGCCTGTGAGCAGTACGTGGGGGAGAGCGAGCGTGCCGTGCGCCAGGTGTTCCAGCGAGCTCGCAACTCTGCTCCGTGTGTCATCTTTTTTGATGAAATCGACGCCATCTGCCCGCGACGCTCTGACCACGAGGTGAGCACACCCCTGCACCTTGCGCTCACCTGGTTACCAGGGTTTTTCTAATACAGTCGTATTGCCTTTTACGCCCGTTTACGTAACGCGATTTTGGAATAGTGCGTTAGATTAATTGACACTTATTTTTGTCATGCGCATAATGGTATTGAAATAGCGTGCTCCAGCTAATCATTAGTCAAGCAGAAAAATTCAGTCGCGATGCCTGAGGTTCAGTATGACAACAACAAGCTTGGGCAGCATCAGCATCTCTTCCCGCACCATTTTGAAGATTTTGTCCGCGTGAGCTTTGCCTTGTGCACACATTTGCTTACCAATACATCCGGTAAATGTCCAGCTACATCCAAGGATGCCTCCAAATCTTTTTGTTTCACTTTATTTTTTTCTTTAAATAGGCTGTTACTATTTGTTTATACATGTATGGTAGTATTGTAATATAACATGTACTGTAACCAGTGAAATATGTAGACATAAGAATGAGGTTCGATAACATGCTCTCCCTAACCCCAAACATTTCGTTTATTTCTTTTGGGAAAGTTACGTTTAATTTACGCGATTTTGAGTTTGCGCCGTTTTTCAAGAACACAACCCCCGCATAAAACGAGAGGTAGCTGTATAACAATTATAATATTCATTCTTGATGGAGCGCCCTTTATGCTGGGGCATCTCAATGCTTGACACACGATAAGCAAACTTACATTACGTCTCATCGCAAATATTTTAAAGGGCACGCCCATTGGCAGCTGTCTCTGCGTGACACATAGTGACTCGGCACCTGGCCTACAATGATGGTATCACACTTTTGGACGCCCCAGCGTATAGGTTGGCGCTACGTCACAAATATATTATGAGAAATGATCCCACCATCTCGAGTTCTAATCCCGTTGACAGCAAATATCAGTGAAATATATCTAAACCAGTCCTGGGTCTCCCCTATGTCGACTTAGCCTCAAATGAGTACCTAGTACAGTGTCTAAACATCAGCATTGGGGAGACAAAGTCGGTCAGGCAGTTGTGGTGCTGGCCACCCACCTCCTGGTGTGCTGTGCTGGCCCCCATAGGCGCTCGGTAATAGCATTTGCCTCTACAGTTTGTTGAAGGCTATACGGGGGGGATCTTTGTTGTTCTAGTCAGGAGCGAGCGTCCGAGTGGTGAATCAGCTCCTCACAGAAATGGACGGGCTCGAGGCTCGTAAACAGGTCTTCATCATGGCTGCCACCAACCGCCCTGGTAAGCGTTCCACTCTAGCACCATCGACTGTAAAAACAAACCATCCACAATTCGGTTGTATTATAAAGCACTAGCTTTACTACCCGGCTTCGCCCGGGACTTGGATTCATCACGGTCGGCCGCCTTTGTCTCCCCAGTGGCGATGTTGACACATCACACCACTTACTCGTTTGAGGCTGAGTCGACCTAGGGGAGGCCCAGGACCGGTTCAAATAATCGTCACCAGTGGTGGCCGTGAGCAGGAATGAATCTCGGGTCACTGGGTTCGTAGCGCAGCGCGCGAATCGCTACGCAGTCCCCCCCCCCCCACACACACACACAGGATAAAGACAAAATCCCCCGTGTAGCCTGGAGGGGGCAAGTGCTGTTAGCGAGCACCTATGAAGGCCGGCACGGCACACGAGGGGGTGGGTGGCCAGCAGCACGCCCGGCCGCCTTTGTCTCCCCAGTGGCGATGTTGACACACCACAGCAGTTACTCGTTTGAGGCTGAGTCGACCTAGGGGAGGCCTAGGACCGGTTAAAATAATCGTCACCAGTGGTGGCCGTGAGCGGGAATCGAACTCGGGTCGCCGGGTTCGTAGCGCGGCGCGCTAACCGCGACACTACAATGTGTTACGCTTCCACATGCGAGGGTCACGTGACAGATTTGATGTCACAGCTCACTTGCCGTGCAAAAAATATATGCATTTTTGAGCTCCCCCCACCCCCCCCCCCCCAAAAAAAGTGTATTTTTATAAATTTTGCATGGTGTACAGTCTGGAAAGTAACCCACATGGCAAATTTCAAGTTTGTTGCATGTCGGGAAGTAGGCTAAACATTTTGAACAGACACACATATTCACAACTTTGCCTTTTATATATACAGTGAGGGAAAAAAGTATTTGATCCCCAGCTGATTTTGTACGTTTGCCCACTGACAAAGAAATGATCAGTCCATAATTTTAATGGTAGGTTTATTTGAACAGTGAGAGACAGAATAACAACAAAAAAATCCAGAAAAACGCATGTCAAAAATGTTATAAATTTATTTGCATTTTAATGAGGGAAATAAGTATTTGACCCCTCTGCAAAATATGACTTAGTACTTGGTGGCAAAACCCTTGTTGGCAGTCACAGAGGTCAGACGTTTCTTGTAGTTGGCCACCAGGTTTGCACACATCTCAGGAGGGATTTTGTCCCACTCCTCTTTGCAGATCTTCTCCAAGTCATTAAGGTTTCGAGGCTGACGTTTGGCAACTCCAACCTTCAGCTCCCTCCACAGATTTTCTATGGGATTAAGGTCTGGAGACTGGCTAGGCCACTCCAGGACCTTAATGTGCTTCTTCTTGAGCCACTCCTTTGTTGCCTTGGCTGTGTGTTTTGGGTCATTGTCATGCTGGAATACCCATCCACGACCCATTTTCAATGCCCTGGCTGAGGGAAGGAGATTCTCAGCCAAGATTTGACGGTACATGGCCCCGTCCATCGTCCCTTTGATGCGGTGAAGTTGTCCTGTCCCCTTAGCAGAAAAACACCCCCAGAGCATAATGTTTCCACCTCCATGTTTGACGGTGGGGATGGTGTTCTTGGGGTCATAGGCAGCATTCCTCCTCCTCCAAACACGGCGAGTTGAGTTGATGCCAAAGAGCTCCATTTTGGTCTCATCTGATCACAACACTTTCACCCAGTTACCCTCTGAATCATTCAGATGTTCATTGGCAAACTTCAGACGGGCATGTATATATGTGCTTTCTTGATCAGGGGGACCTTGCGGGCGCTGCAGGATTTCAGTCCTTCATGGCGTAGTGTGTTACCAATTGTTTTATTGGTGACTATGGTCCCAGCTGCCTTGAGATTATTGACAAGATCCTCCTGTGTAGTTCTGGGCTGATTCCTCACCGTTCTCATGATCATTGCAACTCCCCGAAGTGAGATCTTGCATGGAGCCCTAGGCTGAGGGAGATTGACAGTTTTTTTGTGTTTCTTCCATTTGCGAATAATCGCACCAACTGTTGTCACCTTCTCACCAAGCTGCTTGGCAATGGTCTTGTAGCCCATTCCAGCCTTGTGTAGGTCTGCAATCTTGTCCCTGACATCCTTGGAGAGCTCTTTGGTCTTGGCCATGGTGGAGAGTTTGGAATCTGATTGATTACTTCTGTGGACAGGTGCCTTTTATACAGGTAACAAGCTGAGATTAGGAACACTCCTTTTAAGAGTGTGCTCCTAATCTCATTTCGTTACCTGTATAAAAGACTCCTGGGAGCCAGAAATCTTTCTTATTGAGAGGGGGTCAATTACTTATTTCCCTCATTAAAATGCAAATCAGCGTATAACATTTTTGACATGCATTTTTCTGGATGTTTTTGTTGTTATTCTGTCTCTCACTGTTCAAATACACCTACCATTAAAATTATGGAATGATAATTTCTTTGTCAGTGGGCAAACGTACAAAATCAGCAGGGAATCAAATACTTTTTCCCTCACTGTATGGAGATAATCTACTCATCCTGCTGACTTCTTTGGCAGTTTATGCATGCATTTGTAATAGTATTGCATAATCAAAAATGAATTTGTAATACTATCACATGTATAAACATGTGAATGTAACTGGTATTGTCCAAACATCCAAATGCTGTAAAAAATCACCTGCAAACTGCAAATTGCTCAGTTGGGATGACACAGCAGCAACCTTCTTCTCGAGAAAGTCGGTGGCACTAGGAAGCTTCTCCCGCGTGGCATGTGATGACGAATTTGCAAAATCGGTAACCAGCAGTGGGAGCACGTGACGTCATGACATCATTGAGCCATGTGTGCGTGCGGTTTTGTCTGAAGACATTCTGGACCGCGCGGTGCTGCGGCCTGGCCGTCTGGATAAAACCCTCTACGTGGGGCTGCCCGTCATGGCCGAGCGTGCCGCCATCTTGCGCACGCTCACACGGGTACCCTGCTCATTCTCGCTCGCACTCACTTGCAGCTGTAGTGAGCAGTTCACTCTACTTCACCATGCTGATTAGTGCGGGTTGAAGGGAATTCATTGTCTTGCATCTCGTCAGAGTACCCGACGGGTATGACCGTCTGAACAGTATGGCTGCTCAGGTCTGCATGGCACTAGCATCTTCCCCATGGCGAGGCAGTGTTCCGGTTAAGAAGGGGAAGACTTGAGTGATATTGTCTCCCATTAACCCAAGGGAGGTGGACCAATGGTTCATTTTGCAATCCCAGCCTGCATCGTCTCTGGGGTCTGTAATGCGTCATTGCCCCTCTGTGAGGCTGCCCCCACCCACACGCTGCTATCTGCTAAATGTGTAACTTCATGGCGTCAAACCTGGTAGACCTTGCACACTGGTGGTAATGTACTACTACCACATGTTTTTTTTAGCTTTCATAACGAACAAAAAAATACGATTAATACATTCGTATTTGTGGGTGGGAGGGTGGTGCAGTGGTAACACTTGTGCCTAATAGCAAGAAGGTCCTAGGTTTGATTCCTTACTTGGTCATCTTTGAGTGGTGTTTGCATGTTCTCTCCCCCTGTTCTGCATGGGTTTCCTCCAGGTTCTCTGATTTCCTCCAATAGCTAAATAAATATTCAATATAGTAACTGTATTGACCAAACAGCCCAATGCTGAAAAATGACCTGAAAATTACTCAATTGGAATTACACACAGCAGCAACATCGTCCCCCGAAGGGAGGACCCTCTTAAAAGAGACTTGAACACTCGGTGAGGTTTTCTGGGTCAACACGCATTAATAATAGTTTATGAACAGTAGGACATTATTGACATTATTGACATTCACACCAAAATATGCAAAAAAAAGATAAATAGATCCTGGGTTAAATACACAAGCTGTGTCGTATGGGTCTGCATTCTCGTGAGTGTGCTTTTGTTGGCTGTGCATTTCCACCACGTGCAGGGTGGGACTAAACCTCCTCTGGAAAAGGATGTGGATCTAAACGTCATCGCTGGAGACGGCCGAAGTGATGGATTCTCGTAAGTGCATCACCCTACTGCCACCGATTCTCTTGACCACCAGTAAGCACCTAGCTTGGTTTGTTCATGATTCTCATAGTTAAATGAACGCTTCCACGTTTGACTACTGTTGCCTAATTTTTGTCAAATTAGATGTTGAACAAAATTTGATTGCAAACCTTTACCAGTTTTGGTGTCCGTGTCAGATGTGTTTTTAATATCAATGCAATGTAAATAATGTACTTTATGTGAAAAAAACAAAGATTCATCTGTAACGATGTTGGATAACATTCTGGTCCACTCCTTCCACCCAGGGGCGCCGATTTGCAAGCGTTGACCCGTGAGGCCGCCATTGGGGCTCTGCGGCGCCACCTCATGGCTGGTACGTGGGCGGCTGTGAGATTAATGCTTGGCGGTAGAGCGAAGGGCTCACAATTGGAAGGTTGTGAGTTAAAATCCTGGTTGCGGGTTGAATCGGTCCATCGTCCCCCCTGGGGTTGATAAAATTAGTACCACTTTTTGGGGACGTTAACAATGGTTGGGGTGTGGATAGACTCGCCCCCACCATAGGGATAAGAAATTTCCACCCTATGGCTTACGGCTGTATACAGATGAGCACTGGCTCAATACTCATTTGAGTAGGAAATCGCTTTGATCACTTTGACATGTCCATTTATAAATGTCCCCCGGTGTTAGATCACTTCGTACCATATCATTCTTTTAACGATTCCCAAATTTTGATGCAGTTTTTTGGTAGATTTGGAGATGCGGTAAAGCAGACAAGCGAAAAGGTATCCAGAACCGGTGCCAATAAATGTCTGAGTTCTATGTCTTGATATTGGGATATTTGGAAAACTCCAATAATTTGTGTTTATACATGAGGAAGTTGACAGGAGTACCCGGTGAAAACCCGTTTACAATTAACCCACTTGCTGCACTGCCATACTCTGACAAGCCAGGAGATGGCGACCTCGCACCCCAGCGGGTTTAGGAGTTTCACAAATGTGTGTGATCCACCAACCCTCGTCTCCCATTACGAGGAATGCAGTGGCCACTCCTGTCCACTCTACTGCACCTAAACCTGGAATCCTATATTGGTTGCCACACCTATGGCCAAATAACCCCAGATGCGCCCGATCTTGCCAGATCTCCGACCCTCAAAAAGTTTTGAACCTGGATAGCACTTGGATGGGCCTTGCAGAACACGTTATATGCAGAGGGCAGTGCAGTGAGATACATTGTTGCTCTGTACTTCGATGCCCTTGCGCCTCTGCTCCCTCACCAACCAACAAGGAGCAGCGTGATGAAGTTGTGGTCTCATCACACCCATGACCCGCACCTCGTGAAGAGGCCATCATTCAGTAGTAGAACGACAAAAATGGTTGTGTCCATGGTACCATACAGCTCCTGGTGTTACCGATCTGGAGTGTTAGAAAATCCCAAGTTACACTTAAAAGTCTTATCCGGCGCCGATCCGGCTTACAACATTTTCCAACGGTCCTAGGCCCATCCGGCAAAACTTGCAAAACCGCTCCAAAGGCTTTACCAGTCCAGCGATCGGTAGCATATGCGTGACAGAAAAATTTAGTTATGCTTGATTTGAGTGTCAAATATATACCAGTACATTATACACTACATACAACAAGTTAATGAAAATACTGCACGCATATACATTTTTCATGACTAATAACTAGTATTACAACCATATAATTTACAGTGTGATCCAGTGAAAAGTGCATGTAATTGGCGATTGTCATACATATGGAAACAAGAGCGTACATAGATCCCCGCATGTAGATTCTTCGGGATTGCAGTGGTAAGTACAGTACAGTAAATACAGTAAATTTTAAAAGTATATTTATTTTTGTTTATATGTATGTTTATGCCAATTTCAAATCCTAAACAAATTAAAAACTAAAAAAATATTCAGACAACACCTACAAAAAATGTTATGCAAGAAGGTGTAAAAATAAGCTATTTTAAATAATTATGTGATTATCCACCGTTTTTGACAATGGCTACATGTTCAGTTCTTTTGAACTGGTGGTCTGGATAAGGCTTTTTGTACACAGTGCTGAACACTGCTGTGTGTTGACAAGTGAGAGTTGTTGTATACACAGTGCTGAACACCACTGTGTTCACAAGTGCTGCCTGCCTGATGGAACCTGTGCTCCCTTCTCTGTTCAGGGGTGAAGGCAGACACTGACATCATTGTCAGCAGAAAAGACTTTGACTATGCATTTGAGAAAGTGAAGCCTTCAGTCTCCAAACAGGTAACATCCTGCTCCCTACACATCCTTGTTTGAATTTTACACCGAAAAAAATAATGTTTAAGAAGTAAGCGCATCATGGGAATATACAGCTGATAAGATGGAATAACTGGATGTCATCAAAGAATTTGATTAATTTGACACGTAGGTTTCTGCAGGCAGTGTTACGCTTACTTGGGTTGTGAGGATTGTTTCTTCCATTCACCAGTTAACTGAAAAATAACAAAACTGAATTATGAATCATCATAGAGTGGAACCAAATGTTGAATGTATTTATGTTGAACTTCTTTAGCACCATACGCAACCAGCTGTGCTAATTGGAGGTGCGAAATTAAGATTCAGCATACACTAATTAAATATCGCAGTCGTGAAATGATACCGTATTGAGTTCCAGATCCTTTAGCGTCCTCTCAACACTCGTGTATCCTCCACAGCTCTCAGGAAAGCGAACCATGATAATTATCGTGCAGCTAACCACCTGCGGCAGCTTCGATGTGAAAAACTGCTTTCTACCATTGACCACACAAACTACCTTGCACACAAGTAATTGTGTTTATATGGAGTTACATAAAATTATATTTATTTGATTAAAGTGTCTGGAGTTCTCAACTCACAATTATAATCGTTCAATTTCAAGATAATGGTTGATTCACCAGTTTCCGTGTGGAATTGATCAATTGAATATTACTTTGTTGTAAATCAACAGTGATTGTTCTGTGGAGAGACTGACCCTGGTATAGGAATGTGCAATTTCCACCGCTGGCTCAGGAATATTATCAAAGATGAGTTGGAAAACACCTGGTTCTCACCTGGTTGCCGGGAGTAATGGGCAGGACATAACCCAGACAAAACTAAAGCGCATATGACACAAAACATTTAATTTTGTCTGTGTGACACGTGTATCATTTACCCATCTAAAATAGGGTGAAGACGTGCAATGCGCCCATTTTTGTTGCCGTTTAAAATCATCAGTTTACTTGCTGACTTGTGTCCGGTCACTTGAGAAGCGAGTTCATGCAACTCATGGTAGAGCCGGTGTGCAGAGAGATATCTTATCCAAGCATAGATGTTTCACCCAAAGATAGAGGGTTCGCTGTGCTTGTACTCTTTTGCGTTGAACTCGTAATTTATTTGCATGCACAGCAACATGCGTACCTTCTGTTTACATGTATATTCTGTCCTGGGTAATAGTTTTATGTGATATACTTTCTGTCCACAGGATAGAGAAGTGTACGAGCAACTGAAGAAATCCCTGGTTAATGTGTAACGTGTGCAATGTTTGAAATACATTTTCATCTTTTACACATGCACAGTCATGTACATATTTTATGCGGGTGAAAACTACTTTCGTAATAAAGCTGCTGTTACACACGCACGATGCTGTGTCGAGGCTCTTCACGCAGATACAATGTCTCGGAATGCGACGGCACCTCAACCAAAACATTTAATTTCCTTTAAAATCATATTCCTCATGTTATTTTTTAAAATCTTCTAATACATGTGCTTGTTCTAAATATAGTGTTGTAAGGTCACTTTTGCAATTAGACGATTTTGGTCACTTGTGCATGCAGTGCGGTGGTCACATGGCATGTACACAAGGCACATGGGCGGGAGCCCTGCCTTCTTGCTATTTGTGAGTTGCCCACTCTGCCACTTACCCATACCTTTGCGTGTTGTTTAACCTCAGTTTCCAGCCTGCGCACATTCTGCTTTTGCGGTGGGTTTTCGTCATTTTACAGGAAGTGATATGCGTTTGAATGATTGTAAGCATTCCACGTCAAGGTGAGAAACTGAGTCGCATAAAATACTTTGTACAACGCGTCCCCTTCTTATTCGCGAGGGCTACGTTCCGGAGATGCTCGTGAATAGCAAATTTCGCGGATAATGATATTGGTCTATACAAACATTTAAATTACCTTAAATACATAAGCTATTAAATACATGAACATTACCAAAACATCTTTATCTCATCACTTTATCTCTTCTTCTTTGGTTCTTTCGGTAAAGTCACGTAGAATGAGAATAAAATAATAAATTGATAAAATAAAATAACACAATAATATTCTCACGACGTTTCGGCCACAACACAAGCGGCCTTCATCAGGTGAAGGGACGAGACTGTCTGGTAGGACAGCGCTGTCCTGTGTTGTGGCCGAAACGTCGTGAGAATGTTATTGTGTTATTTTATTTTATCAATTTATTATTTTATTCTCATTCTGCGTGACTTTACCGAAAGAACCAAAGAAGATGAATCATTGCAGTCACGAAAGCTTTAAATCGAAACTTTATCTCTTATTACATTCTCGTCACTTTATTGCGTATTCTTATCACTTTAATTGGATGCAGTTCCAGATGCGACGCACAGACAGTCAAAATCGTGGATGGCAAGTTCGTGTATAACGAGGGAATACTAGATTGCGCGTGGAGGGTCTTGCTGAGTTAACGCAATATTCCGTTTTTTTGTAACAGCGTTCATACAAATTGCGTCTCGAAGTCGCTGGCGAAGCAGACGTCTGGAAGGGAGCCAGGTGGCAAGCCGGAGCAGACAATTTCCCAAGCTTTGCAATCTTCTATGGTTGATGTTTTCGTGTTTGTATCACATGTGGGAGGAAATGGGAGCACCCGGAGAGGGGTAAACAGCTATCCAAAAAGTTATTTGATATTATATTAGTTCGTGCTTTGATGTGTCGGCGTCTTCGGATAAGCCAGGGTTATGACACCTCGACGCCCACGGGGAGGGAGTTTCGCAGCATTCGAGCGATCGGCCAAACCTCGCCTCCAGTGCTGGATTACAGCTGTGCGTTGTCACCATCGCCCCACAAGTAGGGGGCGATGATGCTGTGTAAACCCAATTGAGTAGCATATTATTCTTCAGCCTTGAGATGTTTGGCCAATACAAGGTATCTTTTATCTCCCAAGAACTCGGAGAAAGTGCATCAATAGGTGGAGAATATACAAACTCTAAACAGAAAGGCGCCCGAGTACTCAATGAAACAGAGAGCCGCTTTGCTATGAAGCAATGGGTGTTACCAGGCTAGGCTCGATGCGCTGGCCGTAGCAGGGATTGGAGTGAATGCGGTGTTCGCTGTGCCGGCTGGTCTCGTGTGTTTGGAAAAGCCTGCGCAGTGTGTATGCTGCAGCCTCGCGTAGACATTGCCATAATCGCTGCTGGGTCCATAGAGTGGATGCACAGCATTTGGCTTCTTGTCACTCATCTCCCATCGCCCCCTCCGGCCCTCTTCCATCACTACTTACCCCCCCCCTCCTCCACCCACTCCCTCCACCACTCACCTCCACCACTCACCTCCTCCACCACTCACCCCCTCCACCACTCACCCCCTCCACCACCCACTCCCTCCACCACTCACCACCACCCACTCCACCACTCACCACCACCCACTCCCTCCACCACTCACCACCACCCACTCCCTCCACCCACTTCCTCCACCACTCACCCCCTCCACCACTCACCACCCACTCCCTCCACCACTCACCACCACCCACTCCCTCCACCACTCACCACCACCCACTCCCACCACTCACCACCACCCACTCCCTCCACCACCCACTCCCTCCACCCACTTCCTCCACCACTCACCCCCTCCACCACTCACGACCACCACCCACTCCCTCCACCACTCACCACCACCCACTTCCTCCACCACTCACCCCCTCCACCACTCACCACCACCCACTTCCTCCACCACTCACCACCACCCACTTCCTCCACCACTCACCCCCTCCACCCACTCCCTCCACCACTCACCACCACCCACTCCCTTAACCACTCACCCCGCCTCCACCACTCACCACCACCTACTCCCTCCCGCCTCCACCACCACGCCCACTCCCTCCACCACTCACCACCATCCACTTCCTCCACCACCCACCCCCACCACTCACTCCCTGCCTCCACCACTCACCCCCTCCTCCACCACTCACCTCCACCAACTCCCTCCACCACTCACCCCCTCCACCACTCACCCCCTCCTCCACCACTCACCTCCACCACCACCAACTCCCTCCACCACTCACCCTCTCCACCACTCACCGCCGCCTCCACCACTCACCCCGCCTCCACCACTCCCTCCACCACTCACTCCGCCTCCACCACCACGCCCACTCTCCCCATCCCCGCCCTTGTTTTACGACGTCACGTGACGCGCCGAGAACTCGGTGAGACCCTCGCCGTGACTGCGAAACGGTCGCAGCGACTCGGCGTGACAGAAACCCAGGACACGGCGCGACACTGACTCGGCGTGACGCTCATACAGCGTGACAGTGAGACAAGGCACAACACCCAGTGTCACCCGCACACCGACTCGACAGAGCCCCTGAAGCCGGAATAACACATCGTGCTGTACGTGCCTATTTACCCAAGAGGGCTAAGAGTCAAAGGGCTTTTTTCAGGAGGGTGCTGCACTGGGGATGTTTGACCAACATCAGTGGCATCATTAAGGAGGTTTAGTTGCCATTCGCTATAGGGACCCGCGCCGTCGCAGTGACGGCGGCTCTGGCCCTGACCCCGCGTGGCCATGCGCCCCCCGCGCCTCTGGGCCCAGATCGTGGCTCTGCTGAACCCCGGGACTCTCGAGACCCCTGGGATCCGGTGCATGGGCCCGAGGCCACGAAGGGATGAGGGAGGGAGGAGAGGCGCTCACACAGTTCCCAGGCGAGTGCAGAGGGTAGGCAATCAAATTAAACTCACTAGGCCTCTATACAGGCTACTCGCCTCACTTCGCTACTCACCACCTCACGAACCACACACCTCTGCATAGCTCACTGTAATCTGCGCGCGTCCATTTCACCACTCACTTGGTCTCTGCTGCTTTCTCTTCCCTCTCCACTCTAATCTCTCATTGCCTCCCCCTGTCGTATAACTATGGAAACTTCTTTCGCACCGTACGTGTAGGAGCAACCCGAAAGGAGGCAAAATGGATAGGGAGAGAGCCTCTCAAGCCAAGGGGACCCCAGACGGAACCCCTGAAGGACCCCCACTCGTGGCTGTGTGTCAACTGACCAGCACGGACGATGTGGACACGAATCTGAGAGAGTGTGAGGATCTGGTGAGAGACAAGACCACCACGATCTCTGCACCATCCTCGTGGTGACCCTCGTGCGTCACAGCAAGAAGGTTCTGGGTTTGATTTCCGACCTGGGCGCCTTTCTGCATGGAGTTTGTGTGGATGGGTTTTATCCGAGTGCTCCAGTTTCCTCCCACAGTTAAAATCGATAAATATAAATGGGAAATTTGTGAATGTGTGTCTGGGGGGAGGGGGGGCGCAATAATGGACATTTTGCACGGCAAGTGAGCGGTGACGTCACATCTGTGATGTCACCCGCATGCGGTACAAGTATTTGCCAAAACATCCCAATGCTGAAAAAATAACTGTACATAACTCATAGCAGCAACATCACCCCCAACTGCGAATACTTGGCAAGACCCTCCTGATATCTTCTGGCTCGGTGAGGCTTTCTTGCTTAATAATAAATAATTACTCAACCTCCATCATGGTTACCAGTGCAATGACCATTAACACCATCAGTACCATGAACGATGCTCGTAATATTGCAATCAACTTTATACCTTGAACAAGAAGATCATTATTACCGTCAAGACCATTATCACAGGACTTTTTTTGTTTAGTTCTTCCTCCACACCGATTAGCACGGTTGGCTACGTACGGTGCGAAAGAAGTTCGACATACTGTACATACTAACAGTCACTCACAATTATTTCTGCAGAACAGTATTCGACTATACAAAATGCTTTAAAATGCATTGTATATAATACAGTATAACAATAAAAAAGCAACAGGATCCGAGATCAATACTCCAAAACGCTTCTATGTTATACTGGAATCACATGACACAAGTAACAGCATGGGGCATAGAAGAGGAGTTGGACGAGGAAATACTGTTCCCCGAGCCTATTCATAGAAGCATAACATATTTCTGAACATGGGAGTAGATTAATAAATGCATGAATATAGATGGAGAGGTATGAGCTATTTCATATTTACTGATGACATGGAGGAGTGTGGTGAGTGAAATCGGATAAGGTGATGGTCATAAATCGAGTAATGGTCGGAGAGGGGGATGTGCTGATGTTCGTGTGTGTGAGCCCAGGTTTGTCGTGCATCTGTGAGAGGCGCACGTGCCGTGTTTCTTCCCGAGGCGAGCGACTTCCTCTGTGGGAGTGGATCACAAGCTTCAGGCCTCACTCAGGGTCTGGACGGACCCATCGTGCAGGCCTTCAGAGACATGGCTAGGTACAGCCCCAAACCCGGCCCTGCACAGGGCCTGCACAGGGTTTGGCTATCTGGGTGTGTTGTACACTACAGGCAGCATGAGGTGTGGGTGTTCAGTGTTGTATTACAGGTAACATACCTGGGCAGTGTGCTTATGACTAGCTCTGTTTTGACAGCAGAGGTGTCACTCAGAATTAGTCGTGCGGAATCACTGGCAGAGCCAGTGGGGGATGGGGGGTGGGGTGGAACGAAATTAGGGATTTCGATCGGATCATTGGGGGGGCATCCCTAATTTCGATCGGATCATTGGGGTTTATTAGTAATAAATTGGCATTTTTCGACCCCCACTGCCACTGTGTAGCATAGTATTATGTGCCAGGGACTCTGAGATGATAGGACAATAGTCTTGAGTCCATAATTGGCAATAAGTAACGGCAAAGCAGTTATAAGTGACTCACATAATTGTGCGCAGTTGCGTATACAGTACACGACTTCCCTGAAGGCATACCTTCAGTGAGCGCGATGCCGATCACACACGGTTCGAATTCGACCCTCGATCGATGGCAGTGCCATTGCCGCACACGCGTCGGATAAAAAGTAAGAGACAAGTTCTTACTTACAACTATAATTTTTCATTGCTGGAGGGGTTGCCCCCCCTACCTGAAAATCCTGGCTCCGCCATTGTGCGGAATTATCTTTTCATCGGATGCGTAATGCTGTGTGGAAGCTACCTGGTCGGTCGCTCCACACGAAGCATCAGGTCTTCTTGGCTACAGTCATGCCCTCCCTTCTCTAAGCTTGTGAAACGTGGACCCCTCTAATCGATAATCTGCGCCGGTTAGAAACATTCAGGCTGACCTGCCTACAATCCATCCTGGGTTTAACCAGGATGGTTTGTGTGCGGTCACAAATCCTTGAACGATCTGAACACATTCCCATCAGTGAGCACCTTCAACAGGCAAGACTGGGTTGGCAGGGTCATGTAAACCGCATGCTCAATCACCGCCTGCCCAAGCAGCTTAATTTGGGCCGGATAAAGGGGGCTGAACGGGCACGACACAGGCTGGAGAAGAGATGGACTGATGGCTGTACGGTCGGATGTGGAGCTTAGTGGACTCGCCGAAGACGGGTACCAGCGGTGTCAAGATCGGCCTTTATGGAGGAGGCTCATGAAAGACACTGCTGGGCAGTTGGAGACAGTCGCCCTCCAAGAACAACGGAGAGCAGAGGAGCAACGCTCAACAACGAGTGGAGTGCCGGGTGGCTAAAATGAATCAAGTTGGCTCAGTAGGGGGTACAGCGGGTGCATCTTCTAGTCATCTCAGTCAACCTGTGGCACCTGGGTCTGTCCCATGACCTGTCAGCAAGCCTTTAATACTTCACGTGTGCTCAAAGTGCACCTGGCCTGGCACAGGCGCCATGGTGATGTCACCGTCACTTAGTGGCAAATGGCGGGTGTTGGTATTACAGGTACCACGGTGTGTGTGACTGTATGGTGTTGCATTATGATCTTGGGGTGTTTGGGGTTTCCGACCCTTTCCTCACGATCAGTAAGGAGCTTCATAATTGGCAGCGCCAGATAAAGGTGTGTGGACAGAAGTCTGAACTATTCCCTTGGGTGCAAGAGGGATGTCCTTTGGCTACTACACTACTTAACATGTTTAATAATTATTACTGATTTACAAAGCATAAATTTAACCACGTTGAATTCCCATTGTCATATCTGGGGTGGAGAACCCAGTTCCTACTTCATTGCAGTCGGAGTGATTGATAATCCAGCACCCACCAATTCACTCCAGTCTTTCACCTCGTCGGTCAATCACCCCCTTATCACGCTTCTATCACTATAACCATACTGTTCCTGTACACTTAACTCATTAATTCCTACTGTAGGTCACAACACTTCTCTCTATACTCTTTGGTTCTATTCGGTAAAGTCACGTGACTTTACCGAATAGAACCAAAGAGTATGGATCCTTGCAGTCACGAAAGCTTCAAATCTAGAACTTCTCTTTATACTTCTTCCCTTTCACTGCTGCATGATAGAATTTCCTCCCATCGTCTCATTTTCCCAAGTTCTTATTACCTTGCAAAATATATATTGCAACTTAGATAGTGATGATTATTTTGGATTGCTTGATGTTTTTGGGCTTGTGCTCAGCAACTGTGTTTTAAAATAAGATGTCTGAGTGGATTGTGAGAGGAGCTCACAGAGCCTTAAAAACATCTGGACACATTCTCATCAGTGAGCTCCTCCGACAGGCGAGCTACGTTAGCTGGGTCATGTATCCCGCATGCCCAACCATCAGATGCACAAACAGTTTCTATTCGGCTGAATAGATGGGGCTATACAGGCGTATCACGGGCTAGAGAAGAGATGGGCTGATTTGGTACAGGATGATTTGAAGCTGAGTTGATTTGTGGATGACTGGTACCAGCGTCCCCTAACCGTTTGGAAGAGGCTCGTGAAGGACGCTCTTAGGTAGTTGGAGGCAGTCACCCTCCAGAAACAACGGACGGTAGAAGAGCGATGCTCGCAACAATTAGCATATTGCCAAGCAGCTAACATCTGGGTCAGAGAGCCTTCCAGACTTTACGTATGATGTGTTACAGACAGCAAGGGGTGTGGCTGTCTGTGAGTGTGTAGGTGTTGTATTCAGAGTATCATGGGGTGTGTGTTGTTACAGGCGGCATGGCGTGTGGCTGTCTGTGGGTGTGCATGAGCGGGGCCCCACGTGGAGTGAGGATGGTCGCGTTTACAACTCACACCTCCTGCTCGACGAGCATGGTGAAGTGACGCTTCCATTAACGTTGTTGTAAGAGCCTGGTGATGTTAGATTATTGTTTAGTAAGTAGCAAGGTGGCTCAGTGGTAGAGTGAGCGGCTCACAATTGGAAGCTTGCAAGTTAAAAACTTACTTTCCTCTGGGATATATAACATGAGTACCACTTTGTGGGGAAGGCAACAGTGATTGTCCATGGATAGACTTGCCCACCCCACAGGAATGTGGATTTTGAACCACTGGTTAAGGGTTGTTAATGGGATATGATCACTGCTTCAATCATTATTTGAGCAGGAAATAACTTTAGTAACATATGGGCGTTGTGTAGGGTGTTTGGGTGGGCTGTTGGTTAGGGGTGGAGGTAATGTGTATGGCTAGGGGTGTAATGTGGTGATGTTTCGGTGATGTGTAGGAATGACGGGTGTGGTGGAGGTTTAATGTTGGGTAGGGATCAACATATTATTTGGTTCTTTCAGTAAAGTCACGTAGATAGAAAAATTATAAAAATTCAAATAAAATTAATCAAAATACCACGACGTTTCGATCGCAACACAAGTGGTCGTCATTAGGAAAAGGGGTTAGCCTCTAAACGCAAACTGTTTATAAAGGTTTGGAGATGGGTGTAGCCCAAGTGTATCAGCAGCACCAGTAGCATGGGCTGGGTAGCAATGCCAATGCAGCAGCAGTGTCAATGCAGCAAAGGGCCTTCCAGGAAATCACTGCACCCCGTTTCACACACCATACTGCTGACGGTGGTGGTTGATTGACAAGAAACGTGATATATTTTTTTTATATCTACGTGACTTTACTGAAAGGACCAAAAAATATGAATTCCTGGAGTCACAAAAGTTTTAAGTCAAAATTTAGGCATCAACAGTTCTTGTTTTGGGGTGGAGGATTAGACTTGTAATCCTATTATTTTTAGGATTAATTCCAAATGTTCAGTCAGCCAAACTAATACATTCTAACAAATTAAAAGTACAAATTACAGAATAGAGAAAAACAAGCACATTACAAAAAAAACATGCACAAACATAATCAAGGTTCGTATCATGCAAAAAAAGCTGTCTTTCACTCGAAAAACAGACACGTAAACCTCAAAATATATTTAGAATTGTTATTGGACGGTGCCTGCTGTTCAGGAGAGGTGCGGGCCGTGTACAGGAAGACGCACCTGTTTGACGTGGACCTCCCTGGGGTTGTGCGACTAAAGGAAAGTGACTACACGCTGCCCGGACCCTGCATCGCCCCACCAACAGCTACACCCATCGGCATGGTAACTACACCTCACCCACATCTGCAGCTATCACCGTGGTAACACCGAACTGTGCTGAGATGAGGAATGTCTGCTGCCCGCTGTGCGTTATGTGCAGGTGGGGCTGGGGATCTGCTATGACGTCCGGTTCCCCGAGTTCTCCCAGCGACTGCGTCAGAGCGGAGCCGAAGTGCTGACCTACCCGTCCGCCTTCACTCTCACCACGGGCATGGCACACTGGGAGGTGAGTGCTCACTCATGGGGTTATTTGATTTTCCTAAAAATATATATGATCCAGAACAAAGACAAGGCAAAGACATCTTGCTGACTTAAGAAATGTAACTGGGCTTGGGTAGAATGATAGCTGATGAATGAAGAAGCAGTAGCCAATGGAGGGGGCATGCCACGGGATGCCTATTGTGGAGATGGAGCAATTTAATCATACCCTTGTGCAGGAGCTAGCTAATTACATTGCAAGACTTAGAGATGTGAATAGATCAAGGATGATAAATATGATGTCTTCAAATCAAAGTGATTTCCTGCTGAAGCGAGCATTGAGGCGGTGTCCTTTGCTGTTTACAGCCCTGAACCACTTGGTGACATGTCCACATTCCTATGGCGGGGGGAAGTCTATCCATAGAACAACCACTGTTGACTTCTCCACATTGGTAGTAGTTTTATTGACCCTAGTATGGTAATTGGCTGAGTCAACCCCCAAACAGGATTTGAACTTGCAACCTTGGAATTTCGATTTAAAGCTTTCGTGAATGCAGGGATTCATCTTCTGGGTTCTTTCGGTAAAGTCACGTAGAATGGGAATAAAATAATAAAAATAATAACAGAATAAAATTCTCACGACGTTTCGGCCACAACACAAGTAGCCTTCTTCAGGTGAAGAAACAGGACTGTCCGGAAGACAGCGCTTGAGTGAACACTGCCAAGCATGGACAGCGTCTTTTAAGCTGTGTGGGAGGAACAGAGCGCCTTGACAAAGGAGTTAACATATAAATTAGCATGTAACTGGGGGATTAGCATGATGTTGGTGTCAGGGATTAGCATCACGGAGAGCGACGAGCTATGTTCAGACGGACGAGGGGAGGGGGGAGAGAAGTTTACATATAAATTAGCATGTAACTGGGGGACTAGCATAATGTTGGTGTGAGGGATTAGCAGCAGTTTACATATCAGCAGTAAATTAGCATGTAACTGGAGGATTAGCATGATTTTAGTATGAGGGACGAGCTTGTGTTCAGACGGACGAGTCCATCTATGTTCGGAACGGAGGAGGGGGGGGGGAAGAGGAGGAAACAGCCACGGTGCGCTGCTCTGTCCTGTGTTGCATTATAACTATGCTATAAACTGGACTACTGTACAATACAATAGTTTACCTTCCAATCTAAACTACATTGTATAATATCGTATCCATTGACAAATCCCACCCTTGAGTTATACAATGCGTTACTATACACTACCCTATACTCGGACCGCATCCGTGAACATAAAGCAGACTTGAAACACGGTAGGACGAACATCTCAGCCGTGGCAGATCACTGTTATAATTCAGTTGGCCAACATTACATTGACTTCTCCAAGACAGAGGTTCTCTGCAAGCCATCCGGCTACCATGAAAGATTCGTTCATGAGGCTATCCACATATACAAAGACAATTTCAACCGAGAAGATGGATTCTGGCTTAGTAACCATTGGAAAGACGTTATAAACCATTTCGGTTCTTGATTGATTGTATTTTACGGTGACTTTCAGACCGCAGTCCATTCGCTGGCACTGCCTATTAGTACCTATCACACGACGGTCAATAGTATAGTTTATAGCATTTGTATAATAATTAGTATAACAGTGTAATGTTTAACATAATTCATAAGCGAATATATAGTACCGTAATTGTATAGTGAATATACAGCAGTGTGGTATACAGTAGGGTTAATAGAATAATACATAGTGAAGTACAAGTCTAATATTTTATAGTCTAAAGTATAGGGTAGTGTATAGTAACGCATTGTATAATTCAAGGGTGGGATTTGTCTATGTATACGATATTATACAATGTAGTTTAGATTGGAAGGCATAATATTGTATAGTAGTCCAGTTTATAGCATAGTTATAACGCAACACAGGACAGAGCAGCGCACCGTGGCTGTTTCCTCCTCTTCCCCCCCCCCCCTCCTCCGTTCCGAAAATAGATGGACTCGTCCGTCTGAACACAAGCTCGTCCCTCATACTAACATCATGCTAATCCCCCAGTTACATGCTAATTTACTGTTGATATGTAAACTGCTGCTAATCCCTTACACCAACATTATGCTAGTCCCCCAGTTACATGCTAATTTATATGTAAACTCCTCTCCCCCCTCCCCTCGTCCGTCTGAACATAGCTCGTCGCTCTCCGTGGTGCTAATCTCTCACACCAACATCATGCTAATCCCCCAGTTACATGCTAATTTATATGTTAACTCCTTTGTCAAGGCGCTCTGTTCCTCCCACACAGCTTAAAAGATGCTGTCCATGCTTGGCAGTGTTCACTCAAGCGCTGTCTTCCGGACAGTCCTGTTTCTTCACCTGAAGAAGGCTACTTGTGTTGTGGCCGAAACGTCGTGAGAATTTTATTCTGTTATTATTTTATTCCCATTCTACGTGACTTTACCGAAATAACCCAGAAGATGAACCTTGGAATTATGAGTCACCTGGCCTATTAATTGTTGATGTTAACGTTTCTACATATTTATACAGGTGACCCCTGACTTACGACAGCTAGACTTGTGACCCCCCGCTTTTACGACCTTATAGTAAGACCCCCAGAGTAACGACCAAAACTCGTATCTACGACCACCTAACGACTGCTGCCGACGCCGAGTTGATTGGCGACGATTCTGCACATTTCATGCACCATCAGGCGAGTCTGCGCATGTCATGCGACAAGTCTGCGCATGTCATGCAACGAGTCTGCGCATGTCATGCGTAGACTCATTGCCTGATGCCGCTGCTTTGCTCTTCTGCCGTATGCGTATGTACAGTATAGCCCGACAGTCTGCAGCTCCGCCTAGAGTGAATGCATTTCTTTTGCAACGCTCTTCATTTTTTTGTTAACTTTAATTTTTTTAATTAAATGTTCACCTTTCACTGAGAAGAGGAAATATGATGCACATAAAAGCGTTTGTTTTTAATGAATTAATGTTTATAAAAGTTATGTGAAGTTACAATAAATGTTTGTTCGGGTTGTATAAATGTATTTTCGTGGTAAATTTTGTTATTTTTATGGTGTGTAATGGGTTTCCAGGAACGGAACCCCAATGTATAACATTGCACCCATGTGAGATGAGGGTTCGACTTACAACAGCTCAAATTGCAACCGTCGTCCAGGAACCAATTAGGTCCGATGTGCGAGGGTCGCCTGTACTACACTACATTTTATTATTGTTATTATTGATCTTGTTTACCCAGAAAAGCCTCACTGAGTCCCAAGTCTATTTTTCAGGAGGGCCCTCATAAGTTTTCGCAGTAGAGGGTAACAATTGCTGTTTCCCATCTAAGTAATTTCAGAATAATATTTCACATTTGGACCGTAATGTTGGCACGCAATGGGCTACTTTTGTTTGAATAACATCTTTAACGTCCAGCACCTTGTTGGGCACCTTCATACTATTACAAGTTATTGTAAAAAATAAGAAAATACCTTTAATATATGGAACAATCATTCACTGCCATAATGAAGATTATTAAACAAAATGTTCAGCCAAAACAGTCATGAAAGTAAGAACAAAAAAAGACCAAAAAACCAGGCCCAAGTCTGCACATTGGAGCCACAGAAACCCTGAAACACCAGGGTCCAGTACTGAGAAACCGAGTGAATGGTCACAAACGACGTGGCACACCAAGAGGAGTGTACACTCACCAACAGGTGAGCATGCATGGAGTTAAGGGTGGGTGTTCCTTGGCAAGTGTTCATGTCAAGCGTTTTCACTCGGGAATGTTCACGTCTCTGTATCGATGTCCCCATCCATGTCTCTGCATGTGCCCAGCCACTCCTGCGAGCCCGTGCCATTGAGACCCAGTGCTATGTCGTGGCTGCTGCTCAAGCCGGGCGCCACAGCACTCCCCGCGGAAGCGCACCCGCACCACGGGTGTCGTTTGGCCACGGCGTCGTGGTTGACCCGTGGGGCTGCGTGGTGGCACAATGCGGCCACGGCAACTCCTTGGCGCTGGCAGAGGTGGACACAGGCCTAGTGCGGAACGTGCGGTCATCCATGCCTGTGCATGAGCACAGACGCCACGACCTGTACTGATGACTCATCGCAGTGCACTTCACCACAATGGTACCTGCTGGAGCACAGCTGCCACAGCACTGTTGCCACGCGCTTGACATCGTACACACATCGTGGCAGTTGTCAAGCCACAGCATATTCATGAGCACCCGTCACCGTACACCTGTTAGCCATTGTTTGTCATGCCCCCCCCCGCGTGTGCAGCTCCGCCCCCTCAGGATTGCGGCCCAGTCCCCCAGCGCGTGGGCGGGACCGGCGCGGTGGTGGTGGCGGCTCGCGAGCTGTTGGAGGCTCTGCGGCTCCACAAGAAGGCCATCAATTTGTAACTTAGACGCATACAGCTCTAGGGATTTAATCGGCATCTCCAGTGATTGCTCATGATGGACTCGATTACAGATCCAACTGCTGCATTGAGGAATGTAGCGCAATCTTGCAAATGATTTATGGTGATGTTATATTGATGATAACAATTGGGATGTTTAATAAAAATGATTTATCCAGTCTCAAGACATTGAGGGAGGGTCCTGCGTGGGGTGTTTGGTCAATTCTCCTTTTGAGGTATGGGAGGAAATGACGTATACTACATGACGAACATCGGTGCATGCTTTAGTACTCAACACTGCCACACTAAGTGGGCGGCAACCTGTCTGCTGTTCTGCCTCGAACATGCAGTATGTGTGTACTGGAATATAATTATCAACATCTATTTGCAGCCCTGAAAATTAGATTATGGTCATGAGGATTTTGAGTGATGCCGTTAATCAGCAATGACAGATGATGGCAATGAACAAGTACAGTCCTTGTGCCAATCCACAAGTGGATGGAGGTCTCCCCATTCTGTGCCGGTCATTCTGCTTGTTTACCCAGGAAAACATGACTTTCAAGAGGGTCCTGCCAAGTTTTCTTATTTGGGGGCGATGATTGCTATGTACTGTATATTCCAATTGAATAATAAGGGGGTGCCATGGTGGCGAGATGTTAACTACCTTGTCTGGTGTACAGGAGGTCCATCCCGAACCCTGACGCCCGTATTTTTGGAGTTTGCATGTACTCCATGTGGTCGCATGGACTTTTCTCCGGGTCCTCCGTTTTTTTCCCTGCACATTTAGAAACATGCGTTTTGAGTATTTCGTAGCTATAAATTTGAACATGATAATCCACATACTTGAGCAATCCGTTGTGGCCAGGTCGCTTATGAAACAGAGTTATATCGCTCAATCGGCCTTATTTGGTAATTTTTAAAATTTTATTTTATATACATGCGCCATGTGACCTTTTGTGAATAACTTCAAATGATCTTTAACGTCAACTGTGAAGCGGACATTGCGCATGTTTTACAGTTAATACACTCGCAGTTTTAATCAGGACGGCTGCATTAAAACCGTGAAACCTGCAACAATCAGCGAACGCGCTGCCGCTGGGCGGTATCAATGGTCAGTGAAGGTTGGTAAAGCGTGATCGTAGAGCATAGACGTGGGAGCTGAGAAGCACGGTACAAAATCGATTTTTCTGCACTGCCCTCTGTCCACCAGGTAACGCCTCTTGATGCATGGTGATCGCCCATCCACTATCCCCGCCCCTCTGACCTCCCTCACTCTCCACCTTCCTCTCTCATCCCCTCCTTCCTATTCCTCCCCGATTATTTCCCCAGCCCCGACTCTCCTCTTCCCAACCCCTCCCTCCATGCGTATCGAGCGTCGGTCTTGCGCAATATGCGAAGCACGTGACTCAGGCGTCACGTGATGCGTAACCCTGGCGACGGACGCGCAGAGCGTTGGAGGCGATACATTGCGACGTCCTGCGACTCTGCCTGCTCCCCGTGACTCTCCCCCTGCTCCCCGTGACTCTCCCTGTGCCCCGTTTTTCCTGCTCCCCGTGACTCTCCCCCTGCTCGTGAATCTCCATGCGCCCCGTTTTTCCTGCTCCCCGTGACTCCCCTTGCTCCCCGTGACTCCCCCTGCTCCCCGTGACTCTCCCCCTGCTCCCCGTGACTCTCCCTGCGCCCCGTTTTTCCTGCTCCCCGTGACTCTCCCCCTGCTCCTCGTGACTCTCCCTGCGCCCCGTTTTTCCTGCTCCCCGTGACTCTCCCTCTGCTCGTGACTCTCCCTGCTCCCCGTGACTCTCCCGCTGCTCCTCGTGAATCTCCCTGCTCCCTGTTTTTCCTGCTCCCCGTGACTCTCCCTGCTCCCCGTGACTCGCCCCCTGCTCGTGAATCTCCCTGCGCCCCGTTTTTCCAGCTCCCCGTGACTCTCCCAGCTCCCCGTGACTCTCCCCCTGCTCGTGAATCTCCCTGCGCCCCGTATTTCCTGCTCCCCGTGACTCTCCCTCTGCTCGTGACTCTCCCTGCTCCCCGTCACTCTCCCGCTGCTCCCCGTGACTCTCCCCGTGCTCCTCGTGAATCTCCCTGCGCCCCGTTTTTCCTGCTCCCCGTGACTCCCCCTGCTCCCTGTTTTACCTGCTCCCCGTGACTCTCCCTGCTCCTCGTGACTCTCCCCCTGCTCGTGAATCTCCCTGCGCCCCGTTTTTCCTGCTCCCCGTGACTCCCTGCTCCCCGTGACTCTCCCCCTGCTCCCCGTGACTCTCCCCCTGCTCCTCGTGAATCTCCCTGCTCCTCGTGACTCTGGGGAGCGGGTCATGGCGGTTCGAGCTCACCCAGCGACAAGGAGTTTTGACTTCGCCTACGGTGAGATCCGCGTCTCCCCCTGCTGTTGCCTCCAACAGAAAACTCGCTCGTCAATAGCACTGTGGCCTTAGCAAGGACCACGTATATGATAGACGTTTCGAGCAATTAACCTTATTCACAACACATAGGCTGCAGTCCCAACGGGTTGTTTTGAGTTGTGTTTTGCATTATCGAATGAAAGCCTGGGAAAACCGCGCGTACTGCTTTGCCGCACATAGAACTGCCTCGCAATAAACTGGACGTATTTACATTTGAACTGAGATACGAAGGAGCTGGACTTCTGCAATCCAGAGGTAGGCGGTTCGATCTCCTGGGACGGCATTTGAACAATGGGGACGTTTTTTTTTAAGTCCCCTTCCCCGCCTGTGTCCACCCAGCAGCATACACAGTCTGTCCGCAGGCTGGGCTTGGTGGGCCCCACCCCTTCCAAGACGTCTGGTCAACGTTCATTTCATTTATTAGGTACTAGCTTTACTACCCGGCTCCGCCCGGGACTTGGATTCACCACGCCTGGCCGCCTTTGTCCCCCCAGTGGCGATGTTTGCAAGTCAAACAATAACAACCATTAGACAATTTAGATTAAAGTTATCAGGCTAACTTACTACAACAAACAAACATGGCTAAACCAAAACGTTTTTAAAATCAAAATAAAGCTATAAAAACAATGTAACAGTGATCATAGGAACTGATTCAAATTTAGCAATAAACGATATACATAACATGTACGACCAAACTTTGCAGCCATAGCTGGCTGCATGAGTCACTCCATAACAGCAGGACTATCAGCAGTATCAAAAAATTTCAATACACCTTTAAAGATCAGCACACTATAATCAAAACTCAAGATCATACTTTGCAGCGGTCATCCAGAACGATACATTTGATTTCAGGCCATTCTGAATAGAAGTGGCAACTAGGGGTGCTGATTTTTTTGTACTTACAATAGAGTCGACCAAATACTGAAGCCTGAGAGCGTCCTCGATTGGAGGCTGCGGCAGTGGCGCGAGCGTGACATTTTCAGGGCTTGCACCTTTTAACCGGTAATGGGTTCTGACCACGGGTTACGCTTTAACAACTCTGCAGACGCCACAGCACTCGCGCAGTGGCGGCTGGTCTGTATGGGGTGTTGGAATGGCATCCTGCCTAAACATTTTCTTTGACATTCTATTTATAAACAAATATTCATCATATACAGTATTACTATTGTAAACAATATACATGTCCTGGCTGACTGCCGGCTGGGCTCATCTCCACCCCTACATTAAATGTTTGTGGATGTTGCGGGCCGTAGACACCACAACTATCACGGGATTTTGCGTGCAACAAATAGACCTTGAATTGAGCAACACTGAGCAATAGAAAGCGTAACACATGAACCAGGGAGAAAATACAAATCAGAGACAACACATTCCTACGGAGGGAGCTGGTAGGAACGTTGGGTTGTTCGGTCAATGGCCAGAGTCAACGGCGGCACCACGTGGTGTATTCCGCAAATATGCCCGACTGTGAGGGCGGGTAGAAGCCGGCGTGAGTAGGTTAAACGTTGAGTTTTATAAGGGCACCACGGGGTGACCAGCCACTCCCCACCCAGCCCCACCCCTCCCACCCCCCACCCAGCCCCACCCTCCCCACCCAGCCCCTCCCCACCCTCCCCACCCAGCCCCACCCTCCCCACTCAGCCCCTCCCCACCCAGCCCCTCCTCACCCTCCCCTCTCCACCCAGCCCCACCCCTCTCATTTTTGGATGCACGATGGACGGATGGACACAATAATCCCCTGTGGGCTGGTGTAACCAGGAGGTTCCTACCAGTATAACTGGGAAGTAAATGGGCTTGGGCAGAGCTCATCGTTAGAAGGGATGATGGCTGGTCATCGAAACTAACAATGGAGTGGTAAATTTTGATTTAAAGCTTTCGTGACTGCAGGAATTCATATTCTTGGTTCTTTCTCGGTAAAGTCACTTTACCGAAAAAAAACAAGAATAAGAATAATGGAGTGGTAGATAAAGGTGGGAAACACACCTGAGGATGTACACTGGAGAAGGAGCGATGCCATCCGTTCACGTGTTGAAGTGAGATGGATTGTGGCATCGCAAGACCACGAGGGATGGCGATGCCATAGGGTCATCATGTTATTGCTGGTGACATTAATATTATATTCTTAGCTCTTTCGGTAAAGTCACGTTGAAGGGAAACAATAAAATATATAAAACAATAAAAATTCTCACGACGTTTCGACCATAACACAAACGGTCGTCATCAGGTGTGTCGGTTTGCATTAATTTATTGAACCATCAGGTCTATTTTTTATTAGGACATCCAAAAAAGGTTGCTTGCCACTCTGTCTACAGGAAAGCTACCCATACGGATGCTTATCTGAAACCGGATTCCCACCACCATCCATCACAGAAGAATTCTCTCATCAAGACTCTGTACCATAGAGCCAAATGCATATCCGACCAGGAACACATAGGCAGTGAACTCAAGCACGTACACCAAGCTCTTAAGGCTAATGGTTACTCCGACTATACAATCCGCAAAGCTATCACTCAAACCATGAAGAAGGACCCTCTTGAGGAGCCTTTCAAAACCATCACTTTACCCTACATTGCGGGGATCACAAAAAAGATCTCCAAAATCTTGAATAAACACAAGATCCAGGTCCGTTTCAACACATTACATAAAATCCGTGATCTGGTTCCGTCTGTAAAAGATGTGATTCCGGACATACAGTACCCTGGTGTCTACAAACTAAGTTGCCTCTGTGGTAGTAGTTGCATTGGAGAAACCAAACGCCATGTCTCAGACCGCATTCGTGAACACAAAGCAGACCTTAAACATGGTAGGACCAACACCTCGGCCGTGGCAGATCATTGTTATAATTCAGTAGGCTCACATGACATTGACTTTTCGAAGACAGAGGTTCTTTGTAAGCCATCTGGCTACCATGAGAGATTCGTTCATAAGGCTATCCACATATACAAGCACAGAGACAATTTCAACCGAGAAGATGGATTCTGGCTTAGCAATCATTGGAAAGATTTGTTAAACCATTTCAGGTCTTAATTGATTGTTCACGCTTACAATGGCTTTCAGACAGCATACATAAAATTTTCGTCTCCCCCCTCTTTTCAGAACATAGATGGACTAGTCCTTATAAATAAACTGCCAAATCGCTGCGCGTGGCGCAGACGTTTAAAAATAAATAAATTAATGCAAACCGACACACCTGATGACGACCGTTTGTGTTATGGTTGAAACGTCGTGAGAATTTTTATTGTTTTATATATATTTCATTGTTTCCCTTCAACGTGACTTTACCAAAAGAGCTAAGAATATGAATTACTGCAGTCACGAAAGCTTTAAATCAAGACATTAATATTGTTGCTTTTCTTCACAGACCCTGTTTACACACTCTCCAGTGAAAGGGACCAGGCTCGTGTGCGACTCATGGCTCAGACAACAATGAAGACACTAGTGAGATATCAATGTTCAGAAAGCAATACTAACTCACTGACCCATACACGAAGTCACTGATACTTGCTAGTATAAACATTAACCATGAAAATTATCACACATTGTGCTTGTCTGTCCTTCAGCCACTCCTGGCTGTGTGTTAACATCATTAACCCCCATTCGGGTATTAAAAGTCACCTGAAATTACGATCCCAAGGAGCCACTTTAATAAGAAATTTGGTAAAGGATGTAAAAAAGCAAGGCACGTGAATGATCAGCTTTGCCGCATTTCTTCACAAATATTTATCTGCAATGTGGACATAGGCAACACCAATATTATGTATCTCCTTTTGATAAAGAGTCAAGGCCAAAACAGCCTGGGCCCCAAGCACTCGCAGACATTACCACGATTCTCCCAGATCTTCTTTCATTCAGAATTGCCACATGTTTTTATCTTATCCTGCCCACATCGACTAGTCCATTCTTCACAATGACGAAACCTGAAATATGGATAGGCCAGCCTGAATATTAACATACCCTAACTCAACCACACTCACATATCAAGCTGCGTCACTATGTTAGTATGTCCTCACTGCTGCCTGTAGGTGAAGGTGCCACACTATGCCACTATGTTCAGCTCCCTGCCGCACCGGCCTGCATACTCGCTTCGTCTGGAGGCCCGTATCCCGCAGCCTGCTCTCCTAATGATGGCACATCGGTGAGAGATCTTACGGATGACATAGCATGAGGGATATGCATGAATGAACTTGCATGTCAGTTGTGCTCTATCACATAACGAAACGTCTCAGAGTGCAGAGCCCCTATTGGAAGCTGTTCCTGTATAGGAAAAGGTGACTCAGCACCCGGCTCAGCTATGAGCATTAGTCTACCATTAGGGAGCAACGATTGCCAAGTGAGTGATTTGCAGGTAATTTTCAAATAGAGGAGACCCTTGGATATTGCAGGGGTTACGTTCTTAGAAAGTGCCACGAAAGCCAAAACCACAATATTCAAATACTTAAATCTCGAAATAGATCTTTCGAGATTTAAATAAGTACTGTACAGTACTATATGCTAAATAAAAAATGAAATAAACATGTAAAAACTCTATGCTAAAACATTCCTCGACAGTAAATAGTTTAAAGACTGAATAAATACTGTACTTACCGATGATGATGGTGAACATAATAGGGGTGTGTGTGTGTGGTTATCCGTGAGTGGGGATCGGTAGTGTAGTGGTTAGCGTGCTGCGCTATGAAGCCGGCCATCCGAGTTCGATTCCCACTCATGGCCAACACTAGTTATGATTATTATATGAACCGGTTCTGGGCCTCAAATGAGTACCTGGTATGGTGTGTAAACATCACCACGAGGGAGACAAAAGCAGTCGGGCATGGTGCTGGACATCCATCCCCTCGTGTACCGTTCCGCCCTTCATAGGTGCTCGCTAACAGCACTTGACCCAACAGTTTGTTAAGGCTATACGAGGGATCTTTGTCTTGTCCGCGAGTGGGGAGCGGTAGTGCAATGGTTTGCGCGCTGCGCTACGATCCCTGCGACCCAAGTTGGATTCCCGTTCACTCCCAACACCAGTGACGATTATCTGAATCAGTTCTGGGCCCTTAGGTCGACTCAGCCTCAAATGGGGAGACAAAGGCGGCTGGCTAATAGCACTTGCCCCAACAGTCTGTTAATAGGCTATACAGGGGTGCGACTGACTTGCTTCGCGTCCCTCGCCCGCCCCGCACCATGATATCAGCCACACAACACCATCACTCTAAAAGCTTCTGGAGTGATACTTTCTGTGTATAACCGCAAAGTACCAAAATGTAATAATAGGGTTTTCCCCTTTTTTCTGGCAATAAAACTGAAACCTTTTTACAAGGATTCATGCCTACATTAACCACAATACCTGCAGTCAGTAATTAAGGAGGTCTAATGATGTAGATGCTCACCCCGAGCCCTCATTACTTTGATAGTGCATTGTCTTTGAGCTGTACGCCTTTTGGCGTCATCTGGTCGAGCACCAATTGGGTCGAGGCTCAAAAGAAAGCCGTCCCTTGGTGTGGACCAATCAGTTTCAAGGACAATGCATATATTATCATTGTATGTTTTTTGTTTGCATTTTGACTGCAGGTATTGTGGTTAATGCAGACATGAATCCTCGTAAAAAGGTTTCAGTTTTGTTTCCAGAAAAAAGTGGAAAAACCCTATTATTACATTTTGGTACTGGCAAGGGAGGTCTAATGATGTAGATGCTCACCCCGAGCCCTCATTACTTTGATAGTGCATTTTCCTTGAGCTGTACGCCTTTTGGCGTCATCTGGTCGAGCACCAATTGGGTCGAGGCTCAAAAGAAAGCCGTCCCTTGGTGTGGACCAATCAGTTTCAAGGACAATGCATATATTATCATTGTATGTTTTTTGTTTGTATTTTGACTGCAGGTATTGTGGTTAATGCAGACATGAATCCTTGTAAAAAGGTTTCAGTTTTGTTGCCAGAAAAAAAGGGGAAAAACCCTATTATTACATTTTGGTACTGGCAAAGGAGGTCTAATGAACTAATTTATTGTTTAGAAAGGTTGCCTGCGATAGGTTGAAACTATTAATTATAAACCCGCGATATTCAAGGGTCTCCCGTATTTGCAAAATTTAACTGAGATTGACACCATATGGTATTTATAGTTAAGGAGGGAAACCCAGAGAACCCAGAATAATTTCATGCACAACAGGGGGATTACATATAAACTTCATACAGAAAGGCGCCCGAGTTGGGAATTTTGCTGTGGCCCCAGGTCACAGCATGTTTTCCATGAGTATAACGGCATGTTTCTGCGCCAGTGAAACTTGCCAAACATGGTATTCCTCTTATATGTTATGTCCAGCCAGTGAAACTTTTTAGCTCAGTAGTGGGTGAGTTTCTTTGATGCCATTGGAATAGAACAGAAGTCATGTGATGTGCGATATTGTAATACCTGCCGGATTCTGGTGGTGTGAATTCTGGGCCTGCAGGCCAGGGAGAGAGACTATGTGCGGCAACGAAGAAGTGAGGGGGCGGAGCCGATATCGATTCTTTCAGCGGTGAGGAGCACAGAAAAATACACATACGTACATGCACAATGTATTTGTGTGTTGAGGTGTGAGTTATGGTGTTAACGTGGTGTTGTGTTGTTTTCAGGCCTCATATTCCCTTCCTACTGTCACATCCCGTAGAGCTAATCCTGCAGCAACCGCGGTGAGTTTTGTGTGTATGGTAAGTGTGTAGTGTGCTTGTGTTTGCCTTTAGAATAATACGCACATTTGTAATGCGCACAGTTTTCACTTGATTCAGGGGCACGGGAAACTACAAATAAGTGGGAAGGCAGCCAGAGCCAGCGCCAGCAATTGCCCAAGCTCTGTGGCCTATATTGGGATGTTTGACTAACAAAATGTATTTACACGTGGGAGGAAGCCGTGTCTGATGTTATGTGTTCTGGGTCCTATATTGGAGTACCCGGAGAAACCCAAGCGTGCGAGTGGAAGAACACTTCTATCGCCATATAGATAGAAACAGATGGAGATTAATTTACTTGCTGTACTACCATTTCCTGGCAAGCCAGGGTATGGTGAACGCGATGCCCATGGGAAAGTGTTGTATGTCTGAGCCTTTTTCAAAAAAATATTAATAATATTTACCGATAATTTTTTTTTAACTGGAATGGGAATGCAACACAAACCAGACTCTCTGAGAAAAACAGATGTAGATTGTAAAGAGGACAATTATAAATAAACAAATAATAAAAACCCCGAGGTGAAGGAAGGATATTAACAGCTATCTGCGAAAATCTCCAGATGAAAAAGTGTTTGATGTGACTCTAAATAAGGGTCAATCAGAGCGGAGATCCGTCAGGCGGGTAGATGAAGTGACGCCAACGGGTTAAACCATTTTTCCCTTATTTGACATTAAAACAACGGTTAAAATTTAAAATGCAATAACCGGAATAAGCTAAAATTAGCGATCCTCACGCTCACTCCAATTAAGACCAGGCCACCAGATACTTCAGTGAATCATTACTCAATTATTAATTTGATATCAAATGATTTTCACCTTTAATACTCTTACTGTTAAATCACAAGCTTGGGGACAGAAATACTTAGTCACATCAAAGGTCATCAAGAAGGAATGAGGCGAACGGGCAAACTTACGAAACGAGTTAAACAATATTCCAAGAAACCCCGACCACCTTTGTCTCTCTCGCAGCGCGGGGAAACAGGAATTACACCCTGGCAAGGGGCCATCTTAAAAAGCCAGCCGGGTTTAATGAGAAAACACACCCCACCCACACACAAACTCACCCCCCATGATACCCTTCGGAAACAAAGGAGGATAGGGGCGGGGGGGATGACTCCCCAAAAAGCCATAACTGCCAGCGAGCAAGCTTTAAGTTAAAGGAAAATACGATACACAATTCACACGTAACATTAATAACGTGTTCACCTTAAACGATATTCCATTATAGAACCTTACAGAACCAAGGGATATGTCACAGACAATCAAGAAACGGACCTCTTAAACTCAGGATAAATTTACTTTTCCTTATAACTCCATCATAACAATGCGAATCTCGGTAACCCGAGAGGTGTGTCGGGAGGACAGAGTTACAAATCACGAGCCTTGGTGAACATAAGACCAAATGGTATTTGAGAAACATTAAACCGAAAGCAGCCAGAGAGAGAGGTACTCCCGACCGCCTTTGTCTCTCTCGCAGAGCGCGAGAAAGGAATTTCACGCCAGAGCAAGGAGATTATTATCACAAGGGCCATCTGCACACCCGATGCAAGGCTTAATAATAGCCCCACCCCGCAACCACACGCAGCAAAGCCAGGCGAGCAAGCTTTTAAGTTAAAGAAAATCACAATACATCTATATGATAAGACACAGAATGACGAAAATTAATAAAACTGAATAAGAGCCAAGATAACGGGGTGGATCAAACTGGTTGAATATAAAATCTAAATGATTTTTGAGCAATGTTAACTCAAGGTACAGAGAGATAGAAAGATCCCGGCCACCTTTGTCTCTCCCCGCAGCACGTGATAAAAATATGCATACGCTCGAAAGAGCATCTTCACTTGGAAATAAAATCAAATACCCTGAATCACAGGCAGGATCATAACTGTGTGTGATACGATACCAACTGTGATGAGAAATATGAAACTTTAAAAACTAACCATTTCTTTGTGCGTCGGAAACTTGTACAAAAAGGGGGGGGGGAACCCGCCCCTCCCTCCGGATGGATAGCGTAGACAGACAGATGCCTTCGAGATGAATTGAAGCGTCTGTTTCCCTTGATGGTTTATGGCTTGAGGAAGACCCAAACAGAACCATATCATAAATGACACAACCGCCATTTGCCACTAAGTGGCGGTGACGTCACCACGATGTTTGTGCCAGGCCATGTGCACCTTGAGGCCACGTGAAGTGTCGAACGCCCGCTGGCAGGTCACAGGGCAGACCCAGGTGCCACGGGTCGACTGACTGAGATGACTGGCTGATGCACCACTTGTGCCCCCTACTGTGCCAACCTGCTGTGCTTTAGCCACCCGGCGCTCCGCTCGTTGTTGTGAGCGTCGCTCCTCCGCCCTCCGTTGTTGTTGGAGGGCGACTGCCTCCAACTGCCCAGTAGCGTCCTTCACGAGCCTCCTCCACAGAGGCCGATCTTGACACCGCTGGTACCAGTCATCGGCAAGTCCACTCAACTCCACGTCCTCCTGTACCACATCACTCCATCTCTTCTCTAGCCCGTGCCATGCCCGTTTTGCCCCCTCGATCCGGCCGAACAAAAGCTGTTTCGACATGCAGTGGCTGGGCATGTGGGCTACATGACCCAGCCAACGCAGCCTTGCCTGCCGGAGGAGCTCACCGATGGGACCGTGCCCAGATCTTTCAAGGATTTGTGAGCTCCTCACACAATCCAGCCTGGTTAAACCCAGGATGGATCGTAGGCAGGCCAGCCTAAATGTTTCTAACCGGCGAAGATGTTTCATTCGGGGGGTCCACGTTTCGCAAGCGTAGAGAAGGGAGGGAATGACCGTGGCCGAGAATACCTGAAGCTTAGTGCGGAACGACAGACCAGGTAGCTTCCACACAGCGTTACGCAACCGATGAAAAGATATTGCCGCTCGACTGATTCGGAGTGAGACCTCTGCTGTTAAACTGGAGCCGGTCATAAGCACACTGCCCAGGTATGGGAAATTCTCCACTCTCTCCACAACTGCCCCATCACCGATTGGGAGTTGTGGGGGTGGAGTGTCCGATGGTACAAAATACTCAGGTAGGTGCTTAGTTTTGGTGAGGCTGATGGTAAGGCCCCATCTCTTAGTGTCACGCTCCAGTCTCAGCAGCAGCGTCTCCAACTCCTCTGAATGAGCAGCTATTACCAAATCATCGGCATACGTAACATGGTTGACCAATAGGGAGCCATCCCTTAACCGCACCCGGGCATCGATCAGCCTCCCATTATATCTGTACCATATGGAGATTCCCCCGGTACAGCTATTGAAGGCTTCACAAACTACGTGGTCAAAATAGATGTTAAATAATGTGGGAGCCAGAGGACATCCCTGTCGCACCCCAAGGTGAACAGGGAATGGCTCTGACTCACGGTCACGTAGTTTTACCCGGGCCCGCTCACCATCATGAAGGTCCTTAATGATCGTGAGCAGAGGGTCAGGTACTCCAAAAGCACGAAGAACAACCCAGAGCCCAGGCCTACTGATGGTATCATAGGCCTTTACCAGGTCAATAAAGCAGAGATGTAGGTCTTGCTGGAATTCCCTACACCTCTGCTGTAGCAGACGGACAGAAAATGGCATCTGTGCAGGACCGCCCTTTCCTGAAACCGCATTGGGGCCCCGCAAGCCTCTCCTCAGCATGCCTGGCAAGGCGATGTTGAATAATCCTTGCCAGGACTTTTCCCGGCACACTGAGGAGTGAGATGCCCCTTAGTTGTTACAGTCTGTGCGGTCCCCCTTCTGAAAGAGGGGGACCACCAGGGCATCCTTCCAATCCTGCGGAACCCGTCCAGTGGTCCAGACTGTTGTTATGATGTCATATAGGGCAGTCTGTGCACAAACGCCACCCTCCCTCAGCATTTCGCTTGGGAGATCATCTCTGCCTGCTGCCTTTCCTGGTCTCAGACTCCGGATCGCCTTCAGTACTTCCTTAACAGATGGCACCTCAGCCAGCCACTCATAGGGGGTGACTTCCAATATTTGAGGCACCGCTGCCTCAGCAGGGTCATCCCCACTTTGTGCCACGATGTTTTCCTGGCTGAGAGATTTTCCCTCCCCCAGGACCTCACAGAAATGCTCAGCAAATCTGCAAACCTGTTCCTGAGATTGGATCACCGTTTTTTCCCTAATGATGGTAATAGGTGTGGCGCTGCAGGTTACTTTTTTGATGGAGTTAAATAGAGATTTGTGATCGTGGGCCACTGAGGCAGACTCCATCTCCTCAGCAACCCGCGACCACCACGCATCCTTGCAGTGCCTCACGGCTCTCCGAACCTCCGAGCGAAGGCTGCGGTAAGCCTCCTCATTCTCTGACTTGGGATTCTGTAGCCGATGACAGTGGGCCTGTCGCTTTTTCTCAACCATCCTGAACACCTCCTCTGTCAGCCAGGGTCTCTGGGGAGGTCTGGACCGCGTACCCAAAGCAGCCATTGCAGCTGCATGAGTCACAGTCCTAAACCTCGCCCATTTACCCTCAACATCAGGAGGAGTGGGGGACGATGCCAACCCCAGCCGCAGGCGATGATGAAATTCTTGCTTGCAACTTTCATCAGATAACTGAGACCAGGCCACTTTTGGTTGGAATGGGGTCCTGTGTGTACTCCCACCACTGGAGCGGAAGAATGGCAGGCGCATCTCACAGATGACAAGTTGATGGTCAGAGGGCAGATCAGCTCCACGGTAGGTCCTGGTGTCAAGGACATGGGCTCGCATCCGCTGGTCCGTCACTATGTAGTCCAGCAGATGTTCTTGCTTGGACCCGCCATGCATACATAATGTTGTGTGGATGCGCCGATGCCGGAACAGCGTGTTGGTAATTACAAGCCCATGGGCTGCACAAAAATCTAGCAGCCTCCTACCGTTGTTATTGAGCTGATCCGGCCCATGCCCTCCAATCACTCCAGATCAGGTGCCAGCATCATGACCAACTCGGGCATTGAAGTCACCCAATATGATGACTCTATCCCGAGGTGCCACTTTAGCCAGCACCTGTGACAGGAGGTCATAGAAGGCATCTGACTCATCGGCTTTGCCTGCATCCCTCCACGGATGTTCGTCTTCGGTGGGGGCATAAGTAACCACGACCACCAATCCTCGCCTCCGATTGATGGGAAGGCGAGCCCAAAGTAGCCTGGGGCTTACAGCTTCCCACACCTCACCGCCACGCTCCCACGCCCCCTTCATTCTTTTGTTCAAAAGAAGAACCACACCCTGTTGTTTGACAGTCTGCTGCCCCGAGTAGAGGACTGTCCACCCCTCCTGGTGGCAGGAGCCAGAACCGGTCCACCGGACCTCCTGAATGCCACAGAGATCCAGGTGGTACCGGTCCAGCTCCCGACAGAGGAGTGGCAGCCTCTCCTCCGCAGTGAGCGTTCGAACATTCCACGTGGCCAAACGAAGTGGCTTTTCGTTGTTTCTGGAGGAGCCCCGAGGGTAGAGATTCAATCTCCTGGCTCCGCCAATTGGGGTTTGACCAGGAGACGTCATAGACGCCTGTCCCCCCGGGGCCTCTGGCACAAGCTTATTAGTTACATATTTATGTCGTAGTTTCGTGGTAATTTTTTGAAGGTGGAGGGGTTACCAGCCCCTCGCACCCGTCCAGAGCCCCCGTTTAGCCCCTGTGGTGGTCAGATGCCATGAGGGGAGGAGCCAATTGGAATTGGCCCTCCCCCCACAGCACTGTCCACGACAGAGTTGCCCGTCCGGCACCGCGAGGAGGTAGGGGGTTCATAATAAAGGTTTTTGGGTTAGATCGCGTTATTTATAAATGTGTCGTAACCTTCCACCACCCGACACGGCCAATCAGCAAAAAAAAGTGTCACGTTGACAAAAGACAAATAATTCACTAATTTAGCCCACCGGTGTGTTGAAGAGTGAATCCACAACATTTACAGTTTGAGTACGACGTTTCGCTGGTAAATACATCCAGCAGAATTGCCCGATGATGCTGGATGTATTTACCAGCGAAACGTCATACTCAAACTGTAAATGTTGTGGATTCACTCTTCAACACACCGGTGGGCTAAAGTAGTGAATTATTTGTCTTTCGTCAACGTGACACTTTTTTTGCTGATTGGCCGTGTCGGGTGGTGGAGGGTTACGACACATTTATAAATAACGCGATCTAACCCAAAAAACCTTTATTTTGAATAATATTGGTCGCGAAAGCCTACGTGTTAAACTGAGCTAGGGGGTTGTTTTGACACACACACAAACATACACACTGACACGAACCCTCACCACCGACACACAACCAGATCAAAGGTAGCTCCGCCTCGTGAGGAGGAGCTAAGAGGAGAGATTTTGGCATAAAAAGAGAGCGTTCCAGCATTGAATTCAACTCATCAGCCCGCGGGGCCAGCTCAACAGGAGAAGACTCATCTCACCAGAAGACCAGCAACTCATCTCAGCAGAAGACCAGACACCACCAACGCAGAAGCCTCTACAAACTCGCCAGATTGGCGAGTGTCGCCGATTGGCGACACGCTGCCCGCTGTTGGTGGCCAGCGCAACTACGAGCGAATCGTGAGCCTGCAATCTACAACCGCACCGCCGACGGCGCACCAGCGTGCCAGCTGGTCGCAGACGTACTGCGAGCAATCATCTACCGACGAAGGGGGCGCCCACGGCAAGCAACTTCACCAACAACCACGCCGCTGCGAGCGGGCGAGCTTCTAGCGCCATCTACCGACGGTCATCACAACTACAACAACGTATCAACTAGTCAACTCGTCAACCGACGTCAGCCGAGTCCGAACCAACTACTAAAAGGAGAATCAACTAATATGTATGATACACTGCCCCCCACTACACGACAAACCAGACGTCTGCTTGACGCAAAGAATCAATTCCGAACACTGACTACTCAACAATTCATATCACTCAACATACACGGGTCATTAACAAAAGCCTAAAACCTCAAGTCAGTAAAACCATCCGTGACTGTGAGAGCATCGCAACGACCAAGTGAACAATCCGTCGTTTATAAGAGTGTTCATAATTTTCCTCGTTAATATTTTGTTGGGGCTGTACTTCTAATCGTATAAGTTACCAACTGATCCATCAATACGGATTAATTCTTGGCACCTTTAACGGAGCGCCGCTCACGGGGGTGAATAGCGTGTTCAACCGGTTTCCCTGTCAGGGATCTGGCCACAATTAATTAAAAGATTGGTCCAAGATAAGAATCTCAAAGGAAAACATTGCGGCCATTAAATCGTGGATACGGTCACTTGGGAGTGTTTGAGTCGTTCGTTTTTAATTGCATAATCTTGCTGGTGTATCCATGAATGAAAATGACGAATCTATGAACGCATATTTGTGCCTTTAGGAATAATAATGGTTGAGTGTATTTTCCTATGAACAGCGTTGCATAATAATCAATCATCCTACTGTTAACAACGTGACAAGAATTTGCATTAAGGGTCGCGTTTGATCAATGACCGAGTGCCGTGTTGTGTAACAATTAAAGTATACGAATTTGCATATGATAGAGTTAAGGTTTTGGTAGAATAGTTTATGCTTGTTTTAATCTCTCTCAACAACCGAGATTGTCTTACGCGTCGGGAATTAACCACAGGTGCTGTTATCGAAGTGAAACAACGCAATCGTGATGGTTACCTTGTTAATGCTGTGTTGATATTCCGAGATTGAGAGTTCTCATATTATCCAAAAATTAAAGTTTAGCTAGAATATAAAATGTATTAAAGCAGAAGGGTTGTGTGTGATTCTTTCCGTGATTCTGCATAAGAATTGTTCTGCGATTGAGATCTGAACCCTGGTGGACCTATCATAAGCACACTAACACACACATAATAAATAAACGTTAAATCGAGAATAATCGTATCCTTATTGATAATACGGAGTTAAACAACGGAGCCGAGTTGACTCCCTCATTCACGCTCACAACACCTGCATAACTGCATACGATTAATTGCATTGTTCCAATTGATAACCCAACCTTCGTCACCGAGGCTTGGCCCGATTATCATAACGACCTGCATTATCATAACCACACCCACTCGCATAAATGAATATGAGCATCTCTCAAATTAGCATAATTTATGCGCATAATTACACTAATTAACATTATTTTGGGAAAAAAAATATGCAACTTTCAAATTTCAATTATTTTTCGTTCTTTTCATCAAATTTTCATAACCTACATATACAACAAAAGGTGTTTCACGACATTTGTGTGATCCACTGTCCCTCACTGCCTCCACAGTGCTGAATCAAGGCACCATTTTATAGCACTGGCGTCCTGTCAGTAATGGTATTGGGGAAAGGCTGGCATTTGTTGGCAATAATCCAGGCAGGTTCAACCTGGGCAGTAAGGACGCAACAGGCGTTTGCATGCATGGCTGGTGACAATTAAAATCAAAATATTACCCTTCTACTCTAAAGAGAGGCCACTGCCATAAACATAAACCTATGCCATTTTATTTTTCTAATGCATTGTTCATTGAAAATGTGGTGAGATTTTTGGTAGTGCTTAAAAGGCCGGGCACGAACATCTGCAGTGTAATTGTCAGTATTGTCAGCATGGATCTTGAGCATTAACTCTTGGAATGCAATTCATGAATATGGTAAAATTCCTCTTGTTGATGACTAAACATACATTTTTATTTAAAACTTTCGTGACTGCAGGGATTCATATTCTTGGTTCTTTCGGTAAAGTCACGTAGAAGGGAAACAATAAAATAATAAAAATATAAAACAATAAATTCTCACGTTTCGACTGCAACACAAGCAATCATCATCAGGTGTGAAAACCATAGCAATAGTTTTGTTTAATATTTTTTTATTGTTTCCCTTCTACGTGAATTTACCGACTAAACATAAGTTATATTATCCATGGCTCTATAGGCTTTTCCACAATTTGCTTTACTTAGAATGCATCTCATGTTATTTTTCTGCACTACTTTCCCTGTGGCTTTCCCCCATGTCCCTTCCTTGTGCTACCCTCCGTGGGTTGTAGGGCGGTGGGCGAGGAGCATGGCGTGGCCGGCATCCCTGCCGTACGTTCCGTGTCTGTTCAGACAGATTTCAGGGACAGCGAGACTCAGACAGAACCGTTCTCTCCTCCCTACACCGTCCCACCCGGAGTGCCAATGCCAGAGATCCTCACATTAACCGCCCTGACACACGGTGAGAACACAGCCCCACACTGCTCGACCCAGCACACTGTATTACATGCATACACCACACAATACAATTCTACACACCACACCCCGCCACGCAACAACCATCTCACACGAGACCCCACCACACTACACAACACTACGCATCACACCACGTGCTCTACTATACTGCTCACCGTGTTACATAACCCAACACACACACCACCCTACACCGTGTGTGTAATGGTCGTGGTGTTCACAGAGCGAGGTCTGCCGGCGGGGTTGGCGGAGGTGGAAATGATCGAGAGGCTTCGGGCTCGGCGTGCGTGGGAGGAGTCTCTGCCGTCCTTACATGACGCGGAGCGGAGAGACGAACGAAGGCGACTCATGGAGGAGGCCGAGCGAAGAGAGTGGGCGTTCAGAGAGAGGGAGATCCACCTGTGAGAGACTGAGACACGCGGAGACACCTCGACACATGCAGAATCTTCAGGGAAACGGACACTCATATGAGATACAGGCACATGGGGTTTCAGGAAGGCTGAGATCTAAATACGAGAAATGGAGGCACATGGATACATATGTGGGACACGGAAACACGCAGGAGCACATGGAGTGAAATGGAAACATGCAGAGAGATGTGCCGCATGAGGGGTACATGGGAAACAGCAAAGCAATGCAGAGTTATGTTTGCTTTGTGGTTAATAATGATGATTACCGTATTTTCTCGCATATAGCCCGCATACGCATATAACCCGCAGACGCATATAACCCGCAAAAATAGCGTTTTGTGTAAAACAAATTTCAGATAGCCCGCACTTCCATACACCCCGCATGCATTCATATCTTTAACGTCGTTACCGCAGCTTAATTCCATCATTAATACGAAGTTTACATTTGTAATACATTCCACTATCAATTGTTAACATTAAAACATAACGTGCACAAAGAAAACAAACTAACCGGAAACAAGTGAACTTAAAACAGTAAATAAGTAACAAAAGTAAATATCCAATAAATAAGTAACACATAACTGGTAGATAAGTAAAGTTTTAGCACTGGTAGATTGAGCACTGCGCGACTAATAGCAGCACTCCGGTAACTCCGTCGCCTCGCCCCCAACCCCCCCACCTCTCTCTCCCCCCAGCTGCCCAAACCCCCCACCTCTCCCTCCCCCCAGCTGCCCCACCCCCCAACCCCCACCTCTCTCTCCCCCCAGCTGCCCAAACCCCCAACCCCCCCACCTCTCTCTCCCCCCAGCTGCCCAAACCCCCCACCTCTCTCTCCCCCCAGCTGCCCCACCCCCCAACCCCCCCACCTCTCTCTCCCCCCAGCTGCCCCACCCCCCCAACCCCCCACCTCTCTCTCCCCCAAACTGCCCCACCCCCCCAACCCCCGCCTCTTCCCAGTTCTCCCGTCGCTGGTAAACAGTGCGCGCACTTCAAACATTGTCGTTTAATTGTACAAACAATTAATTTAAAACGTGATAACATGTGCAATTTTAGTGCGAGTTTATTCAGCAGTGCTTTAGTCAAAGTTAAGTGTTGCATAGTGGATAGTCCTACCATGAAAACATTTAAACGAGTCATGACATGTTACACGTGTAAAATATTTTTGGGATAGCCCGCACCTCCATATACCCCGCAGGGTCTTGTTTTGTTTGTAAAAAGTGGTATACCCCACGGGTTATATGCTGGAAAATAGGTAATTAATTTTTGATACAGCGCCCATAACGCCGAGGTGTCTCAGAGCGCTTTATACGTAATAAGCAACTTGCATCCTCATATCAAACATTTGAAAGGGCACCACAAGTGGCAACTCTGTGGGCACAAGGTGACTCAAAACCTCGCCTGCAATCAGACGTTAATCTGCCAGTAGGAGGTGATGATTGCTATGTGTAATCCCAATTTATTCATTTGCAGGTCATTTTAAAATTTGGAAAATGTGGACCATGGTGCTGGCACACAATGGCCTACTCTTGCGAATTACATCACTGGATCTTTAATGTACACTGTGAAGCAGACAGTGCGCAGTATTTTATGGTTTATAGATCTCAGCAACAGCTAGGGCGGGCATCAGAATTGAATCACGAACCTCTGCAACAAGTTGCGAATGCTCCACCGCTGGCCCTTGTCACATGCAGCCTGCAGGAGGAGCGTGTGCGGGTGTTGGAGGAGTTGTTGTGGCGCCGTGAGCATGGCCGGGCCAATGCGATTGCCGCTCAAGTGGATGTGAAGAGACACGCCGAGGAGGAGCTCAGACGCGAGGCGCAGGACGTGATCCGCAGACAACACCTGCGCTGTGAGAACCCTCGCTCACACGGCCAGCAGCGCCATCCCTCACTCGTGTACTCGCACATGTGAACCTCAATACAATTCATCACTCATCCACTGATGCGCCCTTGCACATCCACACTTACTTGCCACTCACTATCTATTCTCATCGTGGTGGATTTCAGGTTTATATTACAGAACCTCTTAAATGCAAGCATCTCTCAAGACAGTGCAAAAAAATCAAGACTTGCACATTCTTCTATTGTGGGCACGATGAGGTTTTTTGTTTGTTTGAGGTGGAGTGTTAGATTACGCTGATATACATTTGGATATATTAACACGGTCAGTCATAGGCAGAGTATTGAGAAGGACTGAATTTTAAAAAAAGAGTTGGGTCTGCTGTGTGGACAGCCAAAGTGTGTGAATTTTATACTGCAGAGGCAGTAGTTTTCAGGTTTTAAGTTTATTTTGTTTAACCAGGTGAGAACTATCAATAGTAGCAAAGGCTGTGGAACTCAGGGAGAAGAATTAAGAGAGAGCCCCTATCAGTAGCAATTAGTGATTACAGGAGAATTACCAGGATGGAATCCAGGTTGTTCTGGATCATGTAGGTTGTGAAAGGGTGATGTGCCTAGAGTGGTGGGAAATAATTACATTTTTGAGGATTTTTCCAAGGAAGTAATTGGATAGGGTGTCATATTTGTTATTATAAATGTGAGTCCATGTGGTGTGTTCATGATTGGGGTAATAGCAACTTTTTTGAGGGTAAGAGGGACAGAACCAGGGGACATAGATGCACTGATGTGATGTGAGTGGTTATCAGTGATGGGAGTGGCAAGAATCGGCAGGCATTGAAGGTTGGGCGTGGTGGGGATGCAATCAAGGATGGAGGAGGGATTTTAAAGATGGAATTGGTGCTAGTCACGTCAATTAAAGTGGACACATCATAGAGATACAATCCACTGCTACTGACGCAATTGTCTGGTTTGACCACCTCAATGTGAAATTGTAGTTGTTGCTCTGCATCTACATCAGCCATACGAAAGAAGAAGAAGATTGGTTGGAGAATGTCCGGAGGTGGTGGGGAGGCAGTGAGAAAAGGATCGGTCATGGGGTGGAGATGAATGTAACTGTTTACTCAACCATTTGTAGTGGCATCGTGGGATGCTACTGCATGATGTGTGAGCCGGACTGTGTGAGGCACGATCTACGGGCATGCACACTCCGGGCAGCCTGCACTGCAGATGCAGTACCGGCCCTAGTGGGGGCCGGCTGAGATCACCAATCGAGGATGGATGGCATTGCACTTCACGTGCAGTGCCAGCCTCTAGAGCTGGGGTGTCCAAAATTTTTTTCCCGAGGGCCACATACAGAAAAATATACGAAGGACTGGGCACTCACTAGACGTGAGGTATACTGCCTCACTTCTCATGCACTAATATTGGCAAAATCAATCAAATGAAGGTAAATTACGTTTGATAATTGAACATGTTTGAAGAAAAAAAGCCTCCATCATAGCTCTCCATTAGTAGATTTTAATTTTAGTTTTTACAAAAAGGTTGGCAGGTCATTCTCTCAGTGACAGCCTCAGATTGGTTCTTAGGGTGCTGATCCCCCTTCATTGTCCTGTATGAAGGGACAGACAAGAAGAGAAATAGGGGATGTGGATATTTCAAGCTTATTACACAAATAAATAATTGGGCTTAACACATCAACTAACGTTTGTTAAAAAATTGTCATCAACTTTAATTGACTGAATTTATTAAGTAATTGGGCATATTAACAAATGAAACTGTGTGTATACTTTTAACTCACCTGTAATGGGAATAATGTTGCGTTCAGTGGGAGCAGTGATGCTGTGCTTTGGTCTGAAGGATAGCTGGCAGATCAGGAGTTTCAAATTAAGTAATCATTGTAAAGATGTTCTAAATCATACCAAACATTAAACTAATTTTCAATGGTACAGTATATTTATTCAAGTAGTGGTATCCCAAACTTTCACAGCAGCTTATTTCCCTTCACACCAACATTTGTAAACTTCCCCCCCCCCCCCCCCCCGTGCCGGTCCTCTACAGCATTTTATGCTAATTCCTTTGTCAAGGCGTTTTTTGTTTCCTCCCACACAGCTTAAAGGACGCGACCTGGGCTTGGCTGTCTTCACTCCAACGCTGTCCTTTGGACAGTACGGTCCCTTCACCTGATGAAGGCCACTTGTGTTGTGGCCGAAACGTCGTGATTTGTGTTTTATTTTTTACCTACGTGACTTTACCGAATAGAACCAAAGAGTATAGATCAGGAGGAAGTTTGGTAGTTGAGATGCGAAGGACGTCACGGAGATGGCTGTCGGTCGTTCTTGTTCTCAGTCTGCTTTTGTTCAGCGTTATCAGAGAGAATGTCTGCTCACAGATGTATGTTGAGCCGAACAGACTCATCATTAGTTTTGCGTGGCGTCTCATCAGAGGAAACTTGGCCTTTTCCAAGCTCCGGTAGAAGTCAGGTAGGGAGAGAAGCTAATGCTGATTCTTCAGAGAATCATCACACTGAATTTCGATCAGTTCTAATTGCAGACTCTCCTCCACTTCTTTTGCATCCATTGAAAATGGAGCCGCAAACAGTGTGATTTCCTTCTCAATGACAGAAAAATCTTGGAAGCGCTGACTGAATTCTGTCATGAGAGATGTGATCACAGACACATATTCTCCCATTTTTGCAGAGAGCTTGGCATTTGGAAATGCGCATTTGATTTCGGTCAGCGTGGGGAAGTGCGCTACATTGAAGTTGCGCAGTTGTGACTCAAAGAGACGGAGCTTCGCACGGAATGCTTTCATGTGCGCATACAGCTGTGGTACCAGCTGCTCTTTGCCTTGTAGTCTCTTGTTCAGGGTGTTGAGATGATCAGTGAGATCAACTAAAAAAGCCAGGTCTGCCAACCATAAAGGGTCACTGATCTCATGGAGAGGTCTGCCTTTTTCTTTAAAAAACTTGTCGATATTTCATCTCAGGGAATAAAATCGCTGCAGCACGGAGCCGCGACTGAGCCAGCGCACTTCAGAATGGTAGAGTAGGTCCCCGTATTCAGCATCGACATCAGAGAGGAACGCTTGAAATTCTCTGTGGTAAAGCCCTCGTGCACGAATTATGTTGACAGTTTTCACAACTGTGTTCATCACATCGCCAAGCTGGATTATCGTGGCACAGAGGGCTTCTTGGTGGATGATACAGTGCATTTTTACAGCCTCACCTCCGCTCTCCCGCACCTTGGCACTCACCATAGAGGCCATTCCTTTGCGCTCGCCTGTCATTGCTGGAGCCCCATCCGTTGTAATTCCACACAGCTTGTCCAATTTAAGTCCAGTCTGGTCAATTGCATCTGACACAGCTTCAAACATGTCCTTCCCAGTTGTTGTCCCCTTTAGACTCCGAAGATCGAGCAGTTCCTCCGTAATGCAAAAATGATCATCAACTCCCCGCAAAAAAATTAACACCTATGCAGTGTCCGTGGCATCTGTGGTCTCATCACATGCAATCGAGTAAAAATCGAAAGCACAAGCTTTATCTGACACTTGCTGTTTTAAGTTAGCCGACAAGTCTTCAATTCGCCGCACAAACGTATTTCTGGACATACTAACATCGTTGAAATCCTGCATTTTCTCCAGGCACATTCCCACGACTTTAGTGAGGCACTGTTTGATGAAGTCACCGTCTGAGAAAGGTTTCCCGTGTAGGGCAATGAGTTGAGCTATTTCATTACTGGCTGTTGTTGCATTTTCTTGAGCTTTGTTAGCAAGGAAAAAAAAACCTGCTGCTGCGTTAGCAGGCTAGCTGGCATTTGCTTTACCTTCTCTTTCCGCTCGGCGCCAGTGTAGGACGTGAAGGTCTGATGTTTCGTTTCATAATGCCATCATACATTGTACTCTTTCATCACGGCAACACTCTCATTACAAATCAAACAAACACACTTCCCCTTGGTTTCTATGAAAAAATATTAATTTTTCCACCGAGTCTGAAATTTTCTGCACTCGCTTGCAATCTTGCGTCTCTTCGGTTCTGGCATTTCTGGTGACCCTGAGCAAAATTTTTCTTCAATTGCTTGCTTTGTGGAAACGCTGCCTTGTTGAAGACAATAGCGCCACCTAGTTTTTAAACTAATAAGTGCAATACAGTGGGCCATAGTCCATTATATTTTTAGACTTTGATACGGTCCAATTAAAAATGGATAGAGGGCCGCAGTTGGCCCGCGGGCCATAGTTTGGACACCCCTGCTCTAGAGGTTAGGGGGCGAGAGTGCCAGGTACGGTGCAAGGGTTCACAGGGGGCCATGGCACTCTGTGTGAACCCGGAGGCCTGCTGACCAGAGGTACCAGCCCGGGGGCACCCAAGGAGGGGGCTGGGGAACCACGGGACCAGGACCAGGTCCTTCTCGAAGGCTCGAGAATGGAGGCGTTGCTAGGGACGGAGTGAGCCTTGCAACGGGCAATATAAGCCGGAGTGCTGAATGGGTCGGGCGGCTGTTGCAAGAATCAAGACTCAAGTCGTCAGCGGGAAAAGACCTGCCCGACTACGAGACCCGTACCCGAGCCAAGGTCCGGTCTAGGGTCGCCACCCAGTGTGTGCTTGAGTTAGCTAGCCCGGAGGGGATACCTCCCTAGGTTAGTTGGTGAAGGGGCAGATATACCCCTTCATGCTAGGGCTTGATTGTTAATAAACATGTTGCCTCTAAGAAGCCTCCATCTCCCTGGTGTGAACCTCTACACATTTATTTTAAGTTCACCAACACGTTTTAGCTCACCACTCACCCACTCATTTATACATCCAATGAAAAGCTAACCCACACATACCTTTCACTCATCCGCTCTTCCACACAGCACTTATTTACTAACCACTCAATTACCACTCACTATGCACTCAATAACCACTCATTTAATCATCTCTAGGCCATCATTCAATCGCTACTTAGATGCTACTTACGTACTCACCGACTCACTACTCGTCATCCTCACTAACCATTTACTCTATCCTACTGCCTAGCCAGGTGGCTCAGCGGTCTTGCCAGATGGCTCAGTGGTAATCAGTCTATGGATAGACTCATCGCTGCTTCAGGAATGTGGAATTTTGCATCACTGGCTCAGGGCTGTAAACAGAAGATGAGCACTGCCCCAATGCTCCTTTGAGCAGGAAATCACTTTGACTTTGTGTAACTACTTCCTCATTACTCGCGTACGGTGTGGCTGCGTGGTGGGTACAGCGGTGCGCAAGCTGGTGGCGCGTTGGGTGCGAGTGGTGGAAGGAGCTGCGCCGAGCCGCGACGTTATTCATGATTACACTGACCCTGCGTCACGGGCGTTCGCTCCCCTCACTCGGCTGGGACAGTTCACCAAGACCCAGCACGTGCATCCCATGGAAAAACAAGGGAGACCGGTGCAACCCCAGCTGCTCAACTCCTACCATGGTAGCCCACATGTCACGCAACACCACACTGCACGACACCATGCTATACTGTATCGGGCAGAGGTGGCGCACACTTGTCATTCAACACTGGAGGCAAGGGTTTGTGGATCTCCACAAATGTCGTGAAACATTCTGTGGGCTTCGAGGTCACCATACCTTGGAATTTAAAGAGACGGCGGTACAGCCAGTGGATTAATCTCCATCTGTTTCCATATGTATGAACTGTTGCTCCCCTAGCAAGCATATAATTTTCTCTGGGTGTTCTGGATTAATTCATCATGTATAAACACTCATTAATTAGTTGAATAATCTTGAATTCTAGAGGGCTACACAGCTTGGGCAATTATTGGTAGTGCCAGCTCACTGTGTGGCTGTCTTCTCTAAGCCTGTGGTTCTTTGCACCTCCGAGTCGTTTTCTCCTGGAAAAACTGTGTGGTGCGTTACAAGTCTAAATTATAATTGACTACGCCATGTCAAGACATTGTATGCTACAACTTACTATGCTACACCACAAAACATTCAACTATACTGTACCACACTACACCATGCAATATCATATTTTGTCTTCTAAATGTCTCAGTCTCTATAGTCTATACCCTGTCATGTCCCATTGTGCTCCCATGTGTCAATGTGTCACCATTGTGTCTGTCAAGCTTGGTGGAACTGGAATCGTGCATCCCACCATCCGTGTGTCTCCATAGTCACCTGATTCTGTCTCTCTATATCTTTTGTGTCTCTGCCAGGTCTTCTGGAGCTGGAATCGTGTCTCCCAGCATCCTTGTTCAGCGTCCGTGTGTCTCAGCCGAAGATGGACCCGCGGGCTGCCCGTCAGATGGCTGTGATGGATGAGGCCTACAAGGTGCCATGGTCTACCTGACTCGCGCTGCTTTCACCATTTGCCTGACTCTCCCAGACTCTCCCTGCTACACAACAATGTCTTGTGTCGCATTTGCTCATTTCTCACTTTCCCACGTTGTTGTCTCTTTCAGGTCTGCTGTCCCTGTGTCACACCATAATGGAGTCCAGTGACCATCTGAATTTGTCTCTTATGTCTCTTTTATCTCTCGTGTGTCTCATGCCTTACGCATCTTATACATGTCTCATTGTCTCTTGTGCCTGGGGTTCCAGTTTTGTGTCCGTGTGTCTACTGTATTTCTGTTTCAGGCCTTGAGGGAGCATCGTGAGATGCAGGTGTCACCGCCCCTGCGTTTCCAGGAGCAAGTAGAGAAACCAGAACCAAGGCCTCCCACACCAACCACTCACACATCCAGTCAGGTACAAAGACGAAGGTCCTCTGCTTAGCCTCATAGACTATAGTGGTAAGTGCTGTTTGTGAGACCAATACCAACACTCGCCATTCGCCAATAAGTGACGGTGACGTCACCATGGCGCCTGTGCCAGGCCAGGTGCACTTTGAGGCCACGTGAAGTGTCGAAGGCTTGCTGACAGGAGGTCACGGGACAGACCCAGGTGCCATGGATTGGCTGACTGAGATTACTGGTAGATGTACCAGCTGTACCCCCTACTATGCCAACTTGCTGCATTTTAGCAACCGGGCACTCCGCTCGTTGTTGTGAGCATCGCTCCTCTGCCCTCAGTTGTTGTTGGAGGGTGACTGCCTCCAACTGCCCAGTAGCGTCCTTCACGAGCCTCCTCTACAGAGGCCGATCTTGACACCGTTGGTACCAGTCATTGGCAAGTTCACTCAGCTCCACATTCTCCCGTACCTTATCAGTCCATCTCTTCTCCAGCCCATGTTTTGCCCGTTTAGCCCCCTCTATGTGGCCATACAGAAGCTGCTTAGGCATGCACTGGCTGGGCATGTGTATGACACATCTATACAGACCCATATATACCAATACACACCTATCCATACCTACCACAACAACTGCACATCACATACCCAGCCAGGTGCATACCTATAAACACTTAAACACACTGGGACACAACAATTGCACACACAGTACCTTGTACACACCTATTAACATAATCTAAACTCAGTTGGGTGAGCACATCAGTACATACTTACACATTATAGGTCTTGTGAAGGGCCTCTGCCCAGTGTTTGTACCTGGTTGAGGTTGCCGGCTGGTACTTGATCCAGTATTTTTCTGCTCCAGCTGTAGTCAGCATGCCCTCTCATAGCTCTACCAGATATCAGGGTGCCCTAGTGAAACTTTTTCCTGCAGGCCAGCCACCTGATAGTAGAGAGGCATGAACCCATTGTACCGCCTTTGGAGGCTGCCCTTATCAGCAGGTGTATAATGTGGAGTTTTCTCGTGTCGGTTCAAATCATATCTGGGGACACTGTTGAGGCCAGTAGGCTGGCCATTCCTGCAGATGCGCTGACGTACTTGCACAGTTAACTCTGGTTATATACAATGGCGGAGCCAGGATTTTCAGGTAGGGGGGGGCAACCCCATCCAGCAATGAAAAATGATAGGCATTGTTAGTAAGTAAGGACTTGTCCCTTGATTTTTATTCGACGCATGTGCGGCGATGGCGTAGCCATCGATTGAGCGTTGAATTCGAACCGTGTGTGATCGGCATCACGCTTGCCTTCAGGGAAGTTGTGTACTGTATACGCAACTGTGCACAATTCTGTGAGTCACTTATAACTGCTTTGCTGTTACTTATTGCCAATTATGGACTCAGACTATTGTCATATCATCTCATGGAGTCCCTGGCACGTAATAATATGCTACACAGTGGCGGTGGGGGTCGCAAAATGTCGATTTATTACTAATAACCCCCCCCCCCCCCCCACTGGCTCTGCTAGTGATTATATATACTTCTACTTCCTTCTCATTTTATTCTCTGTTGAAAAATGAAGTTAATTGCTCTGCTGCAGCAAACAGGAAGGCTTCCACTTCCAATCATATTTTTTATAGTTATTTCTGCATCTAGGGTATGAAGAGCAATAAGTCCATTCATTATCTCCTTGAATCAACTAAACCCTGTTCCTAACAGAAATTCAGATGTGACTGATAATGCTTAATTATCCAAGCCTACACCGTTTTTCACTCTTTCTCGTTCAAATGTACTTTTTGTGTATTCACCAGAGATAATGTCTCTGATGGTTTGCAGCTGTGGCTGGCATCCGCTGCTTGATAGGTGAGGTTTATGACTAGACCGTGAAGCTGCTTAAACTGTCCTAAGTATTCATACTCTTTGGCTTTTTCGGTATGTCCTAAGTAACCAACTAAGCCTTACCATTAACCATGCATAATGAAGGAGATGTAACAGCTAGCCAAAATAAATTGGTGGGTCTATTCCCATTTATTACAATATCCCATGACTGATACCGAGAAGGCATTCTACAGTCTACGGGTTTATGTAAGTTAAACTGTTGACTGGTGCAAGCATGATTGGTGGTATGGGTTATGAAGCAGGTGAAGAATGTGGAACCCCATTTTACACACCCTCCCATCATTGAAGGGTTCAAGCATGTTGAGGACTCGGGCGACCAGACTGATTGTTTCGTCTCATCTGCACTGTGTTCACCACCACAGTGCAGGTCACAACAACTCACGTGCCCAACTACCCACTCAGTCACTCACTTACCAGTTCACCTACGACATATTTATTCATGCTTCTTTGCTAACACTGCTCCACTTTGGAATTCCCTCCCGTTGTCTCTTTTCCAAAGACATTATTGCCTTGTTCATTTCAGAAAACGTGTCAATTCTTTATCGATATTTTGTGCAACTTTGACAGTGGTGTTTGTTGTTGGCTAGTTGACATTTTAGGCCTATGGGTCTGTGCTCAGCAACTGTGTTCGAAAAAAATCTGCAAATATTTTATGTCTGCTCTGGTCCTTGACATGATCAATAACTATACAATCCTGAGTGTTTGGATCACGCTTCCTCCCCATGCGTTTCTCCCATGCTTGCAGGAGGAGGATAAGAGGGAACTGGCCGCCATTTTTCTGCAAAAACTTCTGCGTGGGCGGTCCACTCAGAATGAGGTGCGTGGCAGTGGTGCAACCTGCCCACCTTGTCACTGAAATATTTAACAGATACCATGTGACATTGCATACACTTATCACACACCACATACTCACTGACACCTAATCACACATGGTGACAACTCAACACTGGCTTTCATCACTAATATCTGAGCACACACTACAGTACATCCATGGAAATCTCAACTAATACGTTTGTCTTGCCACACTACAAGCTCAGACACCTAATCATGACAATTTCAAATGGATATCTTGCCACTGACATCTTGTCCAATATTTGAGCTTGTTTAACCACTCTGAGTCAGCGTACCCTTGGTGGATGTCACCTGATCAGGTTCTAAGAGGCCAGTGATTAAACCTATAGCCACCGATACATTTAAAATGACAGGTGATGTACTGGAGAGTAACATAGAAACCCCTGATGAAGACTGCTCTAACTTGCGCAGCCTGACTGTTGAAATGTGTTGTTCAAAAACCTGCAAAATTTGAGGCGTTACCTTCTGTCATTTTTCCTCAGCAGCAGCTTTTCAGAAGTATTTAAAAGTCATGCCCCAAACTGTACCTTGCTCTATGTTGCCTTGTACTTCTGTACATGTTGTTGCGTGCTGTTTATTTTGTTATTTAGTAGTTGAGGAAGCCAGGTAATATCACTGCCCAGGTCTATTTATCACAGTACCCCAAATAGATCACAACTGCTTATGATCTTGGCCCATGTGAACTGAGGTTGTTTCTTATACGAGGACAGCATGATCATGACAATATGGGCACTGTTTCTACCAGCGTGGAATCAAACGGGCATTGTTGCAGCCTCAGCACGAACACTTTGGATGTGGATATGAAACATGTGTCTGTATCCCTGAGTCCCTGTGTCTTCATCTCCTGGTGCAGATGTTTGAGCAAAAGGAGTTGAGGCTGGAGCTGATCCGGGAGGTGCGCAGCACACATGCGCTGCAGGGAGCAGAGCAGGCAGCATTGCGAGCCACCAAGCAGGCCACACTTGCATTGCAGAGACAACACGCGGTGCACCAGAATCAGGTACAGCACACTATGAACCACTAACTTATGGAAATATATACTTGGAGAGTCAGGTACTTACAATGTCACATACTCAGAGACCCACATATTCCCACTATACACATGGTAGGTATGCAACAATTCACCACCCTTGTGATTTGATCAATAATAAATATTCTAGGTCACAATTCAATGAAATATATTATTTTCCATTGTGGTGCATTTGTATGATTATGTGACTTCCAGGGATCATGTGGCAAGCCTCGCAACATATCATGCCGGCCTGGTAACTCAATGGTAGAACGAGCAGCTCATGGTTGGAAGGTTGCAAGTTCAATCCTGGTTGGGGGGTTGACTCAGCCCACCATTCCTGTGAGATCAATTAAATAAGTACCACCTTTTGGGGAAATCAGTAGTGGCTGTCCTATCGATAGACTTGTCCCCACATAAGCAATGTGGACATTCCACCACTGGCTCAGTGCTATATTAGATACTTTGTCTCATTTTACGAGACAAAGTATCTACTCGAATCACTTGCAATGGGGTGTGACCTATCATTTCTAGATTTGAAGCTTTCGTGACTGCAAGGATCCATACTCTTTGGTTCTATTCAGTAAAGTCACGTAGGTAAAAAATTAAATAACAAAAATCACGACGTTTCAGCCACAACACAAGTGGCCTTCCTCCCACACAGCTTAAAGGACGCGACCTGGGCTTGGCTGTTTTCACTCCAATGCTGTCCTCATGACAGCACGGTCCCTTCACCTGATGAAGGCCACTTGTGTTGTGGCCGAAACGTCGTGATTTTTGTTATTTTATTTTTTACCCACGTGACTTCACCGAATAGAACCAAAGAGTATGTGACCCATCATGTTTGAGAATGGCCCACAGAAGTAGATTTCATAGAGCTACCTCTGAGATCCCTTCAAGTGACCTCTGATCCACACACATAGAGCAGCACTTGCCACTCTTTTTGCATATGAGAGTGAGGTTCGTGGCATGACAGCAAAACTGATATTTTCATTATCAGAGCTTGAATGTTGCTAAATTAAGTGCAGAAAAAATATGTGATGCTGTTTTTGTGCAGTCATTAGTGATTGGGTTTACTCTGATGAGCATGGTTGTCTATGTATGGTGCAAAATAAGTTATACATACATACATACAATTTTTGCATTGCTGCTGCAAAGAGCCAAGTAACCTGGTTCCATTACAGTAAACCTTGTTAATTCGACATATATGGAGCTCTGGCCTTGTCGAATTATCCAACATTCCGAATTATGTACAATGGTACTCCTCCTGCCCCAATTAAAAAAAAAATTCCTAATTTGTTTTCCAAAAATTATTTTCCAAAAAAAGTAACACTTGCCATCAGTGTAGTGACATCGCGGGATGTTACTGTGTAGTGCCGGCCCTAGAGAGGCACGGCGTGCGGTGTATTTACATCGCGGATACCACTATGGTGTGCATGTAGTACCGGCCCTAGAGGGGCTCGGTCAGCGCTGATTGATAACGCTGGATGGCATCACGCTTGGTGTGCAGTGCCAGCCCTACAGGATAGGGTGTGGGAGTGCCGGCCGTAGGAAAGGGGTTACTAAAGGCCATGGCACTCTGGTTGACCCGAGAGGATACGTGACCGATTAAGTCTACAAAGTGGGGGCTAGGGGTGGTCACGTGGTTGGGGTCCAGATCCTGCTCGAGGATTCTGGAAGGTGATCGTGGCCAAGGGCGGAGCCAGCCACGCCACAGAGAATATAATCCGGGTCCCCCAGAGGAGCCGGCGTTGTTGTTCATCCTGAAGAAACCTTCGTCAACGTTCTACGTTCTCCGAGTCTCCAACACGTGGACCTGGACCCAAGCTGTGGTCCTGGTCCGTTGTAGCTAGTTACGTTGTAATTAGTGTAGTTAGCCTGGTGGTCACCACCATAGGTTGTTATTCTGTTAAGGGGCAGTTACCCTGTGTGATGATGTTAAATAAATGTGTTGCCTCCAAGTGGACATCTGCAACTCAGTTGAACTCACTACATCAGTAACCTGCACTGCAGGTGAAGAAGGAGGATATGGTAGGTTCCATGTGGTAGGTGACAGAAGTTGTGGAGGGGGGCTTAATACACTTAGTATGTACTTACTGTTCTGAGGACTATAAAGTCCAAAGCAACAGGTCTGCACTAATGTTCACCACGTGCACCGATACTAGACTGAGTAATTGTTTTGGTTGTGGCGCGCGATGTCGCTCCACGTGTATGCTGAAATTGGACCATTTGGTACGGAAATTCGACTCATGGCGAATTACTAATACTGTATATATATGCAGAAAGCGCAGTCGTGCCGAATTATTCCCAATTATGAATAATTATCACATACCGAAATAATGCATCTCTCATTTCATGCCGCTCGAATTCATGCCCCACTCGTAGTCAGACACGACATTAGGCACACTGATCCTCAATGTGGTGTGACAATCGTACCATCGGGTTGCCATCCTCCAGGGTTTGTGAGACTGCTAAGCAAGAACCTCTTGTCTTGTTGCAGGTGGAGGAGCGCAGCAGCGCGCTGTCTGCCTGCGAGGGCTCCGCTCTCTCCCATCTGCTGCTGCACACGGCGCAGGAGCTGGAGCGTCTGCAGGTGGAGCGGCGGCTTCATGCCGCGTGCCTCCTGGCCGAGCGGCGGCGGCGGCGGCGCGAGGCCACTGAGGGTGGCCGGCGGCAGCACGAAGAGCGAGCGCGGCGCGAGCACGATGAGGTCTTCAAGCAGGTGTGGCGCCAGTGCAACCGTTTGCATTCGTTAGAGAGCACAGGCGGGTCTAAAAACTTCTAACGGGGGAACGGGGGGGGGGGGGGGCAGTCTCTAAATTCCAAGCTATTTATATAGGGTCCTACATCAATAAAAAAGGTTAACTGTCTTCTCTAATAAATGTCAAGAATGTACCAATTATCAGGGTCTCAAGGGGGTGTAGGTGATCACTCCCCTTGGATGTACCACTGTAAGAGTGTGAATGCATGAGCCTTAGTGAAGGTAAGATTTTCACAGAGCCGTGGAATGATTGAACCTCATTAGGCAAAAGTAAAGTGTTTTCTGTGACAAGGCCACCCGAGTCCGGAGGGAGGAGCAATCTGCAGCCAATGGAAGAGCATGACGATGATGATGTTTGCATTGCTGTTTTTGATATTCATTGTCTTGATCTTCAAGTTGCTGTTGATAATGTTTATGATAATGTTGATGGTATGTTGTTTATATTGTTGACGATGTTCACATTGTCACTGTACACATAATTCTAGATTGGAAGCTTTCGTGACTGCAAGGATTCATACTCTTTGTTTTTTTTCGGTAAAGTCACGTAGGTAAAATAAAATAAAAGAAAACAATTAAATCACGACGTTTTCCTAGGCAACACAAGCTTCCGTCTTCAGGTGGAACAGTCACAGCAAGATCGCTGCATCAAGTGGGGAGGCTCTGAGAGCCTCGAGCTTAAATACAGGTTAAGGGGGGGGGGGAGGAGCCAAGTAGGGGACATTGATGGGGTGCTGGGCTAAGTTAATCCGTCTTTTGTTATGTTGAGGGTGCGGGGGATGCGGTGGGTCACAGCATGGGGGCAATGGAAAAATGGAAACAAAAATGGAAAAGTTCTGAAAGAATATGCTGTGTCCTTTTAAGGTAGCTAAAGTTTTGACTTGGTTTATGACATCTTTCCAGTGGTTGCTTAATTTAAAACCATCCTCTCGGTTGAAGTTGTGTCTATGTTTGTATATTGGGATGGCTTCATGGACAAATCTTTGGTAATAACTGGGAGGTTTGCATAGTACTTTGGTATCGGAGAAAACAATCTCATGAGAACTCGCTGTGTTGAGACAATGATCAGCTTCGGCCGACGAATTCGTTCTGCCATGTTTCAAATCTGATTTGTGCTCGCGAATTCGGTCAGAAATATGTCGTTTTGTCTCTAGCCCTCAAGATGAACGGTTACTCTGACCGTATCATCCGCCAAGCTGTTTCTCCCACCATACAGAAACAACCACTTGACACTCCGATCAAAATCATCACACTGCCATACATAGCAGGCGTTACCAAAAAGATTTCCAAAATTGTAAACAAACACAAGATCCAGGTTTGATTAAATACAGTACACAAACTCCATGATCTGATCCCATCCGTAAAGGATGTCATCCCTGACTTACAGTACCCCGGTGTTTACAAATTGAGTTGTATCTGCGGTGACTGCTATATCGGGGAGACAAAACGACATATTTCTGACCGAATTCATGAGCACAAATCAGATTTGAAACACGGCAGAACGAATTCGTCGGCCGTAGCTGATCATTGTCTCAACACAGCAGGTTCTCATGAGATTATTTTCTCCGATACCAAAGTACTATGCAAACCTCCCGGTTATTACCAAAGATTTGTCCATGAAGCCATCCAGATATACAAACATAGACACAACTTCAACCGAGAGGATGGTTTTAAATTAAGCAACCACTGGAAAGATGTCATAAACCAAGTCAAAACTTTAGCTACCTTATAAGCACACAGCATATTCTTTCCGAACTTTTCCATTTTTGTTTCCATTTTTCCATTGCCCCCGTGCAGTGACCCACCGCACCCCCCGCACCCTCAACATAACAAAAGACGGATTAACTTAGCCCCGCACCCCATCAATGTCCCCTACTTGGCTCCTCCCCCCCCACCCTTAACCTGTATTTAAGCTCGAGGCTCTCAGAGCCTCCCCACTTGATGCAGCGATCTTGCTGTGACTGTTCCACATGAAGACGGAAGCTTGTGTTGCCTCTGAAACGTCGTGATTAAATTGTTTTCTTTCATTTTACCTACGTGACTTTACCGAAAAAAAACAAAGAGTACTGTACACATATTTATAGATTTTCTGAAGGTGATGCCTTGTTCAAATATTAAAATTACAAATTGGTCAAACAATGTCATCATCTGTTGACAGATGTACACATGGCCTCTCGAGCATGACCAAACTTCTGCCATTGTTGCCAACAGATTGGTTTGGTCAGGTCAGATGCCACTGGGGAAACATCAGTTGGTGTGTGCCCCACTGTAGGCAGTTGTGGTTAATATGGCACAAAGTTATGTGGGAAATTATGGTGTTGATTGTTCTACTTTTTTGTGGTGGTTGTGTTTTTAGGTTGTTGGGGTTCACCAGGCCACAGTGGATGAGTTCCTCGAGTCTGTGCTTCTCAATGCCATGGAGTCGACATCTGAGGCTCAGGCTCGGCTCGAGGTGCAGATCTTGACAGAGCAGCTCGACGAGATGAGCCGAGAGACACAGCACAGGTAAAGCACAGAGGCAGCACAAGCAGAACACGGACACTGCACAGGTAGAGCACAGAGGCAGCACAGGTAGAGCACAGAGCCAGCACAGGTAGAGCACAGAGCCAGCACAGGTAGAGCACAGAGGCAGCACAGGTAGAGCACAGAGGCAGCACAAGCAGAACACGGACACTGCAGAGGTAGAGCACAGAGGCAGCACAGGTAGAGCACAGAGGCAGCACAGGTAGAGCACAGAGGCAGCACAGGTAGAGCACAGAGGCAGCACAGGTAGAGCACAGAGGCAGCACAGGTAGAGCACAGAGGCAGCACAGGTAGAGCACAGAGGCAGCACAGGTAGAGCACAGAGGCAGCACAGGTAGAGCACAGAGGCAGCACAGGTAGAGCACAGAGGCAGCACAGGTAGAGCACAGAGGCAGCACAGGTAGAGCACAGAGGCAGCACAGGTAGAGCACAGAGGCAGCACAGGTAGAGCACAGAGGCAGCACAGGTAGAGCACAGAGACAGCACAGGTAGAGCACAGAGGCAGCACAGGTAGAGCACAGAGGCAGCACAGGTAGAGCACAGAGGCAGCACAGGTAGAGCACAGAGGCAGCACAAGCAGAACACGGACACTGCAGAGGTAGAGCACAGAGGCAGCACAGGTAGAGCACAGAGCCAGCACAGGTAGAGCACAGAGGCAGCACAGGTAGAGCACAGAGGCAGCACAAGCAGAACACGGACACTGCGGAGGTAGAGCACAGAGGCAGCACAAGCAGAACACGGACACTGCAGAGGTGCAGCGGCTACAGCACGCTTGTTGCCAGCTGTTGTTGGTTGTGATCATGTTTGCTGATGTCTTTTATTGAGTTGTTGTCAACTGTGCTACAGTCTGACTCCAGATCAGGCCCAAGAGGTGGTGGCGGAGTTGGTTCATGGATTCCTCATTCCAGAGACACAGCGGAGGGAAGTACGAGAAAAAGGTGAGGCCGGTGGGCAGCAAGGTGGTACAGTGGTGACACTCGTGCCTCACAGCAAGAAGGGCCTTGGTTCGATTGCCGACTTGGGCACCTTCCGGTGTAGAGTTTGTATCTTCTCCCTTAGGTCTTTGGATTGTGTGTCTTTACCTTTCTTTTGACAGAGTCAATGTATGGAGTTTGTTCTCCCCCTGTTCTGCATTAATTCCCTTCGGGTTCTTTGATTTCCTCCCATAGGTAAAAAAATATACAATGTAAGTGGTATTGGCCAAACATACCAATTACTTGCACATTACCCAATTGAGATTACACATAGCAACATTTGCCTCTACTGCGAAACAGTTGGCATGTCTTGAGACTCAGTGAGGGTTTCCTGGGTATACATGTTCAACAACAATATAAATAATGTGGGCATGAAGCAATGGTGGTGTTTGTGCTGTTTTAAATTATTTTGGTGTAAATGGTGGTGTTATTGGTATTGATGTCAATGATGTTGATAGGAGTGCTGATGCTTTGTAATGTTTTAATTGCTGGCAGTCTTGTTATTATCTTCGATGTTGTTTAAATAATACTGATGTTTTCGTTGTTGATGATGTTGTTGGTCGCAAGGCCGATGAGTCAGACGCCTTCTATAACCTCCTGTCCCAGGTGCTGGCTAAAGTAGCCCCTCCGGATAGTGTCATCCTGTTGGGTGACTTTAATGCCGCTGCCACATGGGTTTGAGTGATCGGAAGGCATGGGCCTGATCAGCTCAATAAGAACGCTAGTAGGTTGTTCAACTTCCGTGCAGCCCATGGGCTTGTAATTACGAACACGGTATTTCGACATTGTCACATTCACACAACATCATGGATTCACACCGGGTCCAAGCAAGAACATCTGCTGGACTTTCTTATTATGGACCAGCAGATGCGGGCCCATGTTCTTGACACCAGGACCTACCGTGGAGCTGATCTGCCCACTGACCAACGGCTTGTCATTTGAAATATGCGCCTGCCATTCTTCCACTCTGGTGGTGGGTGTCCATCTAGGACCCCATTCAAACCCACAGTGGCCTGGTCTCAACTAACTGAGGATAGTTGAAAGCAGGAATTTTAACATTGCTTGGAGCTGGGGTTGGCATCGCTCCCCCGTCTTCTGGTGCTGAGGGGAATTGGGTGAGGTTCAGAGCTGTGGCTCATGCAGATACAATGGCTACATTGGCTATGTGGTCCAGACCTCCCCAGAGACCCTGGCTGAAGGAGGAGGTGTTCTGGCTAGTTGAGAGAAAATATTGTCTGCAACATTCAACATCGGAGAATGAGGAGGCTTACCGCAGCCTTCGCTCAAAGTTTCAGGAGTCGTGCAGCGCTACAAGGATGAGTGGTGGGCATGGGTTGCTGAGGAGATGGAATCTGCCTCAGTAGCCTGCAATCACAAATCACTCTTTAATTCCATCAAAAAAGTAACTTGCAGCACCTCACCTATCACCATCCTTCAGGGAAAGAACGGTAATCCGATCTCCGACCCCCAGGAACAGATTTGCAGGTTTGCAGAGCATTTTTCTGAGGTCTTGGAGGAGGGAAATTCCCTCAAACCAGACAACATCATGGGGTAAGGTAAGGACGACCCTGCAAGGTCTGCGGTGCCTCAAATATTGACAGAAGTATCCACCCCTGCTGAATGGTTGGCAGAGGTGTCATCTGTGGAGGAAGTGCAAGGGGCGATCTGGAGTCTGAGACCAGGAAAAGCACCAGGCAGAGAAATCTCCCAAGCGAAATGCTGAGGGAGAGTGGCATTTGTGTGCAGACTGCCCTACATGACATCACAACTGTCTGGACCACAGGATGGGTTCCGCAGGATTGGAAGGATGCCCTGGTGGTAACAACTATGGGAGCATTTATCTTCTCGGTGTAGCAGGAAAGGTGCTGGTAAGGATTATTCAACATCACCTTGCCAGGCACAGAGGAGAGGCTTGCGGAGCCCCAATGTGGTTTCAGACCAGGGTAGTCCTGCACGGATGCCATATGCTCTGTCCATCTGCTACAGCAGAAGTGTAGGAATTCCAGCAAGACCTACATCTCTGCTTTATTGACCTGGCCAAGGCCTATGATACCACCAACCTGCCAGGGCTGTGGGCAGTTCTTTGTACTTTCTGAGTCCCTGACTCTCTGATCACAATCATTAAGGGCCTTCATGATGGTGGGCAGGCCCGGGTAAAGCTACGTGGCCAGGAGTCAGAGCCATTCCCTGTTCACCTTGGGGTGCGATGGATGTCCTGTGGCTCCCACATTATTTGAACATCATTTTTGACCACGTAGTTTGAGAAGATTTCCATGGCTGTACCGAAGGAATTTCCATCTGGTACAGGAGATTAAGTACCTCGGGGTCTCTTTCGCGAGTGATGGTAAGTGGAAGGTGGAGATCAGCCGGCGGATTGTTGCGGTGTCCGCAGTGATGTGGGCACTGTACCGTTTCGTGATAGTGAAGCAGGAGCTGAGTACTCGAACAAAGCTTTCAGTTTACAGGTCGATCTACATTCCCACCCTCACCTATGGTCATTAGCTTTGGGTAATGACCAAAAGGATGAGATCATGGGTACAAGGGGCCAGAATGAGGTTTCTCCGCAGGGTTGCCAGGCTCACTATCCATGATCGGGTGAGGAGCTCGGTTATCTCCGAGAGCCTCAGAGTTGAGACGCTGCTCCTTCGGATCGAGAGGAGCGATTTGAGGTGGTTCGGGCATTTGGTAAGGATGCCTCCCAGTAGACTCCCCCTGGAACTCTACCGGGTATGTCCCACTGGCCGAATATGTCACTCGGTTAGCCTGGGAACGCCTGTGAGTTCCCCAGGAAGAGCTAGAGTCTGTTGCCAGCGAAAGGGAGGTCTGGACTGACCTATTCAACATGCTGTTGCCACGATCCTCATCAGGACAAGCGGATTGAGAAATTAACTAACAGATGCAATGGGAGGTTGATCGATGCCTGGGTGCGGTTAAGGCATGGCTCCCTATTGGTCAATCACGTTATGTATGCTGATGATCTTGTGATTGCTGCTGCTGAACCTGGAGTGTGCCACTAAGAGATGGGGTCTTACCATCATTCCCACCAAAACTAAGCACCTGCCTGGGTATTTTGTACCATCGGACACTCCACCCCCACAACTCCCAATCGGTGATGGGGCAGATGTGGAGAGAGTTGAGAGTTTCCCATACCTGGGCAGTGTGCTTATGACCAGCTCCGGTTTGACAGCAGAGGTCTCACTCTGAATCAGTCAGGCAGCATCTTGTCGTCTGCGTAATGCTGTATGGAAGCTACCTGGTCTGTCACTCCACACGAAGCTTCGGGTCTTCTTGGCCACAGTCATGCTGGAACATCTGTGCCGGTTATAAACATTCAGGCTGGCCTGCCTACAATCCATCCTGGGTTTAACCAGGCTGGGTTGTGTGATGAGCTCACAAATCCTTGAAAGATCTGGACACATTCCCATCAGTGAGCTCCTCCGGCAGGCAAGGCTGCATTGGCTGGATCATGTAGCCCGCATGCCCAGCGACTGCATGCGCAAACAGCTTCTGTTTGGCCGCATAGAAGGGGCTAATCAGGCATAACATGGGCTGGAGAAGAGATGGACTGATGCGGTATGGGACGATGTGGAGCTGAGTGGACTTGCCGAAGACTGGTACCAGCGGTGTCAAGATCGGCCTCTGTGGAGGAGGCTCATGAAGGACGCTACTGGGCAGTTGGAGGCAGTCACCCTCCAACAACAACTGAGGGCAGAGGAGCGACGCTCACAAGAACGAGCGGAGTGCCGGGTGGCTAAAATGCAGCAAGTTGGCACAGTAGGGGGTACAGCTGGTGCATCTACCATTTATCTCAGTCAGCCAATCCATGGCACCTGGGTCTGTCCCGTGATCTTTTAGCGAGCCTTCGACACTTCACGTGGCCTCAAAGTGCACCTGGTCTGGCACAAGCGCCGTGGTGATGTCACCATCACTTAGTGGCAAATGGCAGAGGATTGGTATTGGTATGCTGTTGTGAACTCTTCGTACATGATACGAGATGGGTTTGGACAATATGGGGCTGTGTTGGTTGAGTCATATAGTTACATCCAGAGGTGATGAAACAAACATGGCCCAGGCTAGTGAAAAGTTGGACTAAAACAAGCGATGGAATAATGTGGTACAAGAGATATAAAAGGATCTGGAGCTTGCTGAGAGCTGGTACCATTGGTGTCAGAATCAGCCTGGCTGAAGGATGCTTGTGAATGAGGCTAATGATGAATAATTTACCTCTGCCAGTCACTCCACGTTAACTTACAACATTGTCTTTTTTCCTTTGGTCTCCTGCAAAACAAGTATTTGTCAACTCACATGGACTATATTAATAATCTGTGCATTATATAGAGCTTGCATAATGCCTCAGCAAGTCAAGTGCCTTTCATCGCATCTCAAAATTCAAAGGAGACCCCTAGTGGAAGCTGTCCCTATGCAGCACTAGGCGATTCAGCACCGGCCTGCTAGTGGGCATTAGTCTGCCAGTTGGGAGTGATAATATAATTATTGCTATGTGCAATCCATATGCATTAATTTGTGGAAATGTTTTCAAATTTTCACCATGACGCTGCGCTCCAATGGCCTACTATTTTCAATGTCGGTGGACATTTATTTTGCCCACTGTGAATCAGACAGCATGTATTTATGGATATTACAGCCAAAATATTAACCAGGGTGAACTTCTGCAATAAACGGCGAACTTGCTGGGCCATGGCCCCATGTACCCAGCGTGGCATTCACACTGGTGATGGCATCCTCACACTTTGGTAAATCACAGCTGTTTTACAGTTGTAGAGGAGTACTGCAGGGAGCCAACGAGAGGCAACCGCGGGAAGGGGGCCAAGCAAAAATGGGAGTGCCAGAAGGGCGAGAGAGGAGGGTAAGTAGACAGAGTGAGACGTCTGCTAGTGGGGGGAGACAGGTAGGAGGAGAGCCAAGTTAAAGGGAGGAGCCCGGGCTGAGGGGATAAAAGGGAAACCTGGACGGAAGGGGAGGGGTTAGAGACAAAGGAGAGCCACCAAGAGAGAGAGGAGCCAGGTAGCAGGTAGAAAGGCTCCTGGGCTGGAGAGACAAAGGAGGTTACGGGTGGAAGAGTACGAGGTAGCCTGGACGTAGGTCGAGGGAGTCGGAAGAGAGGGCTAAGGGACAGGGAGTAGTGAGTACCCGCGACGGAACTAAGAGTGTGGATGTTAGCGTGAATAAACGGCAAGCAGCCCTGAATATTCAACCCTGGTCTCCGTCTGAGTCTACAATCCCACAGGGCATCAAGAAGAACGACTCTACAATGTTAATGGTTGTAATATTTATGATCACTCCACTGCTGGATGAGAGGCTCCTCACAATGTGGGTCATGGGGATTTTTTTTTTACCATATTTCACCACGCTAGTCAGTGTTAGGCAGAGTGTGTTGATATGGGAACATAAAATTATCGGACAACAGTGGACTTTGCTGCACTGCTGATGCCCACCACATAGTTCCACAGCCTATAATGCCAGTTATGCATGTTAGCTGCCGATCTAAGCATTATCGAGGCTCCAACTTGATTAGCTACTGAGATCTGATGAGAATGTGTGCATTCCAGGTGATGTGGTTTGATTGATGTATTTGATGGTCACGCTGTTGTTACTTGGTATTGATTTTTATATTGTAAATGTTGGTGTTGATAATGTTGTTAGTGTTTGTGTTGAAGTGTTAGTGGTATTGGTGTTCAAGGTCGTATAGTTTTGTTGATTATGTTGTTGGTAGCATTAATGCTGATTGTTGTGTTGATGCTGTTGTTGTTGTTGGTGGTTGAGCAGTGAAGGCGGCACAGCGACGCCACTTGGCAGCAGCACGTGGAGTTGTACTAGCAGCAGCCAGGAGTACAAAGCAATCGGTAATGCCTAACGATGCATTCACTTATCGCTCTACCTCCACAATGGTCATCATCTTGGGCATGTTCCTGTCTTTGGCTGCCATTCTGTCACTATTCTTGTCCATCAGATATCATCGATTGTAGCAATATTTCTTGCCTGTTGTATATGTGGGTTATGAAAATTTAATGAAAATAATGAAAAGTGAAGGAAATGTGAAATTTGCATAATTTATCCGAAATTATGTTAATTTGTGTAATTATGCGTATAAATTATGCTAATTCGAGAGATAATCATTAATTTACGTGAGTGGGTGTGGTTATGATAATGCAGGTCGTTATGATAATTAGGGTCCAGCCTCGGTGACGAGGGTTGGTTATCAATTGGAATAATGCAATTAGTCGTATGCAGTTATGCAGGTGTTGTGCGCGTGAATGAGAGAGTCAACTCAGCTTCGTTGTTTAACTCCGTATTATCAATAAGGATACGATTATTCTCGCTTTAACATTTATTGATTATGTGTGTTAGTGTGCTTATGATAGGTTCCCTAAGGTTCAGATCTCATCTTCTTTGGTTCTTTCGGTAAAGTCACGTAGAATGAGAATAAAATAATAAATTGATAAAATAAAATAACACAATAATATTCTCACGACGTTTTGGCCACAACACAAGCGGCCTTCATCAGGTGAAGGGACGAGACTGTCTGGTAGGACAGCGCTGGAGTGAAAGAGCCACGTTCAGATCACGGCCTTTAAGCTGTGTGAGAGGAACAAAGCGCCTTGACAAAGGAATTAGCATATAATTTAGCATTGAAATGGCTGAATGATTAGCTTGTGACTGGTCACAGAAATAGCTATGTTAAAAGTTAAAGCATACACATCCGCAGAGGCACCCCTTGTTAAAGGAATTAGCATAGAATTTAGCATTGAAATAGCTAAGCTAAAGCATACACATCCGCAGAGGCACCCCTTGACAATGGAATTAGCATAGAATTTAGCATTGAAATAGCTGAGTGATTAGCTTGTAACTGCTCACAGAAATAGCTACGTTAAAGTCAGAGCATACACATTCACCGAGGCACTTAGTACAAATCAAACAGGAGAATTTAGCATTGAAATAACTAGGCGAATTTAGCATTGAAATAACTGAGTGATTAGCTAGTGACTGGTCACAGAAATGACTATGTTGAAGTCAAGGCCTACACATCTGAGCTATTCACAGTACTATATAGTGAACCAATAAAAACTAAAATATAAATTACCTTAATGTTATCAATAAACTCTATATTCTCCAATCAGCTAAGCTACCAACAATAAGTCGTTATATATCACAATGCTATATGGCGAAAAAATGGGTGGATTCTTACCCTCAACTTTAGCACCACGGATAGCTACGGGCCCCGTTCAGACGGACGAGTTCGTCCATGGTCGGAACAGAGGAGGGGGAGAGAGACAGCTGCGAGGCGCTATTATGCTCCATGTTGACAAACCATACCATTAACCGTGGTGTGAGAGGTATTAAGAGTCAATGGTGGCGAAGGAGCTGCGGTCTGAAGGTCATCGTAAAAATACAATTAATTAAGAACAGAAATGATTTAAAACATCTTTCCAGTGGTTACTAAGCCAGAATCCATCTTCTCGGTTGAAATTGTCTCTGTGCTTGTATATGTGAATGGCCTCATGAACGAATCTCTCATGGTAGCCGGTTGGTTTGCAAAGAACCTCCGTCTTGGAGAAGTCAATGTCATGTGAGCCCACTGAATTATAACAGTGATCTGCCACGGCAGAGGAGTTCGTCCTACCGTGTTTCAAGTCTGCTTTATGTTCGCGGATGCGGTCCGAGATATGTCTTTTGGTTTCTCCAATGTAGCTACTGCCACAGAGGCACTTTAGTTTGTAAACGCCCGGGTACTGTATGTCTGGAACAGCATCTTTTACAGATGGAACTAAATCACGGATTTTATGTACTGTGTTGAATCGGACCTGGATCTTGTGTTTATTCAGGATTTTGGAGATCTTTTTAGTGACCCCTGCAATGTAGGGTAAGGTGATGGTTTTGAGTGGCTCCACAAGAGGATCCTTCTTCATGACTGGAGTGATGGCTTTGCGGATTGTGTAGTCGGAGTAGCCATTAGCCCTGAGAGACTGGTGTACGTGCTTGAGTTCACTGGTAATGTGTTCCTGGTCGGAAATGCATTGGGCTCTGTGGTATAGAGTCTTGATGAGGGAGTTCTTCTGGGATGGATGGTGGTGGGAATCCGGTTTAAAGTAAGCATCTGTATGGGTAGCTTTCCTGTAGACAGAGTGGCTCATTGAACCATCAGGTCTCCTTTTAATTAAGACATCCAAAAAGGGTAGTTTGCCATCTTTTTCGACCTCGTTGGTAAATCTGATGGCTGGGTGTATGGAATTGATGTGGTCGCGGAATTGGTCTAGAGCAGGCTGGCCATGTGGCCAGATGACAAAGGTGTCATCAACGTACCTCTTCCATAAGGTCGGGCGTAGAGTGGCAGTCTGGATGGCGTCAGTTTCAGATTTTTCCATGAATACGTTGGCTACAACCGGAGATAGGGGGGAGCCCATTGGGGTGCCCTCAGTTTGTTTGTAGAAAGTTCCATTCCAGGTGAAGTATGTGTTGGTTAAGCAATGTCTCACCAGGGGGGGTACATCAGTATGCAGTCCTTGATGAACCAGGTCTTCAATGATAGCGATGGTGTCAGGTACCGGGACTTTGGTGAACAAGGACACCACATCAAAACTGACAAGCAGGTCGTTTGGGGACAGGGAAATGCCTTTGATTGTCGATACCAGATCTCAATCGCAGAATCCAGTTATTATGCAGAATCACGGAAAGAGTCACACACAACGCTTCTGCTTTAATCAATTTTATTTTCTAGCTAAACTTTAATTTTTGGATAATATGAGAAATCTCAATCTCGGAATTTCAACACGGCACCTGTGGTTAATTCCCGACGCGTAACGCGATCTCGGTTGTTGAGAGAGAGATTAAAACAAGCATAAACTATTCTACCAAAACCTTAACTCTATCATATGCAAATTCGTATACTTGAATTGTTACACAACACGGCACTCGGTCATTGATTATATGCGCCCCTTAATGCAAATTCTTGTCACGTTGTTAACACAGTAGGACGATTGATTATTATGCAACGATATTCGTATGGAACGGCCCTCAAACCATTATTATTCCAAAGGCACAATTCTCAACAGATCTATCTGCAAGATTACATGATGAGAGCAATGGCTTATTGTGAGGGGATGCAAGGGGGTGAGTTTTCCCTTGAGATTCTTATCTTGGGCCAATCTTTTAATTAATTGTGGCCAGATCCCTGACAGGGAAACCGGTTGAACACGCTATTCTCCCCCGTGAGCGGCGCTCCGTGGCGAAGGTGCCAAGGATTAATCCGTATTGATGGATCAGTTGGTAACTTATGCGATTAGAAGTACAGCCCCAAAACAAAATAGTAACGAGGAAATTATGAACACTCTTATAACCGACGGTTTGTTCTCTCGGTCTGCCGCGATGCCCTCACGGTCACTGATGGTTTACTGACTTGAGGTTTAGGCTTTTGTTAATGACCCGTGTGTGTTTGAGTTGTATGGATGATGACAGAGTAGGCCAATGTTCGGAATCTATTCTTTGCGTCAAGCAGACTTCTGAGTTGTTGTGTGGTGGGGGACGTGTATCATACGGATAGGTGATTCCTCCATCGCAGTGGTCGATTCGGGTCTGGCTGACGTAGTTGTAGTTGCGATAGTCGTCGGTAGACGGCGCACACGGCTCACTCGTAGCGGCCACGATGCTGTGATGGTCGTCGGTAGATGGCGCACACAGCTCGCTCGTAGCTGTGCGGCTGTGCGCCGTCGGTAGATTGCAGACTCACGGCTCGCTCGTGGCTGCGCTGGCCGTCAACAGCGGGCAGCGTGTCGCCAATCGGCGAGCCTCGCCAATCTGGCGAGTTTGTAGAGACTTTCTCCTGCGTCGGTGGTGGCTGGTCTTCTGCTGAGATGAGTTGAGCTGGTCTTCTGGTGAGATGAGTCTTCTGGGTTGAGCTGGTCCCGCGGGCTGATGAGTTGAATTCAATGCTGGAGCGGCTCATTTTTATGTCAAAATTTCTCCTTTTGGCTCCTCACGAGGCGGAGCTACCTTTGATCTGGTTGTGTGTCGGTGGTGAGGGTTCGTGTGTCAGTGTGTATGTTTGTGTGTGTGTCATTTATGACATGGTTCTGTTCGGGTCTTCCTCAAGCCATAAACCATCAAGGGAAACAGACGCTTCAATTAATCTCGAAGGCGTCTGTCTGTCTACGCTATCCATCCGGAGGGAGGGGCGGCTTTCCCCCCCCCCTTTGTACAAGTTTCCGACGCACAAAGAGATGGTTAAGTTTTTAAAGTTTAACATTTCTCATCATAGTTGGTATCGTATCACTCACAGTTATGATTCTGCTTGTGATTCAGGGTATTTGATTTTATTTTCAAGTGAAGATGCTCTCTCGAGCGTATGCATATTCTTATCACGTGCTGCGGGGAGAGACAAAGATCTTTCTATCTCTCGATACCTTGAGTTAACATCGCTCAAATATCATTTCGATTTTATATTCAACCAGTTTGATCCACCCCGTTATCTTGGCTCTTACTCAGTTTTATTAATTTTCGTCATTCTGTGTGTCTTATCATCATATAAATGTATTGCGATTTCTTTTAACTTAGAAACTTGCTCGCCTGGCTTTGCTGCCAATTACTTGTCTGCCTGCGGTTGCGGGGTGGGGTAGGGGGACCATTACTGAGTCCCGTTTCGGGTGTGCAGATGGCCCTTGCGATAATAATCTCCTCACTCTGGTGTGAAATTCCTTTCTCTCTCCCTCTGCGGGAGATTCAGACGGTCGGGAGTCTCTCTCTCCGTTGCCCTCGGTTTAATGTTTCTCAAATACCATTTGGTCTTATGTTCACCAAGGCTCGTGATTTGTAACTCTGTCCTCCCGACACACCTCTCGGGTTACCGAGATTCGCATTGTTATGATGGAGTTATAAGGGAAAGTAATTTTTATCCTGAGTTTAAGAGGTCCGTTTCTTAATTGTCTGTGACATATCCCTTGGTTCTGTAAGGTTCTATAATGGAATATCGTTTAAGGTGAACCCGTTATTATTAATGTTATGTATGCCACATATATTTTGTATTTTTCTTTAACTTAAAGCTTGCTCGCTGGCAGCTATGGCTTTGGAGAGTCATCCCCCCCCACTCCCATCCTCCTTTGTTTCCGAAGGGTATCGTGGGGGGGGGTGAGTTTGTGTGTGGGGTGGGGTGTGTTTTCTCATTAAACCCGGCTGGCTCGCTCCAGATGACCCCTTTGCGATAAGGTGTAATTCCTGCTTCTCTGCGCTACGGGAAAGACAAAGGCGGTCGGGGTTTCTTGGGATATTGTTTAAACTCGTTTCGTAAGTTTGCCCGTTCGCCTCATTCCTTCTCGATAACCTTTGATGTGACTCGGTATTTCTGTCCCCAAGCTTGTGATTTAACAGTAAAAGTATTAAAGGTGAAAATCATTTGATATCGAATTAATAATTGGGTAATGATTCACTGATGTATCTGGTGGCCTGGTCTTAATTGGAGTGAGCGTGAAGATCGTTAATTTTAACGTTACCCCAATAGCAATGGAAGAAAAAAATTGGTTCAAGCGAGTGGCGCCAATGTGTCTACCCTCCTGAGGGGCTCCCCTCTGGGTGACCCTTCCTTTGGGTCACATCAAACACTTGTTCATCTGGAGATTTTCGCAGATAGCTGTTAACATCCTTGCCACGAGGGTTTATAATTCCTTTATTTATTTATGGCTTTGTTTATGATCGACATTTGGTTTTCCTGTGTGACTGGCTTAGTGTTTTTATTCATTAATTTTTATGTCACTTAAAAATACAAATCTACATGTATATTTTGGTAAATATTCTTATGGATATTAATTGTGGAAAAAGGGCCGTATACAACAGCCCAGGCTCACTTTCCTAAACTGTTGATATAATTTCTATACATTTTCTTATATCTTGATCTATGTGTTCCCCTGTTTGTCAGTGTAATCCTATAAGCACGTATCCTTCCATGCTGCTCTGTGGACTTTTGAGCTTTTGTTCCGTTTTCTCAATGTGTCCATACATAAGTTATAGCAGGTAGTGTGCAAAGGAAACATTCTTCTTTATGCACATTAGTATGTTAATATCCCACTGTAAAAACAGATGTAACGTGAGATGCATGACAATGTAGATTGTCATGCATGTTGCAGCCTGCTGCTGAGACTGGTTGGATAAGCAAGTCCAGAATGTACCCTTCTGTAATGCCCATAAGTGCATTGGCACATTCTCCTGTTCTACACTTGTGTCCCTCCAAGTCTACTTAATTGTTTAGTGAACCTATACGCGAATGTTGTTTGCCCATTCATCTTGTGCCCAACCTTGCAGCTCTTTACAATGCTGTTATTTTATGATTTACAGTGGTGACATTTTGTTATTCATGTTGCTGCTTGGGCTGTGAACTGTTGCTGAGGCTTGGTCTTTTGCTTCTATCTCCTTATGTCACAATCTCATTTCGACCTGTGATTACTTTACCCCTTAATCCAGTTTGTGGGCTGGAAATGGCCTCAACTTAAGTTCATATGGCCCGTGGCCACATGAGGCCTTCCATATGGAAATGCCCTGCAAACAATATAGACCCTTCACAGCAGCAACATGTTAGCTCCACTTATCGGGTACTATAAGGATTTTTTTTTAGACTTGGCAACAGCGTCTAGTTTTAGCGCTTAATGGCCTTATGTAGCGAAAGAAATGACCACGATCGGTGCCAATTTGTGTAGTTGCCGATACCCAAAGGGATTTGAAAGTGCTCTTCGGCTATCGCTAAAGAAGAGGTTCCCTCCCCAGCCTCCCACTCATACAGCCCCGATGTCATATGTGCTATTGGATATAGGTTTTGAGTTTTATATATGTCTATAATTTTCTGTAGCTGTGCTCTATGGGGTGGGTCCAATGGCTATGGGATTATGGGCTATGGGTTCTGCGTTAAGACCCCAAGATCTCAAGGTGCTGGCATATGTATGTTGAACTTCTATCACACCGTACATAGCCAACTATACTTATCTGGACCAGTGGAATCCATGTTAACACTTATTTTTCCTCCACAGGAGTGAGGTGGCAGACGGTGGCGACGTTAAGACGAAGAGATCGGAGGCACTCGTATGTGTGACTGTACGCGTGTTTGTGTTGGTTAACTATCGGCATACAGAGCAGCACCTGTAGTTTGAGGATTATCTCGGTGACCATATGGGTTTTCCGAGGCAAACTGGTTTCCTCCCGTATTAGACAAACATGTGTACCTTGCTGCTAACTTTCAGAGAAATACATCTAGACACATTCACAATACATGTGCGTATTCTGAACAAAATTGCATAGCCTAAAAAACACCAGGTGGTGAGATTGCATTGTCAAACGTCACCAAGTGGATGCTATAGTGAGCACCGTTTTGCCCTGTGTGGGGGTAAATTTAATCAGAAACTAGGGTTTGTAAAGTTTTTCTTAATATTACCCATAACCGAATGGACACATTTTTGGCGAAAAACCAGTTACCGGTTTGCCGCATACAGCAATATTGAGCAATAAACATACTTTTTTTTCCTTTTTAATGGAGAAATAAAGGGAGTTCCTGGGCTGTGAGGTTAGCACACTGAAGTTGCAACTTAGAGGTCACTGGTTCAATTCGATTTCTACACATGACAGTTGAAACAGGGAATGTGTTTTAAACACCCTCCGGCCTCTGTTCACTTTGCAATAGAAGCGGGTTGACCAGTCAATCGGCACACACACCTCCGATTAGTGCAGTTGGCTATATACGGTGCAAGAGAAGTTCAACATACATGGTGGAGTAAAGTATGGGTACACCCGCCTCTTCAAGACTTTTGATTAGTGTAGAAGAGTAGGCCAAATACCCCCTAGAGCTTCCTCTAGTGGAGGCTCTTCCACCAGCAGTGGTGTGAGTGAGCAATTGCAGGATTGCACCTGTAACTTTAAACAGAAATTCTGTCAGATTCACCTTATGGCGGTACCCCGGGGTACCATCGTACCCCGGCTCTCGCACAATGTCCGTGATGCAGTCATTTTTAGTCTGTTGATGGTCGGCGATGCGGCAATCGACTCATCTCGACGAGCTATAGATGATGCACTATTCAAAGTTTAATTTTTCGATAACGGATTTTTTTATGCTAATGTTTGAAGATTCAACATCGCAGAGTAGCACTGATTTCGGATTGATTGGTACCCCAGTCGCGGAGTTAAGAACTCCCCTGGAAAAAAGTGTCCCAGAAATAAAATATTTAATTGCGTCGGCCATTTTGTATTATTTGGTACCCCGGGGTACCGCCATAAGGATAAAATGTACTGAGGCCACCATACGCTTGTATATTTGTGTGTGCCGATCAGTGCATTTATGATTAACATTCCACTGCAAATAATTACCGATTAACGACTTTAGGAACCAGTAATCGATTCTGAAGATGGTTACCAGTTTCCGAGTTGTAAAACAACCCAAGTGTTGTGGATCAAATGACGACACGAAGGCAGACGTTGTCGGGGCTGACGCCAACAGTTTATTAAGGGCTGTCACCTAGCTTTTGAGGAAGGGCTAACATAGGACTTGGATAAGCTAAATCTCCCCAGGGGAAAGGTACTGGGAATCCCTACGCCCCCCCCCCCCCCAGGCTAACGGGCTCTTCCCACAGCGCTGACCAACTTGGCCAGCCGGGTAAAGTAGCCCCCCCCTAGCCTGGTGCTATTTATCCCCTACTCTGGGTCCCCACTTCCCTACCGCTCATGAACCCGGCTCCTGGCGAAGACCCCGACCACGTCACAGGTCCCCCCTCAAATACCCCGAGGGGACATGACATCACTCCTCCCGAGGCGAGTGTGACATTCTGTCATCCCTCTACTCCTCAACACAAGTATAAAAATGCACCGTGTATTTGCCCATAAAACATAAAGGGCAAAATACTTAAACATCTAAAGCAGAACCCTAGTGAAGGCAAATTGAGACTTGGTCAAGCTTCATTGGTTAAGTAAATGTTATCATAATGCAGTACTAGGTTTTTACAGAATTGTTCATCAACACTAAATGAACAAATGACAATTGATATTCTTGTAAGATGAAGAGGGCAAGGTAAGGAACAAGTCAGGGCATACGACAAATACATACGATGCTTGTCCTGTAAAATAAAAAGTTGATATAACACGATTTCCTTGTGTGATATATATTCAGTTGACTTTATTTTACTGTTTATATTCGGTCTAAGTTTCATATTATTTCGATTTAATTCTTCTGTGCTCAGCCATATTACCCCAGACATGTGGAAGAATGAATCATATCAGAAATATCTGTTGCAGTGAGGAAAATACCAAGCAGGGCACTGCTTGCCCAGGCAGAGGTAAATTGTGGTCTTAATTTGTAGAATCCTGGTAATGCATGGCTGACAGAATTGTTATTATCCTTGAGTAGAAGCTGTGCATAAATAACAGCTCCCTGACTGCATAATAATGTAAACTTATTAACGCGCTGCCGCTCAGTTTCGTTCACTCTCGGAGAGAAAATGACTCAGGCGTGAGGACACACAGACTAGCAGAAAGGCAGCCACGTGGTGAGCCAGCACCAGCAAACGCCCAAGCTCTTCGTTCCTCTTTATATTAAGGTGTTATTGGCTAAATTTTGATTTAAAGCTTTTGTGACTGCAGGAATTCATATTCTTGGTTCTAATATTTTATTGTTTCCCTTCTACGTGACTTTACCGAAAGAACCAAGTATATGTTATTGGCTAATTAATGTTTACATGTACGAGGAAACTGGAGAAAACCCACGCGTGAGGAGGAAACACGATCATAGTGTCCTTATCCTGGTCAGCCAAGGTATGGCACCTTTATGCCAACAGGAAGACTTTTACATTTGTCCGATTCACAAATCCTCGCCTCCACAGTGCTGGATTACAGGCATGCAACACCACCACCCGGTTTACATAAACTACGTAATGCTAATTATATGTAATATTCAACATCTGTAAAACTATAGCTATTAGCATACACGTGCATAACAATGCAGCCCATAGCTTGTTCTTGCATATGTAGTGGTTTCCACAGAGGCACACACTTGAACTTGGAGGCAACACGTTTATTATAACACCCCAACAGGGTAACTGTATAAACGTTCACTGGATAACGACAGTGGTGACCACCACGGGTAACTACACACTCAGACCAGATCAGTTAACACACTGCCTGGTCCACGATGCCATGCGCGAAGACCGAAGATCGAAAACGTAGCCCGGCGGGTTCCATTCCCAGAGGCAGCCCGGATCGGCGCTCGGGACTTCCCTTTTATGCCTCTGAACGTGGCCTGGCTCCGCCCTAGGCCACGCCTCCTTCTAGATCCTACTGGAAGGTTCTGGGCCTTATGTCACGTGTGAAGTGCCCTCTCTCTGGCCGTAACCAGAAGCCTGCCCCCAAGGGCCTGCTTCTATGGCATGCACACTGGTGCCAGAGACGCTAACATGCACAGCACCACCTTTCTTCCAATAGTTGGCGCTAGATGCAATAGTGACTCAATATACGTCACTACACATATGCCAGAGTGAAGAAGTGTCACGAGCTATGACACTTGAATAAGAGAAACATCTTCAGAAACGGTAACATCAAACTTCAAACAGACCACAAATAAACATTTTCTTCCTTGCATGCAGGATTTTATAAACCCTTTAGCTCAGATCAAGCACATTGAGATTGTAGGCATCATTGTAACCGTTCCTGGAGCCACAGGAATTGACTAGAAACAATATTTCCGTCTATCTGCACAGGTGCATGTAAGGTTTTATGAACACGCAATAACCCCTGATAGCGCTATGTGGTGTAACCTACAAAATATAAATATTGTAATGGTACATTTTTTTGTAAAAGATGTGCATGACTGGGAATATTCTCAAGCATGGATTTGGCTTGAAATGTCATGGACAGCAAAGAATTTCAGCCGAGAGAGGGCTTCATAATCCAGTGAGGAGGGCAAAATCCTGTTTCCTTTATAGTGAGTGACAATACATTTCTGCACAGCCTGCTACAGTGCCGAGAGAAGATGCCCAACAGTCATCAATAGACGTACTGCCATAGCCTGCAAACAAACTTTTATTCCTAAAAAATACATTTAAGACTGCATATATGTATAAAGAATGAGCTCTGTGAGGCCACTATTGGCCTTGGTCATTGTTTGAGCCTCATGGAGAGACGCTTGATGACGATGGAGGCTAAGCGTGGGGTGCTGTGATGGAGCACAACGTCTGGATGGCGAGAGCGAGCGACGAAATCTTCAAATGAGTCCTGAACTCCATCCACAAGTCCATGCCTCGTGCCACCTTCAGCCCCAGCCCCAGTTGCAGCTTGGGCTGGAGTCACAGTTCCAATCCCAGTCCCATTCCGCGCCAGGGTCCTGGTCCCGGCCCGTGAGGACTGTCTCCCATAACGGTGAGTTGAAGATGAATAGAGCCTCTCCTGTTTTGGCTCTGGTAGGTGTGTGGGTGAAAGCAGAAGGGACAACATAATCACTTCAAGATCCCTCTGAGGAGTTATATCTGAACTCCGCTATTTCTGTTTCGGAAATCCCAAGAGGTGTTCAGGAGGGTCTATATGGGATTTGATTCACTACATCGCCATTCCAGAGCAAGTGCATTGCGGTCTCATTAACTTGGAGGCAATCAACTAAATCATGGTGTTGCAACTCTAAAACTGGATATTTTTACATGAGCAGGATTGAGTGTGCCGACAATCCATGTCACTGTAATGGGCGTGTGAAAAAGCTATGTCCATAAATTTTGTTGACTAGTTTCCCCTATGCAGACGTGTAGAAAATAAAGTCTTCGGTAACAATTTTGATATGCACTCATGTCAAGAGGCGTCTGTTGACACTCGTGTTAAATATTGGCCCCCGCCCTGATCTCACAGCTAACATTGTTGAAACACCAGATAATGTAGCCCGATAAATGTCACGTCTAGGCAAGAGGAAGAGAGGATGGTTGGTGAATTTGACATCACAGCAAACAAATTAAGGGGGAGAACACCTGCCAAAGTTTGCAGCAAGCGACACGACAAAAATTACAAACACTGATCTAAGCAGAAGCCGTCAAGAGAGTGGATGTGAAGGAGCCGAAATGTAGAAATTAAAATTGGAATGTACGTTAGTCTCATGGATAAACATAGAATGTCAGGGATACCGCTGTCCGAAGTAAATTTAACAAAGGAAATTCGTATGTATGTTGAACTTTTTTTTTGTGCCAGTTAAAAGGGTAAAACCTATTCTTATATCTTGTTTCTGGCAAAGGAGGTCTCATAATGTTAATGCTCACCCCGAGCCCTCAATACTCTGATAGTGCGCTGTTTTTGAGTTGGAGCCTTTTGGCGTCTTCTGGTCCAACACCAATGGAGACTAGGCTCTAAGAAAAGCTGTCTCGGGTGTGGACCAATCAAATTCAAGGACAGTGCATATTATTATCAGAGTTGTCTTTTTTGTTTGCATTTTGACTGCTTGTGTTGTGGTTATTGCAAACATGATGCCTTGAATAAAGGTGTCAGTTTTTGTGCCAGTTAAAAGGGTAAAACCTATTCTTATATCTTGTTTCTGGCAAAGGAGGTCTCATAATGTTAATGCTCACCCCGAGCCCTCAATACTCTGATAGTGCGCTGTTTTTGAGTTGGAGCCTTTTGGCGTCTTCTGGTCGAACACCAATGGAGACTGGGCTCTAAGTAAAAGCTGTCTCGGGTGTGGACCAATCAAATTCAAGGACACTGCATATTATTATCAGAGTTGTCTTTTTTGTTTGCATTTTGACTGCTTGTGTTGTGGTTATTGCAAACATGATGCCTTGAATAAAGGTGTCAGTTTTTGTGCCAGTTAAAAGGGTAAAACCTATTCTTAAATGTTGAACTTCTTTTCACACCTTACGTAGTCAACCATGCTATTCTGAGGTGCGGCAATGATCACATGCTGGTGAGATGCCACTCAAATTTCAAGTTGCCAAAACAACAACAAAAGGATTTGCAGGAAAAAATAATAGTTCACGTAAAAATTAGAGAGCAGGAGGCAGCAGCATCCGACAGATTTGAAGCAACTGGTTAACAGGCCCTAGAGAGGTAAAATTATTAATATTATGCCACTGCTATATATGTCGTGAACAGTTTAAGCAAAGACAAATTAAACATCTTGTTATTTCACGTTTAAGATGTTAAAATATTCTATGTGTATCTCTAATTCTAACTACAATTATGGAATCAGCATAGCTAGTCAATCATGGCAACAGTTAAACATAGCTCTAGTAAAATGTTATCCCATGCAATGCATATTTCATGTCACTGCTGAAATCACACGTGCAAATCCTAATGATAATACTGAAAGTTGGGGTGAGCATTGTAATTAGTTGTCAATGCTTTCAGAAAGCCTCGATGCCCCTCACCCACATGTGCACTGTCCACGGAGGAGCTTGCCTTGCATTCAGGCCCACCCTTCTAGACCTTCTAAGCATCTCCTCTGTGCTCACACTTTCAAAGACTAAGTCACTGCCCTTCACATTCACAAACTCACTCAGAGCTTACATCCCCATATTTCTGCCTTTCTCCCTCCCTTATCACAACCATCTTTAACTGTATTAATAGAGATTTATAACCACTAATTAAGTGCAGAAGAGTGATAAGTAGACAAATGTGATGGAAAATTAGAACGGCTTATCGTTTATATTCCATTGAGGGAAACATTTCTCGTTGGGTCCCATTGCTATGGAAAAGTCGTTCAGTCTCGGCAAGGACAGCAGCGCTGCAAGGAAATGGACTGCAATGGTTAGGACTCTCACCGAGCCCCAACCCTTGCCTGGGAGATGGTCATGCACCACTGCACTGGGCTAAGCTTGTCGATTAAAGAAACCATTATTCTCACTCACCACAAAATGGCCCTGTCCACTCAGGTTTTGCTCCATAGTGACCAAACCTAGATATAAAACCGACACTCAATCTGGGAATTATGCCAGGAATAAGCCTGAAAAATGCAAGTAAATTAATATTGTCTCCCAGCAGTACCTTTTGCCATGACAACACCATTAGAGCCACACTGCTTGTGTGATCCCTTGACCATATCGCCTCCACGCCAGGCACCATCGCTCTCACTCGATCCACTCCTCCTGCAGTCGCTGACTTCGCGGGCATAATCAAGAGGGGTACCGGAGGAGAATGGAGTCTGGAGGTAATATTTCTGTAGCCTCCGCGGCTCCTCCTCCTCCACATGCAGCGATGCGCGTCGAGGTCGAGCGTGGGGCAGCCTCCCAGACGGGCTCTGCGAGCGGTGTCTCCAGGGCTGAGACGGGCTCTGTGAACTGCTCCCCCAGGGTTGAGTGGATGCCCGAGATCCATGACCCAGGGGAGAGTCCCATCCGCATTGTCTCTGCACGACTCGTGCTGTCTCGTGCATCTCGGAACCGTCCTCAGATACTGTTTGGGATGCCTCCGAAGACAACCCCCACGTCTCCCGCGAAGACCAGTCTCTCGCACCTTGCGTATCGCCCTGTATGTCACCCTGCATGTCGGCGTGGATCGCCAACAAAGGGTGAATACGAGACGAGGGATAGAGTTGGGACGAGCAGTCAGGTGGAGTCGACTGGAGCCGGGAGGAAGGGAGGGGTGGTGATGAAAGCGGTGACACCAGCTCCTCCTGAGTGTAGCATTGGGGTAGCCGTGCGGGCGATGCCTGTAGGTCAGTGCAAGCAGAACACCCGTAATGAAATGGCTCCTGGAAGCCAGTCTTGCATTCATTCACATGCTGAGCACTTCATTTAGATAGGAACCAGGTGGTTGGAGTATGCAAGAGCAATTGCACCAGCCCCGCTGGCATTCAAGCACTTGTGATTGCAATCCCTTGCTTAATTAACCTCGAACAATCGTTATTGGCAGTAGTTATAGTGCTTTCAATGCCAATGGGTCAGGGCAGTACCTGTGGAGCCACCTGGTCACGGACGAATTTATCAATACTGGGGAGAGAGGAGATGCTACTGCTGCTGCTGGGCGATGCGGCAAGAGCGGACACGATGAGACTTGGGCGAGACTCGAGAAGGAGCCGCATTGCCTTGTCTGCTAAAACGCCGGATTCCTGCACACGCAATCGCACAGGTGGATGCAATTGCACAGATGACGCACGAATTTGAATTAACCTAGTGTATGAATGGGTGTGCACATGCATGAGGTTGAACATGGGTCAATGCTATTAATGAGTGATATCTGCAGGTGATAATAAAGGGAGATCCATTAAAAGATGCCGCATTAAAACCGTACAGAAACATTCTAGATATTTGCATTTCAATTCACAGCCTCTAGGTGTCTTCCACCAAACTCTATGTACTCATTATGTCTCTAAACTCTCTCCTGATACACTTTGTGCAGCATATCCTGTCTGATTGACTTACAACATTCACTGAGATGAGGGTCATTAGATATCAGTGGGGTATCTATATTTGGATCGACCTTTATATATTCAATAACCATGGCTATGGGGTTGTGGGTTTCACCAGGCAATGATACCCAAAATTTGGTGCATTATTTGTCATGTTGCAGGACACGTCACAGCTTAAAGGAACAATGGTCAAGAATAACACGGAGTGGCTGTCAAGGAATGGAACGTTTCTGAGAGAACATCTGCTGAGGAGATAGAGCGATCAAATAAGTTAATGTGTAGGTGCTATGTGGGTTATTGCATCATCGCAGGATCATGAGAGATGGTGGAATCTTAGGGAGGTTTTCATCCAGCAATGGATAGACCATGGCTGATGATGATGAGATGGTATGTGGTGGTTGGAGTGTGGTAGTCGATGTATCATGGGTGTGGATGTGTAGTTGTGGCAAGGTGTGGTAGTGTATGTTTGGTGGTCATGGTTTGGTAGTGGGTATGTGGTTATGGGTAAGGTGTCCACACCGTCTTTTACCTTGGGGTCACACATGATGGTTAAGTTGGACTCTGAGCCTAGGCACCAAGTAATATGCAGTCCCTCCTCCAGTACCTGTGCACACATGCTCACCTGGTAGCCATCCAGATACAAGCACAGTATTAGCACCAGCCCCAAGATAGTGTTTCATCATCACTCAGCTCTGTGTGGCTCTGAGAGAGAGGTTCATAATGATTACGTCACCTCAATGTGAAATGGCAGCAGTTTCAAGCGTTGGGGTTCCCGGCCTCGCTCAGACACGAGCAGTTCCCCCGCACACCCCCCTACACACCACCAAAACAGCTGCTCAACACACACAGTGAGACATAAATGAGACCATGAAGATAAAACAAGGACGGACATCTCTCAAGGAAATCTCAGGAAGATGTATCAGGGTTGAGCGAGATGGGTTTGGGTTGTGAGCGGGAATATAGATGATGGTGGATAGGAGCTGGAGGGGAGATGTCTCAGGGCAGTGACATGGCACAGTGGTAACCGTTGACTGCTTAAATTTTGATTGAAAGCTTTCGTGACTGCAGTGATTCATATTCTTGGTTCTTTCGATAAAGTCACGTTGAAGGGAAACAATAATAAATATATATTTTATTATTTTATTGTTTCCTTCAACGTGACTTTACCGAAAGAACCAAGAATGCGTTGACTGCTTGTTGAAGAGTTTCGTAGTTCCGAAACGGCAGGTCGCCCTGGTTAATACTGCATGTGCATCAATCGTAATATATGCACCATCTGATTCAAAGTGGATGTTAATGATCCCCTGATATCATTAGAAATCAGTAGGCCATTGTGTACTGACTTCAGTCCAATTTGAAAAGTTATCTGCACATCATTAAATTGGGATTACACTTATCAACATTGGCCCCGATTTCAGACTGTCTGTGAACACAGCGCCTTGCGCTCTAAGAATGGCACAAATAGTAGATGTAATAAATCAGTGTTCTTTACTACTTTGCAGAGGGGGGGCATTTTTCCCAATAAGACATCAGTGTGAGTGCTACCACATATTGAAACCATTGAGTTTCACAGCATGATGGGGTTTTTCACATTTGTGTATTTTCGGGGGCTACACGTCAGAGCCCGCACTAAAGGCCACCAGGAGCTGCCAGTGGCCCGCGAGCCTTGCAATGAAGAACACGAAACTAAATTATTAGGTCTCACCAGCCTGGTATCCTCTGGCAGGGCTGAGCTGAGTGTGAGAGACGTCAGCTGCATGGAGAGATCGATGAAGCGCAGGGAAGAGCACGGAGAGACCTGTGAAAGCAGACCCCGTTAAAATATAAACACGTATCTCATAACACTAACATCCAATACACGAATTGCTAAACTTGGCTTTGCGGATTGTTCAACTCAGGTGAGTGAGCTGAAACAATCACATTTGGCATGTTAGATGTTTGTTCACCATGTAACAATTTAATTTATTTTGATGTGTTGCGTGGTAGAGGGTCTTCACACAAATTTGGCCAGATTATTATAGTCTGAACCAGAAAAAACAATATTCATCCTTGTTGCTAATCGTAACATTTTACTTGAAATTTCAATGCGGGATTCCTTGTTTCCACGGCTACTCATAATGCTCACAATGGTGTGAGGTGCCAGGCTGGTCCAGTCCCCACAACATCGATGTTGTTGTGTTGACATCGATGTCCATGCTTCTGATAACATTGGAACATCTATATTTTGCTTTCGGTGTTGCATTTTTAACACCGAAGACATGCCAAAAAAAATACTTAAACTTCATGCTGAAAATAAACTTCTCCATCTCCAAAAGTCATTGACCAGCATATACACTGATATAGGATTAGGGTTCGCATGCTGGAGAGTAGACAATGTTGCTGTTGGCTAAGTGTTGCCCCTGCAACAGCCTTGTGCATTTGCATTATTGGCTTCCGTGCCATTTTAATGTCAGTTTCTTTGTTAATGAACATTGTGTGTTTAATACGTTGTTCTTGCCTGTAAATAGTTACAAAACAGAGTAAACATGGATGTTTCCCTTCCGGTATTTTGGTGAGCACGTTTCCATAACAAGCAAATCTTCTACGTATCAATGTTTTCCTTCAATGTCTCAACCCTGGTTGCTGCCCCTTAAAGAGCTGAGCCTGGAGAGCATCTCCACGTCACCAAGTGAATGGACAAAGAGCCTCACGCATGTTGGCGCTCGCTCTTCTGCTCGTGGCGAACTACCTAGCACATTCAGAATTGACCCTCATTGTTACATTACCGCGATCTTCCATAATATCGTTTTTTTTGGGTTATATTTACGCGATCTAACCCAAAAACATATATATTATGGATGATATTGGTCACGAAAGCCTACTTGTTAATCTATTGCTGTGGTTTTCACACCTGATGATGATTGCTTGTGTTGCAGTCGAAATGTCGTGAGAATTGGATTTTTTTTATATTTTTATATTATTTTATTGTTTCCCTTCTACGTGACTTTACCGAAAGAACCAAGAATACATTGCGATCTTGTTTGTATTGTTTCGTGTTTCTGCAGTCTTATGTGTGGTCTTAACTCAACAATAGCAAACATTTCTCATAACTTTGATCACTTATACATACTTGCTTCTGATGCTCACAATGGGAAGCATATATTGTGTGTGGAAAACATTTTAATCAATTAACTGAATTTTTGTAATCCAAACTGCTTAGAATACATATTACTGTCATCAGTTTCAGTAATTCAAGTGAGGCGTTATCTGTTCTTCTAGCACCACCTATCCTATTTTTAATTTTGTTCCCAGCAATAACCTATAGATAACACTGATCCCTATCTCACAACCCACAGCCGCGATGGTGATATTCACCCCAACACAACGCCCCGAGGGACGCCATCGCGTGAAGAGACCACCGAGCCCACTGAGCTATTGTTCCCCAGCTGCGTGAAACGGGAGTGAAGGCGGCTGTGTACACAGACTCGTGGTCGGTTTACATCGTGTCAACAGTGCCCTCAAGGCACCGTGCGCACGCTCTCTGTGCCCTCAGGGCGGCGTTTTAATGTACCACGCCCTCTCCCCAGACCATGGCTTGCTCTCTTAAGTACTATTTTACTATCACCATATCCTACATATTTTGTTCCACCTCTTCATTCTTAAACTCATCCCGAAATCATCATCATCCTCGTATACATATATACTTGTTTGGCGGTTCACATGTCCATCACTTCTATCTCAGTTGTGCGCTGATGGTCCTCGCGCCAAACAAAATACTAAACCCACCTCCAGGCAACAAATACAACCCGGGAGAACACCCGCGAAAACCCAAAGTCAACTAAAACCTACTGGCTTCATTGCATCTTCCAGGCACCACCTCATTGCTCCGTAGCTGGCCATGTGACACGTGGCATGGGCTTTTCCCATGAGCCAGGCACACGTATTTTGTCATATGAAATACATTCTCAAGCAGGACCCTCGAGAAGTAAGTCCTGAGATTAATTTGAGGAGCTTAGAATAAAGGAGAGTGGTGATGACAAACACGGAATCAGAGAAGAGCGCTGCTATATTGCTTCTACACCCCAAACCCCACCGAGACCGAATCCCAGCCACGCGAAATTCCAAGCATAGCCACAGCTATAGCTATGTCGTTCACCTCACATATATCCCCTTTACTTAACTCTATTCTTACCAATATATCTCATTTAACACGTAGGTGTATGCGGCCAATATTATGATTCAACGTAGATTTTGGGATTGGGTCGTGTTACGATCTGGCCAAGTTTATGTCGTGAGATCCTCAACCACCCGACATGGTCAAACATTTTCAGTTTCTGGATTTTATTCTTACTTCTAGTATCTTGTCCTGATGATGCTTGAAGTAGTGTCGAGCGAAACGCCGCATCCAATTGATGTTTTAGTTGTGGATCTTGTTTCCCAACTCACCGGTGAATTGACGCGTTCACCCTTGTACACGTGACAATGTAATCTCTTTGGCTGTGTCGGGGGGGGGGGGGAGGCTCTGACGACACGAGTATCGCGAGATAATTAAGTGGCCTAACCCGCAACCGAAAGAACCAAAGAAGATAACCCGCAATAGTTTACGAATCAAGCCAATCGTGATTGAAGCATTCGTGACAGCAGGAATCCATACTCTTTGGTTCTTTCGGTAAAGTTACGTAGGTATAAAATAAAATAAATCATGACGTTTCGGGCGCAATACAAGCGTCCATCATTAGGTCCAATTTATACGAACCACGAGGCTCAGTGTGCGCGCGGTCCTGGTCACCTGCGCGTTGAGGGCACGGAGCCACGCGCCGCGCCACCCGTCGCTCCCGGCTCGCAGCCACGCGAGCAGCAGCTGCTCTACGGGGCGGGGCGCGGTGCTGCCCTGGGACGCGAGCAGCAGGGCCAGCGCCAAGGCGAGCAGCAGTAGCTGCGAGAGTTCCAACAGCAGGCTCCACGATTCTATCTGCAGAGGGACGCAGAGCGGACACCAAGAACCCCCGAGTTCTCACCCCAATTCTCCGCACATAGAGTCCATGGGATTGACCAGAGGGAGGCCTCCAAGAGACTGATAAACTTCCCTGTCCCGCACAACCCACAACTTTGCAACACCTCTGTAATCGTGCACCTTCTCACCCGAACCATGATAATCGCAACTCACACACCGCGGGTCAGCCCTATGTATGGATCCGCGCACGCACAAAGCTCCACCTGTAATCCCAATGCCCAGAAACGTAGTGATGCAGCTCCTGGGTGAGCAGTTACTCACAGGTGGTGAGCAAACACCGAGGTGCGGCACAGACATGAAGACACTGGAGGAGCACAACAAGGAGGAGGATGAATCACAGCTGCTGCTTGGCATCGCGAAGAGACTGTGCACAGAGCTGAGCGATAAGAATTATTATTGTCTTAACTCCTCCTTCCCTTTCCATCCTCCTCCTTCTGACTCCTCCCCATTACCCCTCCTCTCCATGACTGCAGGGTCGTTCCGGGGGGTCAGGGGACCGGCAGGTCCGGGGTCCAAACGGAGTCCAGGTCCGGGGGAGTGGTCTGGGATCCGGGGGAGGGGGGAGTCCGGGGTTGGTCTGGGGATTCTGGGGTTGGTCCGGTGGAGGTCCAGTTTAGGTTCCTAACCACCAATTCACCTACCCAATTACAGCACTGAACTACTACTTACAGACTTACCTACCTAGCCACTAACCTATTCACTCATTGACCCACTCACTCACCCACCCACCCATCCACCCATCCACTCACCAAACCACTCACTCACTCACCCATTCACAATCCCACCAACTCACCATGTGGGTCTCTCTGTGTCTTAGTGAAAGTCATCGTCCCTACTTCTCGTTTAGTCCAATGTCTGAACTGGACGTACTGAATACGATAGCTTCAATTAAGACACCATCATCCATGGGAGAGGACAAGTTACCTACCTGCATTTACACTTGTGGCTGTGGTAGATTTAAAATATAAACCCCTAACACATTTTTAACCTCTCACCGAAGGTACATTTACACTCGAGCCCTAAAATATTCGGAAAAAGTGCGATTTTCGAGAGGATTACATTATTGCACTACCACAGCAATGATGATGTATGAAATGTTCTCTTCAGTAAGCCGGATGAAGGCCACAACTACTATGCACTATTCCTCCACTTGT